CCTCCGAGCAGAGAAGGAAAAGGTATGGGGAAAGCGGGTCTCCCTGCCGTAAACCTCTCCCTGGTTTGAAGAAATTTGATTTGGGACCATTCACCAGTACTGCATATGAAACAGATGAAACACAAGACATAATCAGCTTGACCCATTTCTCATCGAATCCCATTCTTCTCATAATTTTATCAAGAAATACTCATTCCACTCGATCATAGGCTTTCGCCATGTCGAGTTTTAAAGCCAAGTAACCCCTTTCATCTTTAATCTTCTTCTTCATTGTATAGAAACACTCGAAAGCTGCAATCACATTATCGATAATTGATCTCCCAGGAACAAACACACTCTCGGATTCACAAATCAAATCATCCACATGAAAATAATAATTAATTAGAGAATACCAAACATTGAAGTTCGTTATCTCCCCACACCAACACCAAGCAAGCAAGCAAACTGCTTAAAGAAAGAAAAACAGAAAACAAATCATCAAACAGAAAGAGAAAGAGAGAGCTACCAAATATACTGGCCGATGACATAATGATAAAAGAGTTTCTCCCATTTGGTTCAATTATTTCAAAGACTACTTTTAATTGCATTTTCAGACATTGCTTAGGAAATACGTTTTTATTTTACCACATATTATATGTGATTTACATATTTTTAGTTTGTCGGATATCAATCTACATATGTTATTAGTGGAGTCGAACCATACTCAGTATTTGCTTTATGTATGTATGATCCGTATGAACGTGGAGTACGGAGTTAGTTTCACAAAAATACATCATTCTATATATATCCCCCTCCCCCAATTTACATACATATTTTGCTCCTTGTCTTTTTATAATTTTTCGGCCATTCATCTTGGAAATGTTATATTCTTTTTTTCCTTTTTACGATACGTGGTGTTAGCTTGCCTTATTTCATGTCATATCATATGGAGGAAGCTTATATTTGAAGGTTAGAACGGGATCAAGGAGAGCCGAGGAGCAATGTCACGACCAATGGAGGCATTATCACTATTCAGGTTGTGACTTTCCACTCCATACGGTGAGATTAAGAATCCAGGCACAAGCGCATTTTAACGTTTCGGGTTGAGTTTCAAATGTCATAGGTGTAACTTATTAAGAGTCATGACTGTGACTTCCCCTTGAAGTCCCAACTTAAACATGACATTTTGGATGCCACAACCATGACTTTGACTGTGATATTGCCTCTGTCACGGGTATAAATGGGCAACTGCGAATTTCGAAAGAGGAGAGTTAATTTTTTAGATAACAAGCACCAAAGGGAGGAATCCCAGAGAGAGAAAGAGAATTGGGAACATTTTTAAAGCTATTTTAACGAATTAACGGAAGAAGAATCTCATCACCAAAAGTAAGTTCTTCATCTTCTCTTATGTATTTCCTTCTCCATCTATGGAGTAACTTCCCTTCACTTGGGGTTTGAGGAATCCTAGTTATGTTTGTTTGATGGGACCATTGTAATGACTATGACTTGCTATAACATAGTTCATATTCAATCTATGCATGTTTTATGGATCAATTATGTTTTAATCGATATTATTGATTTATGCTTTTATCGATAATGCCTAATTATGTTAATAAAGCAACATCAATTGGAAGTAAGAGATCGATTGTGCGAGAGCGAGGCGATCAATTGCTTTGTATTGGGTGAGAATCTTACTCAATAGTCAACAAAGGGTGTCTAGTGTGAATTGCCTATGTATTTTGCCTTAATCGAGGATGGTGTCCCTTTAAGCAGTCTATTCAATAGCGACTTGTCTGCTTTAATTTAGATTCCACGATTGTTATGGGCTTTACGAATCATTGATTAGTGAAATAAACTAGAGAATCGTTAATAATTAATCTAGTTAGTGGTTAGTGGTTATGGAGATTCATTACATGAGTGAGCCTACTGCTTTGTAATTAGTAAGTTTAGTATTTTCTTTATTTGTTAGAGTAGCTTAATCATTTTGTAAACATGTACGGTCTAGATAATAAACTGAATATGAGTAATAGTACATCTAGATACGTGTGGATTCGATACTTATTACTTGTTGTTGGTCTTTTGTTTCACTTGGCGTTGACTGAAGTGTAGTTTGTAACGACCGCAATAGGGTAAATTGCAAGTTTGATCATTGGAATTATTAAAATATTTCACATTTGCCACTAAAGTTAGTTTATTCCATCCATAGTCACTTAAATTAGTTGTATAGTTCAAGTTTGCTAACTGACCGTTAATCTCCGTCAGAATCCGTTAACACCGTCAGTTAATTGCTGAAGTGACTAATAGAAATGCCTAATCAGCCTAATTTGACCTGAAAAAGTGAAACTTTGACCCGCCACGTCAACCCACTCCATGATCCAACCAAACCCATGACCGAGGTCCTCTCGACCCTTCCTCTCCCCCAACTTCCCCTTTCTGCATGGCGAGTCAGGGCCCTGCTTCAATTCCTCTACCACTCTGCAAAGAATACGACGACTATCTTCGGCCAGAATGCTTAGGTCTTCATAGCCCACCCACCATTCTCATTGTACACTCCAGCCCCTCGTCCCCGAGATCCAAAAAGAGAGACCCCCAAACCATAATTACTCTCCGCCATCTCAGCAAGACAACAACCCCCTCTGCATCTCCCCACGTGACCCTTCCATCTCCACCCTGCCACTTTGGGGACGCAGTGGAAAAAGTAGATCTGCTTAATGCCTTTCAACCTGGAATCTGAGGTCGCAGTGCCGGTCATTGGAACTGAGGACCGAGTGGAAGAGCTACGGATAAAAAGTGATTGACGGAGCCGGATAAAAACCCTACTTTTTTTTTTGCAAATTCTGTTAGTTTTGGTGGCTCTCAAAGCTCTTGATTTCGTATGAACACGGCTAGACCCGCAAGTTCTTGTTAAAGTTGGAATCGAATTGGTCCGGGACTGGGTAGAGGTGAACAGATCGGGTTGTGGAGCGAGGAATTGAGCTAGGAGTTTGTCATCGCCGCTGTAGTTTTCATCGCTATAACCACATGAATGTTGACTCGCCGCCCTGGCCTCCTCCTCCTAGTAGCGGCGACCACCATCTTCCTCGTGGTTTCTACCTCCATCGCACTCTAAAATCAGCGGCGGTAGATGGGGCGTTTGGCTCTGGCGGCGGTGGAAGCTTCTTTCTGCAGCTCTAGTTGTTGTTTTTTTTCGGTTGGGCGGGTGGTGGTGGTGGAGATGGGTGGTTTGCCGATGCGGCGCTGGATGAGCTCCCTGAGATGGTAGGGTTTGTAAGTAGGGATGACAACAAAACCCGAACCTACGGGTACCCATCCGACCCAATCCGGTCAAGGTGGGTAAAATCCGTGTTGACGGGTTTTGGGCTGGGTTTGGGTTTAAACCCGTTCACTATTTACCGGGTTGGGTTGCGTTTGGGTTTAGGTAAACCCGACCCATAGGTACCCGCCCACACCCATATTATTAATTTTCTTGATATATTTAATATTTTAAACAACTAATCTTATTTATGTTTGTAGAGACATGTCTAATTTTTTCTTTCTAATTGTGTAGAATGAAGTTGATGTTATCGAGTGGAGAGTGAAGAAACTTAATTGAAAGGAAGAAGCTTTCAATTAATCATGTTATTTATGGATAATTTGTGATTTGCTTCAATTTTCTTGAGTTTTCTAGATTGGTGTTGAACAATTTGTATAGTTAATTTGTGATTTGCTTGAATTTTCTAGAATGATGTTTTATATATGGATAATTTGTATTGAGAGATTGATATTTGACTTTAATTTTGATAGGAACTTGTTATTGTAAATTTTTTACGACAAAAACCCGTGGGTACCCAAGAACCCGCAGATACCCAGCGGGTTGGGTTGGGTTTGAGTTTTTCAAACCCAGTGGGTTTTACCCCGGTTTTTTTCACGGATAAACCCATCGGTTAGGATTTGGGTTTGGCAAAACTCGACCCAACCCGACCCATTGCCATCCCTATTTGTAAGGCGATGAGCAACATAGAAGGAAAAAATTGGGCAATTAGGTTAGGGAAAGAGAGCAGGGATGCTCGTGGGTTAAGACATGGGGTAGGTATTAATTTGGTTGGGTTAAATTGGTTTGGTTATGGGTTGGGATTATTATGATGTGGCAAGTCAAATTTTCACTTTTTCGGGTCAAATTAGGCTGATTAGTCGTTTCTGTTAGCCACGTCAGTAATTAACTGACGTTGTTAATGGAGACTAACGACTAGTGACCAAATTTGAATTGTTGTACTAATTTAAGTGACCATGAATGAAATAAACTAATTTTAGTGGCAAGCGTGAAATATTTTAGTAATTCCAGTAATTAAACTTGTAATTTACCCGACCACAGTATTATCTAGTCAATAAATCAATAAGTACGAATGACACAGATTAATCATAATATAATTTTCTTTAATTTTGTCTTCAACATTCATGTCAACTTTACACATGAGCTCTTGCTAAAATATTTTGTTAAAATTAGCGCTAAAATTTGATAAAAAATCATCAAAATACTTAAGAGATTTTTTTTTTGGTAAGATGAGAAAATTATTTGACTTGAGCTAATGGCTCAATTAATTAGTCGAATGCTTATGAAATCGGAATTTGCCTCCAGTCCAGCAGACTCACGGGGGAAAAAAAAAGAAAAGAAAAAAAGAACAACTAAGCGAAGACGGGAAAGAGAAAGAGAGCGAGAGAGAGAAACAGACAAAACCAAACCAGAAAGATAAATTGATGGTGTATTCTCTGCACAATTCGCCTCGCTTTTCCGTTTCTCCCCCAATAGCTTCTTTTCTCTCCTTCCTCTTCCGCCGCTCTCAAACAATTCGTCGGTCCGCCATTTTTCCAGAGCAGTGCAGAGCGGAAAGAAGAAGCGAAAAGCTGTACGGATTCAATGAACCGTCGCCTCCCTTCATTTTCACTCCCTGGCTGGTTCTCCACAACACCGCTGCTCCGTTCATAGTTACGACGATCTCAGCTCCTGACGAATTACCCAGCTCCTTCTCGCCCTTCACTTCCTCATGGATACGCCTACGCCGCCGGCGGAAGAGCTTCTCCGGAAGATTCAGGAGCTGGAAGCCGGACAAGCTGAGCTTCAACAGGAGTTGACGAAGCTTAAGCTCACTTCCGATTCGAAATCCGAGAATCTTCTCCTTCACCACCAACAGCAGCATCAGCAACAGCACCACCATCACCATCACCACCACCATCCTCGGTCCCAGTCAATCTCGCCTCAGCGTCCAGGGACTAGCCGGAGCTTCGAGACGGCTGCGTCTATGAAGAAGACCTCGCCGCCGTTTAGGCATTTGTCTCCCTTACAGAGAGAGTCTCGCCGTCCGAGCAGCGGTTCGGATAGGAGTAATGTCGGCGGAGATGGCGGCGTCTGCGGAGCGAGTGCCGGTCCGTCGGCTATTAAGTTTACTGATAAGCAGTACTTGAACATCTTGCAGTCCATGGGGCAGTCCGTTCATATTTTCGAACCTTCCGGCCGTCTTATCTACTGGTCAAAACTGACTCTTAACCTTTATAGTTTCCATTTTGTTTATAATCTCTCTTGATTTGAAGCTCGTTTTCTTCGACGGCGATTCGGATTGTAGTTCTGGTGGTGGCGCCGGCTGACTCTATCACATTCATTTGGCGTATACGATCAAATTTGTTGCAGGAATCGAAGTGCTGAAAACCTATTTGGCTGGACTGCGGCGGAAGCTCTAGGTCAGGACAACATTGACCTGCTTGTAGATCCCAGGGATGGCAAGATAGCGCAAACGATTATTGATCGCAACGGTCTAGGAGAGAGCTGGACAGGACAGTTCCCTGTGAAGAACAAGAGGGGTGATAGGTTTACAATTGCGGCCACCAATACCCCTTTCTACGACGACAATGGTGATTTGATTGGGATTATATGTGTATCAAGCGATTCACGGCCATTCAAAGAAGCGTTCGTCGATTTATCTGGTCAGAAGAGTTTAGGAGCAGACTCGAGTTCTAGCCGTGTTTTTGGTAGAAGCAGCAGCAGTGTGTCGGCCAAGCTTGGTCTTGATTCCCAACAGCCTCTGCAAGCAGCAATTGCGTCTAAGATTTCAAACTTGGTTAGTTTTTAATAGTGTTATGCTTTCAACATTTGGGTATGCAGTTTGCATGTATTTATATTGTTGGCCTCGAATCAGGCTACCAAAGTGAGCAACAAGGTGAAGTCGAAGATTCGAACTGGAGAGAACAATGTTGATCATCGTGAAGGTGGTAGTGGAGAGAGTCATCATTCTGAACATGTTCATGGCTTCCCGGATGTAGTGGCAGACCAGAGGGTTGATGCAAACTCTAGTGGTGCTAGTACTCCCAGGGCCAGTACACCCAGGGGAGATTTTCATCCATCCCCTTTCGTTGTTTCACCTTATGGTGATGAGGGTGAAGGGAAACCTGCAATCCACAAGGTTATCACTTCGAAGGCAGAGGCTTGGATGGGTAAAAAAGGGCTGTCATGGCCATGGAAAGGGAATGAAAGCGAAGTTTCAGAGTCAAGAACTACCAAATTTGTTTGGCCTTGGTTGCAGAATGAGCAAGAGGGTGAACCAAATTATCCGAAGAGTCCCTCTTATGGTGGTACTAAAACTGAGAGTTACTTTAGTGAAGCTAATAATCGGCATGGCATTAGTGAGGCATCTGGACTGTGGTCATCCTCTGCAAATGTTAACAGCACGAGCACTGTCAGCAGTTGTAGTAGCACAAGCAGCAGTACTGTTCATAGGTTAGATGTAGAAAGTGACTGCTTAGATTATGAAATTTTGTGGGAAGACTTGACCATTGGGGAACAAATTGGACAAGGTTTCCATCTCAGCACACATGCTCTTATACTGTTTTTCTAGAATTAGGACTCTGGGTTAAAGGATTTCTATACGTAATGGCTCATGTCGAAACATTCTTGTTGACCTGCTATCGCTCATTTGATGTTGATGCAGGATCTTGTGGGACTGTCTATCATGCCCTGTGGTATGGATCAGTATGTTCTTCCCCTCATCCTCATATCATTCTAGTTCCATTTCCGACAAATGAATCTAGGATACTAGCATCCTAAAGTTTGATGTAGATGTTTTAATTATGAACTTTCCTTGGTCTTGCCAATATAGTCTGACACTGTTCATACCCGACATTACAGGGTCCTTTTTCTTAGTGTGCATTAGTAGTAGAACTCCACAATAGTGTTTTGGCTAATTTCCTTTTCTAGCCATATTGTCAAATGTACTAAATATATAATGATCACTAGTTCGGTGGTTGGAACTTGAAAGATGAGCCACTTTTGTTTTCAGGATGTTGCGGTCAAGGTATTCTCCAAGCAAGAGTATTCAGAAGATGTGATACTTTCATTTAGACAAGAGGTGTGCTGATCCTTTATTATCTAGTATCATCTATAATTGACACGTCCCTCTTTTCCCTTTTGTTTTGAGCCTCTCATAATGATTGTTCATTGATGAAGGTATCCCTTATGAAAAGACTTCGCCATCCCAACGTGCTGCTCTTTATGGGTGCCGTGACCTCACCTCAGCGTCTCTGTATCGTTACAGAGTTCCTTCCTCGGTACTTCCTAAAAGCTAGATATCTTAAGTTGCTAGCTCTACGGTGCTTTTTCTAATGCATATCCGGAGTCTTTAAGTTCGCTAATGCAAATCTATTATGGTAGTAGTTAGTACTACCAAACCGATATCTGCTTGCTAGACTGAATCACTCTTTGCAATTTTGTCTGTTATGCAGTGGAAGTTTGTTTCGTTTGATCCAAAGGAACACAACCAAAATAGAGTGGAGACGGAGAGTGCACATGGCTTTGGATATTGTAAATAGTGATCCATTTTGATTTCTGAGTCCTCATTTGTTCCTTTCGATGATATATATTCTCATGAGAAGATACTTCTTATTAGTCATCTCCTTGTAGATGAACTGTTTCCTCATACACAATTCAACTGTGGTATTATTTGTTGCAACAGGCACGGGGTATGAATTATCTTCATCATTTCAACCCACCTATTGTTCATCGTGACTTGAAGTCGTCGAATCTTCTGGTTGATAAGAATTGGACAGTAAAGGTAAAGTCTCCGGTTGACTTATTTGGGTTTTGCTTATCAGTTGTTACCCCCTTGATACTGGAAAACCAAAAGCAAATGATATGATGGCTATCTGACCAGGTTGGTGATTTTGGGCTATCTCGTCTAAAGCACAAAACATTCCTGACAACCAAGTCCGGGAAGGGCACGGTAAGCATTTAATATAGTGCCTGATTTAATTTAAAGTTATAAAACAATGAAAATGAAATGTCCAACTCACTTTTCTGGTTTTGATTTCTTGAATTGTTGAATTTTGATTAATCCAAGAAGAAAAAGTTTTGATGTTTGGAATGAATGAAGTTGAAAAATGGAATTTCATTACGCTTGGGATTCCTGGTTGCTTTTGAAAGTAGAGGGATTGGTTCGATTGTTTTGATAGGAACCAGTTCGACGGAATGAATTTGATGAATCTATTGTTTATTTTATCTTGCTCATTACCTTTCTTTCTCCTGCAACTCTTGGCTCTTGCCTTTTCATATTGCCCAAGAACCTGTTTGTATTTTCTATCGTTCAAACTACAATTTATCTAGATTGTTGCGGGAATTTTTATGAACTCGATATCTTGAATTAGTTACTCTACTAATTGAAAACAAAAGTAATGTTGCAAAGCTACTAAAAGGCTATTTTCCTACTGCCTGTGCAGCCTCAATGGATGGCACCAGAAGTTCTCCGCAATGAAGCCTCTGATGAGAAGTAATTATCCCTACTCTTGTTTCTTGCTTTAGATATCTTCTTCGAAAGTTCCAGCTCGTTATCCTGCTTGATTAATTCAATTCCTCTTCCATGTAGGTCTGACATCTACAGCTTTGGAGTGATACTATGGGAACTTGCAACCGAGAAGATTCCTTGGGATAATCTCAACTCGATGCAGGTACTATAATTAGCATAGTTTTCCCCATTCAGCTATCTGACAAGATTCAGAATGGCATATATGAACAGCATCATCAATTTAGTAAAATTTCAGGTAATTGGTGCTGTGGGATTCATGAACCAACGGTTGGAAATACCAAAAGACCTCGATCCTCGTTGGGCCTCTATAATTGAGAGCTGCTGGCTCAGGTACATCACCATTTTCATCCTTAATCTTACTTTCCTTCCAGGAGTTTTGGTGCATTGAATGTGACTGTTGCTGATGTTAGCTGGAGCCTAGATATTTCATTTTTTAATGTGGAATACTCCTGAAATATCGTCGACTATGACATGCAATATACTTTCAGAAAACAAAAACCGGGTTGCCTGAATAAGTTGAGAGAGGTTTTTGGACTTTATTTTTTTTAATCATATTCCCTTTTGGAGTGGGCATTGATCCAATTTGTGGTTTGTATGAATTGAATAGGATTCGATCTGCTCTGAATTGAATTGGGTTGAATTGATATCAGAATCAGATAGGTATAGAATTAGGGGTGGGCATTCGGTCGGTTCGGTTCAAACCGAACCGAAATTATGCATACCGGGTCCCCGAATTCTATCAAACCTCAAACCGAATTCGAACCGAATTATAATTCGGTTCGGTCGGTTCAAACCGAATTATAATTCGGTTCGGTCGGTTCAAACCGAATTATAATTCGGTTCGGTTTTTCATACAAAACCGAAATAGTGAGGTTAGCTTGTATCTTCTCTTTTTTAAATTATTTTTCACCCCTAATGCAAACAATAAATATGCATCATCAATGATAAAATCAAACATTTCAACACATAAGCCATAAAACACTAACACGATTCAAATATTTAAGTCTCATAATAAGTAGAAACATAAAAATCCACCATTTAGAGCTTGCAATTATAATAATTCGGTTTTTCGGTTCGGAATTCGGAAATTCGGTTCGGTCGAAAGGACCTTGGTTTCCGAAATATGCCCTTTTCTCTTCCGAATTCCAAACCGAATAACATTAATTCGGTTTCGGTTCGGTTTATATTCGGTTCGGTTCGGTTTTATCGAACCGTATGCCCACCCCTAATAGAATGATATCGAAGTATAAATCAACCCAATATCGGTTGCCAAATTTGAGTTTTTTGTTGTTGTTGTTTCGGTTCCATGAATTCTCTTAAAATGAAAACAGAAAGCGGGACCAAATCTGTTGAATGCACTCTAAGTTTAGTTTTGTTCATCCTAATACTGATTCAAATGAATTCTGGATGGAACCAGAAAACAGGAGACTTGTTTCGTTTCCTTTTCACCTCTGTGTCAATTTCTAACTTGCAATTATGGCATTAAACTGTTTTAAGGTCGTCTTCCAGTTATAGGATTTATCCAAACCACGGCTGTCAGGTTTTGACCTCGAAAGATCGTTACAGTTCGGATTTTCCAAGTATATATGACATCGATGCTGATCTCGAACATGTGACTTCTAGGTACTGGAAGGTAAAAAGTCCTACATAGGAGGGTAGGCCAACGAGGGAGCAATCTAATGATAAAACAAACTTAGAAGTCACATGTTCTAATTGGTTCGACTGGTTCCAATTTGATCCAAACATTGATTCGATCTGCTTCGATGTTCCTTCCCCACCCCCCCCCCCCCCCCCCCCCCCCCCCTGCACTTCTGTTCTAGTTATAGGAGAAGAGGCCAACGAGGGAGTGATCTGACGATAAAACGAACTTAGAAGAAGTCACATGTTCTAATTGGTTCGATTGGATACAAACATTGATTCGAACTGCTTCGATATTTCATCCCCTGCACTTCTGTGCTAGTTATCAAACTCTGCTAACCTGTTAGAATCTTTAATTTTGGCTTCGCTACACTGCAGTGACCCAGCCAGCCGCCCAACGTTCCAAGAACTCCTGGAAAAGCTTAGGGACCTCCAGAGACAGTACACCATCCAGCTCCAGGCCGCCCGTTCCTCCGCAGCCGCTGGAGAACATCACGCCACCACCCTCCACAAGGAAAGCTAGCAGAGCCAACTCTCGTGGCGCGAGCCCTCCACAAGTCCTGCGAAACCTTTTCGGCGTTATCTCGAAGAGGGAATTCCATCCCACCCCTGATTTGATTGCAAAGAAGGAATTCTTATGGATTTGTAGTGCCACGCAGTGATATAGAACAAACAACACAGTCAATGTTGCTGGCGAGGGGCAGAAAGGCACAGAAACTGGAAGGTTTTTTTTCTTATGGGGAAAGTTTTCTTTTTTATTTGTTCTTTTCTTGGCGGGCAGTCTGAGTTTGAGTGTGTGCGCGCACTTTGTACATGTTTCTCAGACGCGCCAATATTTAAGAGGAAAGGAGAGAGAGAGAGAGGAAGAGGCGGTGTTATATTTGTTGTCACTGTGTGTAGGTTTGGGTGGATTCATTCACCAAATTGATTAGCTCATTGGTCACTTTAGGAAATTCGTTGTGCAGATTACGGAAGATATATAAAAAAAAAAGGCGGAAGAAGTCTGAGAATATGGATTTTAATGGTGTCTCCTTTTCCGTTTCACCGCCATAGCTTCTCCTCCTTACGAATCCTTCCTACGCCCCCCAAAACAAACCTCCAATCCGCCATTCTTCCGTAGCTGATTTTCCAGGGCACTGCTGATCCGTTCATAGCTCCGCTACGATCTCTGCTCCTTTCTGCCTTGATTCGGAATGGATACGCCGGCGGCGAAAGAGCTTCTCCGGAAGATGAAGGAGCTGGAAGCCGGACAAGCTGAGCTCCAAAAGGAGACGACGAGGCTTCTTAGGCCTTCTTCTGATCAGAAGTCCGAGAATCTGCATGAACAGCTCCACCGGCATCCTCCTCCTCACTCTCGATTCATCTCGCCTCCGCGTGAAAGAACGGGACGGCACTTCGTGAAGGCTCCGGCTACGAAGAAGTCCTCTCCGTCGCCGTTTAGCCATTCGTCTCCTTTGGAGCGGGAATCGCGCCGTCCGAGCTGCGGTTCCGGTAATGACGGCGGCGAAAGGAGTGCTGGTCCGTCTGCCGTGAAGCTTACGGATAAGCAGTACTTGAACATCTTGCAGTCCATGGGGCAGTCCGTTCATATTTTTGACTTCTCCGGCAGACTCATCTACTGGTAAACTGATTCTGAACTCTTATGTTCAATTATTTCCTTCTTCGCCGTAATTTTAGTTTCGTTTCGTTTGCAGTCTTTATTCGGAAAGTTCTTTTTCGTCTATGGCGATTTGCTTATTGAGGCGACGGTGGTCGACTGATCAAAATTTCGTTGCAGGAATCGAGGTGCTGAAAAGTTGTATGGCTATTCTGCGGCGGAGGCTTTTGATGGAAACATCGTTCAGCTGCTTGTAGATCCCGGTGATAGAAGGATTGCGCAGAATGTTGTTGATCGTGTCCTCCGGGGTGAGAGCTGGACAGGACAGTTCCCTGTGAAGACCAAGAGCGGCGATAGGTTTCCAGTCGTCGCGACCAATACACCTTTCTACGATGACGAGGGTACTTTGATTGGGCTGATCTGCTCATCTATGGATTCAAGGCCATTTCACGAAGTGAAGGCTGGTTTCTCTGGTCCCTTTGATACGGAAGCAGTCTCGAGTTCCTCCAACTGTGGTGTTGATAGAACCTGCAGCAGTGTCTCGGCTAAGCTTGGTATGGATTCCCAGTTGCCACTGCAAGCAACACTCAAATCTAAGATATCTAACTTGGCAAGCAAAGTGAGCAACAAGGTGAAGTCCAAGATTCAAACTGGAGAGAACAACAGCTTGGATTGTCGTGAAGGTGGTAGTGGAGATGGTCATCATTCTGATCATGGTTTCGCGGATGTAGCGGCAGAACATAGGGATGATGCAAACTCCAGCGGTGCTGGTATGCCTAGGGCAAGCTCACGGAGGGGAGATTTTCATCCATCTCCTTCTGTTGTCTCGCCTTCTGGCGATGATAGTGAAGGGAAGCCGGCAATCCTCAAGGTCATCACTTCGAAAGCAGAAGTGTGTATGGGTAAAAAGGGGTTGTCATGCCCATGGAAAGGGCATGAGAGGGAAGTTCCCGAGGCAAGAATGACCAAGTTCGTTTGGCCTTGGTCGCAACATGACCAAGAGGGTGAAATGAATCGTCCCTCTAATGCGTGGTCGTTATCATCTGGAAATGTTAACAGCACGAGCTGTGTCAGCAGTTGTGGCAGTACGAGCAGCAGTACTGGGAATAGGATAGATGTGGAACCTGATAGCTGGAATTATGACATATTATGGGAAGATTTGACAATTGGAGAACAGATCCGAGAAGGTTGTCAACATAGTATACACACTCGCTCTAGTGCGGATTTAATTATTATTTTGCTTGGCTCATGTTAACCCTCCCTGATATTACTCTTTCAAAATGTTGATGCAGGGTCTTGTGGGACTGTCTATCATGCCCGGTTGTACGGATCTGTATGTTCTTCTCCTCCATCCTTTTATCATTCTGATTCCATGTATTGATGGTAGTACTTTGCTTCAAGTGTTGACAGCCGAATATGAGCTCCTTTTGAGCAAGTTACTACAATCCTAAAGTTCTACTTAAGTGTGCGAATGTGAAGGTTCCTTGCTGTTGGCAATTTAGACCGGCATTGTTCATACTGCACACTGCAGCAACCTTTTCTTGTTCATACTGCAACTTTTCTACTTGTCAGTAACACTAAAATATATAACCATCAGTTTGGTAGTTGAAACTTGAAAGATGGCACAATTTTGGTTTTTTTTCCAGGATGTTGCGGTCAAGGTATTCTCCAAGCAAGAGTATTCTGACAATGTGAATCTTTCATTTAGACAAGAGGTGTGCTTCTTCTTTATCAGTGTAATCTATAATTCAATTTTCTTAGTAAAACAGTACTCCCCCCTTCTTGAAACCTCTTTGTAAACTATTGTATGTTACTGAAGGTATCCCTTATGGAAAGACTCCGCCATCCAAATGTGCTGCTCTTTATGGGTGCCATGTCCTCACCACAGCGTCTCTGTATCGTTACAGAGTTCTTACCTCGGTACTTCCCTATATTCTGCTCGTATTAAATTGCCAGCTTTACCTTTCTTTGAATGCAAAATCAATTAGACCGAGGCACTCTTCTCATGTTTGCCTGTCATGCAGAGGAAGTTTGTTTCAGTTACTCCAACGAAAAGCAACAAAACTAGAGTGGAGGCGGAGAGTGCAGATGGCATTGGATATTGTAAGTAGTCAATCGACTTCTAGTTCTTACCTTTCTTATTCATTTGGTTGATGAAGCGTTGGACAATCTGCTGTCGTCTGTCTGTTGCAACAGGCACGAGGTATGAATTATCTTCATTGTTTCAACCCTCCTATCGTTCATCGTGACTTGAAGTCTTCAAATCTTCTGGTTGATAGAAATTTGACGGTAAAGGTAAATTCTCCCCTGGTCATCAATTTGGCTTTTGTCCATCTTTATCTTAGCGTTATGATTTCAAGTGTGTGTATTTGGTAAATTATATCTTCCAGAGACTGAAAACCCAATTCTTTTGACCATCTGATCAGGTTGGTGATTTTGGGCTGTCACGTTTAAAGCATGAAACATTTTTAACAACCAAATCCGGGAAGGGCACGGTAAGGAGTTGTTCCAAATGCTCCATTTCGAGTTGGGAATTGAATGAAACGAGAAATGTTATGTTTTTCCTACTTGCATGTGCAGCCTCAATGGATGGCCCCAGAAGTTCTCCGGAATGAACGTTCTAACGAGAAGTAAGTCTCTCTCTTCACTTCGCCATGTATTTCCTCTTCGAATGGGCAGATTTTGGACACTTCGGACATGCCATGCTTCTTAGTACTTTCTTCATTTCCTCTCCCATGTAGGTCTGATATTTACAGCTTTGGAGTGATACTGTGGGAACTTGCTACCAAGAAGGTTCCTTGGGATAATCTCAACTCAATGCAGGTACTACAATAAACTTAGTTTTGCCCATTCGGCTCTCTGTCAAGATTCGGCAGGGCATATATGAACAGCATCATTGATTAAGTATAATTTCAGATAGTTGGTGCTGTGGGGTTCATGAACCAACGGTTAGACATACCAAAAGACCTCGATCCCCGCTGGGCCTCTATAATTGATAGCTGCTGGCTCAGGTACGTCACCATTTTCAGCCTGAATCATTCTTTACTTCCCAGTGTTTTGGTCCATTGAATGTGTCTTTTGCTGTACTGATGTTAGCTGGAGCCTAGATATCTCAATTTTTTTTAATGTGAAATACTCTGAAGTAGCGTCAACTATGACTTGCGATATCCTGTCAGAAAACAGAAGCTGGGTGGCCTTGATAACTTGAGAGAGGTTTAGGAATATGAATGTTTCATCATACTGAGCCAATTTCATTTCAGCTTGAAATCAGTTGACGAAAAAGGCACGTTCGGGTTCGTTTTGGTTTCGATCGAACTGACTGAATGTCTTGTTTGGACCGTAAGGACCATAATTTGATCGAATCTGAATCGAAATCCAATTATCGTTTCGATCTGATTCAATATTTCGGTTCCCTTGCTTTCCTACTTCAGCAATGGAACTCTGCTAACGTGTTAGAATATGCTATTTTGGCTTTGGTAATTAAATTGCAGTGATCCAGCCAGCCGCCCAACATTCCAGGAACTCCTGAAAAAGCTGAGAGACCTTCAGAGACAGTACGCCGTCCAGTTACTGCCCTCCCGTTCTTCCGCAACAGCTGGAGAACATCACACCACCATCCTCCAGAGTGAAAGCTAGCCAAGCCGACTCGTGACGCAAACCTCCACAAAGCCTGCGAGAAACCTTTTTGGCGTTATCTTGAAGAAGAAAGATCCAGCTCAACCCCATCCCCTGATTTGATTGCCGGGAAAGAATCCATGTGGATTTGTAGTGCCATTCAGTGACAGAACAAACAAGACGGTCAATGTAGATGACGATGGGCAGAAAGGCACATAGCAGGAGTGTTTTTTCCTTTTCCATGGCAGGCAGCCATGTGAGGGAGATTTGAGGGAAAAAGGTATTTATATCTTTTTGTTTTCTTTTTCGTGGTGGGCGGGGTTGGCTGAGTTGGTGTGCGTTTTTTTGTTTATGTTTTCTCAGACGCGCCATTATTTAATAAGAGCAAGAGGGAGGGAGGGCGGTGGTGTTGTTTGCTTTATTTTTTAGTAGAAGGTGGTGTTATTTGCTGTCACTGTAGTTTGGGGGGGAAGAAGTCAGAGAAGGTAGATATTAATGGTGTCTTCTTCGCGATTCAGATTCTCCTCCTTCCGAATCCTACCTCCCCTCCCAAACAAACCGCCATTTCTTCAGGCAGAGGAGCCTAGCTGGTTTCCCTTGCTCACCGTGCTCCGTTCGTAGCGCTACTGCGATCTCAGCTCCCGACGAAATCCTCAAGCGCCTTCTCGCCCTACCTTCCATGGATGCGCCGACGCCGCCGACCGAAGAGCTACTGCGGAAGATTCAAGAACTGGAGGCCGGGCAAGCTGAGCTCCAGCATGAGATGGTGAAGCTGCTCAAGCTCTCTTCCGATCCGAAATCCGAGGATCTGTTTCTCCACCAGCACGAACAGCACCACCACCACCATTATCACCACCACCCTCCGCCTCGCTCTCAGTCCGTCTCGCCTCAGCGTCGTCAAGGGACTGGACGGAGCTTCGAGGCGGCTCCGGCTGCTGTGGAGAAGAAGACCTCTCCGCCGCCGTTTAGGCATTCGTCTTCGTCGCAGCGGAATTCTCGCCGTCCGAGAAGCGGTTCCAGTAATGACCGCGGGGGAAGGAGTGCTGGTCCGTCGGCTTTGAAGTTTAGCGATAAGCAGTATTTGAACATCTTGCAGTCTCTGGGGCAGTCCGTTCATATTTTTGACCTCTCCGGCAGTCTTATCTACTGGTAAACTAATTCTCTGCTTTCCATTCTATTTATAACCGTTTCCATCTTCGCCGGGATTTTTAGTTTCCGTTTCTTTTCTAGTCTCTCTTTCGTCCATGGCGTTTCGCTTATTCAAGGGGTGGTGTGGTGGTTGACCAATCGAAATTTTGCTGCAGGAATCGAGGTGCTGAAAACTTGTATGGTTATTCTGCAGCGGAGGTTCTTGGTCGCAACCTTATTGAGCTCCTTGTAGATCCCAGGGATTCAACGATCGCGCAGAGTGTTATTGATCGTGTGTTCCAGGGTGAGAGCTGGACAGGACAGTTCCCAGTGAAGACCAAGAGCGGCGATAGGTTTACAGTTGTGGCGACCGATACACCTTTCTACGATGACGACGGTACTTTGATTGGGCTTATATGCGTCTCTGCAGATTCACGGCCGTTTCACGATGCCGGGGTTGATTTCTCTGGTCCCGTTGATAGGGAAGCAGTTTCGGATTTCTCTAACCGTGGTATTAGAAGTAGCAGCAGTTTCACTAGTCTCACAGCTAAGCTTGGTTTGGATTCTCAGCAGCCTCTGCAAGCAGCATTCAAGTCCAAGATATCTAACTTGGCAACCAAAGTGAGCAACAAGATGAAGTCTAAGATTAGAACTGGAGAGAACAGTGTCGATCATCGTGAAGGCGGTAGTGGAGATAGTCACCATTCCGACCATGGTTTGGGGGATATTGCAGCAGAGCATAGGGATGATGCAAACTCCAGCGGTGCTAGTACGCCTAGGGCAAGCTCACCGAGGAGAGATTTTCATCCACCTCCTTCTGTCGTCTCACCTCCTGGCGATGAGAGTGAAGGGAAGCCTGCAATCCACAAGATCATCACTTCGAAAGCTGAAGAGTGGATGGGTAAAAAGGGGTTGCCATGGCCGTGGAAAGGGAATGAGAGGGAAGTTTCTGAGGCAAGAACTACCAAGTTCGTTTGGCCTTGGTTGCAGAATGATCAAGAGGGTGAAATGAATTATTCCTCTTCTGGGTCGTGGTCATCCTCTGCAAATGTTCATAGCACGAGCAGCAGCAGTTGTGGTAGCACGAGCAGCACTGTGAATAGGTTAGATGTGGAGACTGATAGCTTGGATTATGACATATTGTGGGAAGACTTGACAATTGGAGAACAAATTGGACAAGGTTATCATCTTGAGTGTACAAACTTGCTCTACTGTGGATCTAATGATTTCTTTCCTTCAATGGCTCATGTTAACCCTGCTATTCCTCTTTTGTTTGTGCTGATGCAGGTTCTTGTGGGACTGTATATCATGCCCTGTGGTATGGATCAGTATGTTCTTCTCCTCATCATCCTTTTATCTTTCTATTTCCATGTATGATAACTGTCGATAGCTGAATATGAACTTGCTCTTAAACAAGTTACTTGCACCCTAAAGTTCAAATGTGACCATATAAACTATCCTTGTTCTTGCCAATTTGGGTCGAAATGTTCACTCAACATTACGCCAACATTTTCTACTTGTGCAAATGAAAAATTTGCTGCAGTACTTGAGCAAAACTGAAAGAAACGCCCTATAGTGGGTTAGGCAGTTTCTTTATCAAACCATTTTGTCTATAACACACCAAATATATTATGTCAACTTTTTTATGGTTTAAACTTGAAAGATGAGCCATTTTTTTGTTTACAGGATGTTGCGGTTAAGGTATTCTCCAAGCAAGAGTATTCTGACGACGTGATACTGTCATTTAGACAAGAGGTATGCTTCTTTCTTATGTTATCTGGTGTCAACTGTAATTAAAATGTCCTAGTAAAACAGTAAAAAAAGAAAGTATTTTTCCGTTTGTTGGAGCCTCTTGTAAATTATTGCCTGTTGATGAAGGTGTCCCTTATGAAAAGACTCCGCCATCCAAATGTGCTGCTCTTTATGGGTGCGGTGACCTCACCTCAGCGTCTCTGTATCGTTACAGAGTTCCTACCCCGGTACTTCCTTAAAATATACTCTTCTGAAGTTGGCAGCTCTACCCTTTCATTGAATGCAAAATCAAATTAGACTCAGCCACTCTTCTCATGTTTGCCTGTTATGCAGAGGAAGTTTGTTTCAGTTACTCCAACGAAACACAACAAAACTAGAGTGGAGACGGAGAGTGCAGATGGCATTGGATATTGTAAGTAGTCAATCCACTTTGAGCTCTCAGTGGTTCATTCGCTCCTTCCAATGCTGAGAAGCATTGGCTGATCTTTCTTAGTCAATCGGTAGATGAAGTGTTTAGACATCTACTGTGGTATCATCTATTGCAACAGGCACGGGGTATGAATTATCTTCATCATTTCAACCCTCCTATTGTTCATCGTGACTTGAAGTCTTCAAATCTTCTGGTTGATAGAAACTGGACGGTAAAGGTAAGCTCTCCTTGTCACCAATTTGGTTTCTCGCCATCTTTACTCCTCAGATGCTGAAAACCAATTTTATGACCATCTGACCAGGTTGGTGATTTCGGGCTGTCGCGTCTAAAACATGAAACATTTTTGACAACCAAGTCTGGGAAGGGCACGGTAAGTTGTCCCAAATGATAGATTCTGCACATTTTCAAACATTTTCCATATGAAATTGATTTCAAACATTTTCCGACTTGCATGTTTAGCCTCAATGGATGGCACCAGAAGTTCTCCGCAATGAACGTTCGGATGAGAAGTAAGTCGTCATCCTTATACTTTGCCATTCATTTCCTCTTCAAACGGGCTGACTTTGGAAGCTTCAGATTTCAGACATATAACCCCTGCTTACTACTTCCTCCAATGCCTCTTCCATGTAGGTCTGACATCTACAGCTTTGGAGTAGTACTGTGGGAACTTGCGACGGAGAAGATTCCTTGGCATAATCTCAACTCAATGCAGGTACTCTAATAAACCATAGTTTTCCCCGTTCAGCAATACGTCAAAAGATTCGGCATGACATATATGAACGACGTCATAGTTTTAGTATTAATTTCAGGTAATTGGTGCTGTGGGCTTCATGAACCAACGGTTAGAAATACCAAAAGACCTCGATCCGCGCTGGGCCTCTGTAATTGAGAGCTGCTGGCTCAGGTACGTCACCACTACTCTCTATCTTAATCCTTATTTCCTTTGCAAAATTCATTTGGAGTGAATTACCACGGCCTAATTAGTCTCAATAACTCGCGCAGTTAGAGAGGTTATAAAATGAATGTTCTATTCGGCTAAGCATTAGTTTGATTTTCATTTACTACTGTGAATGATATCACCTGAATAGCATCAACAAATAATTTGCATTGTCGTGTCAGAGAATTGTTCTTTTGACAAGTCCTTCCTATAGAAAAGGGAGACGTGTTTTCTTTATTTGTAATCGCTCATCTCTGTCATTTTCAAACGTGCAATTAGGTATGTTATTAAACTGTGCAAAGGTCGTATTCCAGTTATAGGATTGATTCCAAGTCCCCAACCACGAATTTGGCAGTTTTTGGGATATTGTTATATTTTATCTGTTTTGACGTGGGTGATGGCCCCCCAGTTTAGCCCGTAAAATAGACAACAAGAAAACAAGGTTTCATTTTAGATTTGCCAAATCTGTCTGAGATCGATGTTGATCTCGTGTGTGATTTTTAAGTCATAAAGAGGTACCTTGTGAAATCAACCCTCCGGCAAGGTCAATCTTGTTATTGACCGCGACGTTTTAGTAATAATAGACTGTTAATTTCCTAAGTAGTAGGCAGGCATCCGGTCTGGTGTAGCGTCGGACAGTATCATAAATCAAGGAACCTTGAGGTCCAGCATCACTTCAAAGCGCATAGATGCAATTCGATTCTCGTTCCCATATGATCCACATTTAGTCTTAATGAGATGGAACGAAAACGAAAAGAAGTCTTGGATTCAAGTATTGAACAATCTGAATCACATTTCGATCCTATTCGATCTCATCTGCCCACCTGTAGTCTTTGAGTCATTTTCCCCATTCTCCTCTGCTTCAATCTTCGAACTGGCTAACGTGTTATAACCTGTTATTTTGGGTTTGATAAACTGCAGTGACCCAGCCAGCCGCCCGACGTTCCAAGAACTCCTGGATAAGCTGAGAGACCTTCAGAGACAGTACAACATTCAGCTCCAGGCTGCCCGTTCTACTACAGCTGCAGCTGGCGAGCATATCACACTCACCTCCCACAAGGGAAGCTAGCAAATCCCACTCAGAACAGACAGACGGAACTTCGCGAAGGTCGCGAGACTCTTCATTCGGAAGATCCACCCCTGATTTGATTGCTCCAAACCGTGTGGGTCTGTAGTGCAACGCAGCGACAGACACAAACAAGAAGCTTGTTTCGCTGTTGCTGACGGTAGAAAGCAGGGCAGAGAAGCAGAGGTAGTAGAAGACCGTATTTGATTGGAAGCCATGTGAGATGCCGAGGGAGAGGGTTACATTTCCTGGTGGTGGGCTGAGTTGTGTGTTTTGTACATGTTTCTCGGACGCCATCTTTAAGGGATGGGAATGCTGGTAGTCTTAGTGGTGTTCTTTTTTGTCGTAGTGGGGGGTGATATTTTTCATGCACTAGCAGGGATTCCTTGGTGCAGATTCAAAAAGATAAAACGACAATGGAAGGGGAGAAAAAACAAGTTATCAGTGATCAAGCAGAGCATAGTGGCGGGATGTAATTGTAATGTGAAGGAAAGAAAAATTGTCGTGCTTTTTGTCTGTCTCTGCATTTGTCTGTTCTGTTGATGGATTATCAATGGCGTCGACATCATTACCAACTCTTAAAGTATAGTGGTCCTGCGAAGCAGTAATACAGGGATTGTTTTGTTTTGTTTCTGTAGCGTGCTGAGGTGTGGATTCGAATCGAGCATATTGTGCAAATCATACGATAGATTGCAGCATTTTGGCAATGTATCTGCAGTTAAAACTGTGCATTCTTTTTGCTGGGAGGTGCTGTATAAACTAGGTGTGACATGGACGTCAATATGATTCGAGGGGACACTTTAGGTGATGCAACATGGACGTCGGACGAGATGAATTCGGTGCACAACAGGCAAAATCACTGTGTACTAAAATTTGAACCAGATTACGATTCTCAACTTGCAAACCTTTTCCCTAATATTTCTGATCTGGTCCCATGCTTATCGTTGCCGGATTGGATATGACCTGAACCTGGCCTCCCGCTTCTGGTAAAATACAGCTACACAAAAAAAAATTCTTGCGGCCCAGGAGTACAAGACTGGTTAGTAAATGATAACAATATTTAGACCCCGGCAATCGATCAATCAATCATGCAAGAATTTCATCTTAACAGAAAAATGCATCGAAGGTAGAGAGTCAAAAGTTGATACAAGAACACAGGCTACCAGCACTCAACTGTGTGAATGAATTCACCACAGATAACATCACCAAGCAGAAGCGGAAAGCTCTTTTGTCTATCTTCAGTCTTTACCGAATACAGGGGGGATTCAAGGAAGTTCAGTTCCAGGCTTCTAGTTCATCCCAATAGTTATCTGCTGGATAAGGTATCGAATAGCAGCAACGGCGTCTCCCTTGTGCTCTCGCAAGGTCCTCTCTGCTACCTTCTTGTCCAGCTGTTCAAAATTGAAACAATGGCATACAAATCAGAATCTCAAGAAATATAAAATGGTGGTTCTTCGGGTTGGGGTTTGATGGTTTCATCATCACACGAGCAATGAAACACAATAGAGCAACACGCCCGGAATTATTACCTCCAATTCATTAGCGATTACATCGACATCTGCTGGATTGATCTTCACTGCAGCCAGTTCTTTCTCCCTGCTCGGTTGACAAAAATCAAGCTATTGATTCAGTTCAACTTTCATCAGTCGGCAACAAATGCAAAAAAAGGCATGGAGACTTGAGCTTTTGCACTAAAATGTGGTTTGGTCAAAGGACAGTTTAATTCATTCTCGCATTCATCAACCATTTGCGCTTCTAAGACACTGCATGGCCACGTCGGTGGCAGAACTGTTTGCCATTAATAGTAAGAAGTTCAGGAGATTAACAGGCATGATATAGTAGGCCATTTTCCCCAAACCTTCATCAGTCAAGGTGTGCTGTAAGGTTTTACAAGGCACTAAGAAGCGAAACAAGAATTCAGTCTATTCCGGTAGCAATCTCCTTATTGCCTTGCCTCCATTTCTCATCAGAGGCCAATTCATTACCTTATTTGAGAAAAATCTACGAACCAAAACGTAAGGCATATGGGGTTCAGATCCTAATAATCTTAGGATAACCGCAAACAGCCTAGCAACTCAGCTCTGAAGAGCAAAAGCCCGCAGCTCTATACCTTTCAAATCAGTAAAACAGAACCCTACCGCAGCATTCCGCAGTGTAGCTCCATACCAAAACAGAAGGAGTTCGACTGCCCTAAATCTTGGCGGCAAATTGGAGGCAATACTATCCACAAATTCCCAAACAGACAACGAAAGAAAGAAAGAAGATATTGGAGAAGCCATAGAGCACTTGGCGTTACCTCAATCTCATAGCATTCCAATCCGCTTCGGAAGACGCAGCGATCGACGCCATAGCCTATAACACAATAGAGCGGCGGAAAGCGAGAAACAGTTAGAATCAGAATCAAAACCAGTGAGGAAGCTCGAAAGCGATAGAGAGAGGAGGGAAACCTCTTGAACGCGGGTGGAATCGAGCTGGCGATCCTCGACCCGGTCGGTGAGCTTATCGAAGGCCTTGCTCTGCTGCTGCATGTCCTTGGAGTCTACGACTCGCTCAACTCCTTCGTCTCCGGCCTCCATCTCTGCAACTTCTTCTCTCCGCAGTGAAACTTCGCAATCTCTGATAAGGAATTCTATGGCGGAAGGAAGCAGGTGTTCGTTCTTCCACACTCGCAAGTCGCAACCCCCCCTCGATTTTTAGGGCTGATTTTCGCGTTCGTTCAGTTTCTCTCTCTCCTCTATTCAAACCGGGACTTTGAGATTTGGGCCGAGTTCGACGCTAATGACGGATAAAGGCTTTATGGACCTTATCACCACAAAAGCCCATCAAAATCAAACTCAGTCCATCAGTAGTTTAGGCCCATCGATAAGCATGCTAGTAGCGGGCCAATGACGAAGATAACCCTAGGCCGTAAGGGCAACGTCCTCTTTCAATTTAGTGACTTAGTTGACTGTTTGACTGATTGTTAAACAAACTTTCAAACCTAGTGGTACGAAGATATAAGAGAGAAGCATCCATTGGGCACTATATCTATAAGCTGGCAATTATGAGAAGTGAGCTTTCATATACACATATATATGTGGTATGACTATGACCTACTGATTGGTGAAGTGTCACAAATTCTTGCTCTATATGTATAGGATACCGAAAGAAGGGAGCTAGAGGCTGACCACTAACTGCCTACTATGGTTTCTTATTGGTCCTAAAAGTTTGCAATTAAGAGGAGAAAACGAATCTTCCATATAAAAATATATATTATATAAGGGTAGCTAGCATCGATTAGTTTTTATCTCATTTCATGGCTCTAAATTCTAAAATGAAGATCAACAATGTAACCTCCAGAACAAATTCTTATTTGCGGATCTTCCAAATATTAATCACAATAGCCATTTGGCAACGGATTATCGTCGACAACTTGGTCAAGATAACAATCTAATGTGATAGTTACTTGATTCCGGTAGTGATTATTTCGGCTCACTAATCGTTCCATGCGAAACTTCTCACAAACAAACAAGTCGCAGATTTTTTAAAAAATCTTGTCATTGCTAATATATTTTTTACAATATAGCTTAACATATATTTCGATTTCAGTTGCTTAAAAAATATCATAAGATCAGTTAGAAATATATAACATGATAAGTTTTTCATTTAAAATTCACATGTTACTGCGACTGAAAATCAAAGTTTACAGTAAATCAGAATATATGTAAATGGTTTGTATAGAGTCTAAATGATACTATAAATGATCACTCAAGAGCATGGGCGGAGCTAGGTGGGGCCCCCGAGAATTTTCAAACCTACGTATAATTTTATACGAAATTTAGGGAATTACGTATAAACAAATCATTTTATATAAATAATTTTGTGTGTAAAAAGAGCCACAAGTAGCTTGATAGTGTAGTGGTAGGCATGCTCAATGCTTCTATCATTTAGCCAAGTTTGAATCTTGGAAGTAGCAAGTTTTTTAACTTTAATTTTTTTCTCAATATTTAGCCAAGTTCAAACATTAATATGTACATATATGTATTTTCCAGTTATAAAAATATTGGAGGACATGCTATACATTGGAATGCATGATTTATTATTTTGTTCATATAATCTAATAACTTGTTTATAACAAAATATCGTAGAAATTAATGTTTTGTTTATATAATTCGCATTTTCTTGATAATAAACAAAAAAAAATTCGGCCCCCCGAACCTCAAATCCTAGCTCTGCCCTTGCTCTAGAGTCTAATTATAAGAATGATAATTAACACATCCCTTAATAAATCGACGACTCTAGATCAGCCATCCAGCTGTCTATCTTCATTTAATTACATATATGCTGCCCATGCATGCTTAGCTGGTAGTACGTTCTATCTTGGAATATAACAGCGGTGTTATTTAATTTGTACAACCATGCCACAGTATAAATAGATGGACAATTCCACACTAATTTAATCTACTCTCTCTATGATCTCTCTTCAAAAATATGGGGAAGCAGCTAATTCCTGTCACTTCCAAATACGTTGGAGTCACACTTCTTGTTCTGATGCTGGCTCTGGCTTTTGGCCTGGCGCAGTCCCACAGGCTGCTGCGAGAAGTATCAGCAGCTGAAGATAAAAGAGGAGGATCAATGGAACACGAAATTCCCGGCGGCGAGATCGGAGGAAAGAAGTGCAAAGGTGGCGCCGGTGGCGGCATGGGAGGCTTCGGAGGTGGTGGTGGCGGCATGGGCGGCGGTGGAGGTGGCGGTAGCTACGGCGGAAGTGGCGGTGAAGGAAGCGGCGGCGGCGAAGGTAATGACAGTGGCGGCGGCGGCTCTGGGTACGGCCATGGGTTTGGAAAAGGGATGGGCGGCGGGGGCGGGTCTGGGTTGGGCCATGGGTTCGGGCAGGGGATGGGTGGCGGTTCTGGGTTGGGCCATGGGTTTGGAAAGGGGATGGGTGGAGGAATGGGGGGTGGGTTTTAGTTAAAAGGATGTATGCGATTTGCATGTGATGCATGGAGGATTTAGGAGTCCGACGAGCAATGTCTGGTCATACTTATTGTTGTGAGCTAATATAAGCTCCCTATGATGATTTCTCCATAAATAAAACTTCGAGTCATGATGAGTTATTGGGCCGTCAAAAGTCAAAACCTTGTTTTAGTCACGTCGTCGAAGCCCATGTAAGCATGTTTGTTGGGCCGATTATGTAGCACTCCAGTCTGGATCTGGGTCTTCTGTAGCCAATTTGGGCTCAAAGAACAAATAACTACTGGGCTTTGAGTTAATGATTGTGGGTTGCTGATGATACATTTCCGAGACGTAGGTAATTAATTAGTGAGAACGCGATTCTGCCGTGTGTTATTATTTGTGCAGCTTGAAAATTGAGAGCAATCGAAAGCGATACTGCCGCCCATGTAGATAATGAACGTAAGTACGTAACTAGTCAAGTGGAGGAAGAAAGGATCGCAAATGGACACGACACGTTCATCAGAAAAAGAAATATATATATATATATGAACGTTTCATGCCGTTTGTCATTTTGCCTCCAATATCGTCAATTAATCAAGTGTCGGGATTATTGGTTGAATTATTAATTAATACTTGAAGGTTTTGAGTTTTGGTGTATAACATGTGGTTAAATAGTACTGCATAATTCTTTTTAGGCAAAATACACTTCTATATCCATAACTTTCACGTTTGTGACAAATATATCCATAACTATCGAAATACACGAAATACCCAGAAAAGCGTACTATCGTGTGACAAATCTATCCATTTCCGTTACAAACTTTAATGCCGTTTGTTACGGCGTCAGTAAATGTGACGGAATGCTGACTAGGACCATACCCATGCCACACCTAAACTCCAGGTCAGCAAAATTTGACATGTAGACGCCATGTCAGCAAAAAATAAAAAATAAAAAAAATTATCTCTGCCACATTGATTTCTTCTCTCCCTTGCTCCAACATCAAACAAAAGGAGGAAAGGGGAAAAACGAGTTCTGGGAATTTTGAGAAGAAGTTGGCTCTTCCCCTGCCAACTGCTACCACTGAGAAGAAGTTTATTAGGCAAAAGAGATTTGGATCCACAACCGCCGGCGGAAGCTCTTCACCACATCAATTTCGAGTATCAGCGGCAATGGTTGCATCCACGTGCGTCTCCTCCTCCTACTGCTACTTCCTCCCAACCGCGCGCCTGAGAAAATCGGCGAATCCCATTGCGCCGAATCGGCGAGTCGGAGAAACACGCCGGCGAATATAGCTTTTTAAACTCTCGTAGACAGAAGACGAGGAGGATAAGGTTTGTGGTCGGGTCGAGTTCGGGCAAGAAACCGGACAAACCATCATCGTCATCGATACCGTCTTGGACAGACCCCAATTCGGACGAACCGCCTCCGTGGGCTACGGGAGAAGCCGCCAAAGTGACTACTGGCGGGGAAGAATTTAAGATCCCCTTCTTCGCTTATCTCCTCGCCTCCGCAATCACTGCAATCGCCGTCGTAATCTTAGAAAAGAATACCCAAATTGAAATTCAATCCTCCGCCAAGACCTGTAATTTCTTGCAGAAATCTCACGATTGTGGTGCTGCTGGTGATGCAGATTGGGTCGGTGTTCGAGTACGTGAACCAGAAGCCAGTTTTCGGGGTGCTTGACCGACAGTTATGAATCCGGGTTGAAGGTTGGGAGAGAGATTGACGGGGGGATTCGAAGAAGAAGAAGGGGGGAGATCGAATGTTGGGACTGAGATGCAAAGAAGAAGAAGGGTAGATCTGATGTTGGAAGAGAGATTGATGGGGAGATTCAAAGAAGAAGGAGGAAGATGGAAGGTCGCGTCTCTTTCTCTTTCTCTTTCTGTTTTTGTATTTTAATTTTTGTTATTTTTTTCTTTACAATCCATGTCATTTGGTGGGATAAATCAATCGCCAACTCAGCTTTTACCGTTAGTCTAGTTATACCATCAACTGACGCCGTTAACAAAATGGACGGAAGTGGGTATTTTGTGTATTTCGATATTTATGGATATATTTGTCACAAACGTGAAAGTTATGGATATACAAGTATATTTTGCCTTCATTTTATTACGTAAGTTGATATGCTATACTATGATATGATTGTAATATAATGCTGCATAATTGTGATACGACGAGAATACGGTGTGTTATTATATAGTAGTACAATATGTTATAATGACGATGTTTGAATGATTATTTAGATAAGATTTCGTATGTAGTACCTGATCCTCCTCTTGAGGTGAAGTTAATACTATATCTAAGACTTTTTCTTCATAATGCAAGACCCGCCCTTAATAACAGGCAACATAAATGTATCGTTTGTTTGTATTTGATTTCGGATCAACAAAATAGTCGAAGCTTATGTCAATAGTTAATGAGGATATTCGGTCTAGGTTAATTATTCTCGCAAAATACTCATATTATCAACTAATAAGCAATTCATATCAAATTGAGGAGCAAATTCTTTTGAATTGATGAGATTCCTACAAGTTAAGTGCTTTGTGTTGTCTGAGTGACTTCGTGTTTTTATAGTTATTGAGGATTATGTGTCAATTGAAGTCCATAGAGCATGAAAACATTTTTATTGGCTTCTTTGAGTAGTATCATCGTTAGGAGCATACTCTGCCCATATGAATAATTGATAAAAATGTACATTAGAGCAAGTAATATAATCTACTCAACTCGGCCCCTTAATCAATCCATAGACTTATGATTGCAATTTGCAAGCAACTCACGTTACGCGGTGTCGTGGATTGATTAAGGGATTTGGGAGAGAAAGACGTTGCCCTAATGATCATAATGTGGAGCAAAGAAGTTAGTTGAAAGTTGGGACTTGGAAATTGGAATGTACTTGCTCATTATAGCTTTGGCCGTCCAATAAGTTGCACTATCTAGCTACTCTAAAACACCCTGATAGTCAACCGTAAAATCTTCCTGTGATGTTTACATTTTCCCTGCCGACGTTGATTTTTGGGGACGGAGCTTTTACATAGAAATTTTAGTTAGAGTCGAAATGTGTCATCATGGTCGGATGAGCTATTATGTATATTATTATATGCTTTTTGACGTAAAAAGATTGTAATTAATTAATTATGGATTAGAATAAATGAATTTGATTAAATTGGATGGATGGTATTTGTGGATTCATGAATTATAGTAACATCTAATTTTTTAATCATTTTAAAAGTTCAGAAAATTTGGTAGCAAATTGTTATTATAAAAAGATTAGGTACCAAAATATAATTTTGAAGTCTGTTAATCAAAACTTATATGAAGTTTACAACAATCCGACAATATATTGAATTTGGATTAAATTGATTATATTAGGAGGATGTTTTGGTAGATGGATTGTATTGGTAGATTGGATTCAAATTGTCGCCTCTATATATAAATCAATTAATCTTATAAACTATCTAAAAATCGACCCAAGTGACCTATTTTTAGCGTAGCTTCATCTATCAACCAAACAATTATCTCCACACAATCTCATGATTTGATTAACTAATAATACGAAATCAAGCCACTAATAAATTTGAAGGAATTAGGCTAGTGATAATATGAAACGAGAACATCCATCACACTTCATATTTGAATTTTGTGCCCAACAAAGTAAGATTTTCGGTACTAAAACAAAATTAAACTGAAAAGACACAAGCATTCAAAAACCATTTTGGAAAGGTTTTTAGTACAAAACACCTCTCCGTGCTAAAATTCTGAAACCTATAGCTTGATATGCTAACACCGCCCAAAGCTTCGAGTTTTGTCAAACAAACACATTTAAGTAGGCGGCAGAACAGTTCAAACATATCAAATCCTCATTAATTCATCAATTAAATCGACAGGGTAGTACTGATAACTGAACAAGTGATTTAGAGCCCAGTCTCTGAGTTTCTTTTGAGAGTGCGAGGAAGAAGAGCCACATATGCACACAATTACACTGATTGAATATATAAAAATAAAAATCATAATCAACGACTCTCAATTGCTTTAGTCCACCTGCCGGCAGCTGCCTCCATTCAATGCTTAATGCTCTGCATAGCTGGAACTACCAGCGTACAACTACGTAGTATCATATCATTCGACTACTACCACCCCACACTATAAATAGCGGCCCATTCCCCCCTACTCTGCTATCTACAACTCGAGCAAATTAAATCATCAAATAGTACATTTGAGTGATCAAATTTCGTGTCGAAATGGGGAAGCTAATGACTTCCAAGTATGTTGGAGCCGTCCTTGTTGTGATGCTGGCATTGGGTCTCGGTCTAGCGCAATGCCGTAGGCTGGAAGAAGAAGAAGAGATTGAAACGATTGGCGGCGGAACTGGCGGTGGCGTTGGTGGTGGTGGAGGTTTCGGTGGAGGCAAAGGTGGAGGAGTTGGAGTTGGTGCTGGTGGTGGCGCTGGAGGTGGTGCAGGGTTTGGAGGAGGAAAAGGCGGAGGAATTGGGGGCGGCGGTGGTGCTGGTGGTGGATTTGGGGGCGGTAAAGGAGGTGGCGGAGGAGTTGGCGGCGGTGAGGGGGGAGGATTCGGTGGCGGAAAGGGTGGTGGTATTGGGGGAGGTAACGGCGGCGGGATAGGAGGAGGTGCCGGTGGTGGCTTTGGAGGAGGTGCCGGTGGCGGCATTGGGGGAGGCAAAGGTGGAGGAGTAGGAGGCGGTGCAGGTGGAGGCTCTGGAGGTGGAATTGGTGGCGGCAATGGAGGTGGTCATGAAGGCGGAGGTGGAATTGGTGGCGGGAAAGGTGGTGGAGTTGGCGGCGGTGAAGGCGGTGGCATTGGTGGTGGCGCCGGAGGCGGCAAAGGTGGGGGCGTTGGTGGCGGTGGCGGGTTCGGAGGTGGTGGAGGTGCCGGAGGCGGTGCTGGTGGTGGAGCGGGAGCTGGCGGTGGCTTTGGAGGAGGAGCGGGAGGGGGAGCCGGAGGTGGTGGAGGATTCGGAGGAGGAGCTGGCGGTGGTGGAGGATTCGGCGGCGGCCATGGTGGCGGAGGGATCGGGGAAGGTTTTTAAGTAGATTGACCGTTCAAACGAGCTATGTATGTACTATGTAGTACTCCGGAATATGCATGGGAGTTCAAGCTAGTGAGCTAGCTATACTTGTTACCAAATGAATCCCATTAAATAAAATGCAGAAGTATTTATCAATTAACTTGGAGATATTTGTTGAATTCGAAAAATGAAGATTTTGTTACATATCAAATCCATGATTGAAATCCAATAAACAATCATTACAATTACAATCCAATTTCGTGTTATAATGCATCGCATATATTGAAAGGCCATGCATGAATTTGCAAGAAATCGTACCTATCATTAAATCGGTAGAACTATTCAAAATACAACAATCCGAAATAGTTGTGCCTTATGTGATGAAAACTGTAGAACTACAGAGTGTAAGGTTGGAAGTGGTAGTTAGGGCCAAATTTCTAGATCAAAGAAATGAGTAATAATGGATCAAATGAAAAATTCTAAACTCGGAGATCAAAAGAGACGAAAAAAGTCCATGATTGTGCGGGCAATAGAAGGATTGACATGCCACCAAATGTGGAATCCTCTTAATAAAACGGCCGATGCTAGGAGACCAGCTAGCTACCAGTTACCGGACTTGTATGGTAACATTGGCGGCCGGCCGTCTGCAATCACAAGTACAAATACTTCTGGACTCCTTCACCACCCTCTGGGATCTTCGAGTGTGCAGCTTAATATTCACCACTTTGCCGGCCATCATTCTCCAGGTCAAGTCTTCAGGTCCCAACGGTTGAGCTGGACTCGAATACACAAAATGCCTCGCGTACTGACAGTATCAATTCAGAGTTATTTCAAATTAGTAGCAAAGTCGGGGGAGAAGGTCAGATCCATGTACGCCCACTTCAATTTTCTAAACTGCTTATAGATCATCTAGGGCTAAATTATCGAACACCCAATTCAAGACCACATAAGGCAATGGCAATACTTCCCCGTAGATCATGTACAAAGTGATGTGTGTAAATAAATCGGCAGTGGAAAAAAGAAGTGATTGCATGAACTGATTAAGACAAATCGAACCTTGGCAAGGTTTGCTTGCATCTGCTTGATCTCTGCACGACTGACACTTCTTAAGAACTTCAGTAGCCAACCTGGTTGTAAAGCATCACCAGAAGAGACGAACAAAGCTATCTGCATTCAAGCAAAACATTGGATGCATAAGTAAACAAGCGATAAAAGTAACTGTTGAGCTTAATTGAGAACCCTTAATAAACTGAACTTGTAAAGCAAGATAAACCACATGTTACATTTGGATGTCAAAATCACGATGCTGTGCCGACCGACTATCATCTACTTAACCTCTGCAACATAGCTTTCAAAGATACATCAGGTCGTTCAAAGAGAAAAGGGGGTACCTACCTTTCTATAATCAAGTATTCCTTCGAAAGGAAGTTCCAACTCGTCACTAACTATGACTGGAATGCAACCACTGACAATAGCATCAAACAGTCTCGCGGAAGATGGAGTGTCACCAGCTGGATTCAAGCAGAAGATGGACCTGAAGAGGAAGAGTGAGCAATGTAAGACTAACAGGGATCCAGGTTGGGAAAGACAATGTACAGAAAAATGGCTAACATGTTTTTTACTTGCGCATGCCATTTTGAGCTGCTTCTTTCCCTCGCTCACCAGCTGTCCCTTCCTGTATAATCACATCTTCAACTCCACTTAGTTCTGATCCTAGCTTAGACCGTATCTTCCCACCCTGGAAAAGTACAATAAACACTTTACTAAGCACTAAGTTCCGGAGAAAAAATGCCAGCAACCAAACATGTATACGATATGAAAGACAGGACCTTTAATATCGTCTTCTCTACAAACTACAATCTACTTAAAGCAAGTCCTTTTCTAACATTTAACAGCATGCACTACAGTCTATTAATACTCAGTTGCAGGTCAAGATGGATATATGCTCCTGACCCCCCCAAAAAAAGGAAGCTTTGGCCACTGAGATGTACTATAGAGGGCTCAATTCTCAGTCAGTCGCAAGAAGAAGAAAAAAGTAGCTTACAGCATTTCTCTTGAGCCGCCCACGGAAATATAGCAGGGTCTTCCTCTTTGATTCAGTTTCAGACAAGCATGTTGCATCACATAGATCAACATTGGCAACATAAGGCAGGATCAGGTCTTTCTCCAGGTAAACTTGTCCTGGCTTATACCTACAACCAGCCAAGTATTAAGCATTACAACTTAGGCATATCAAGAAGCTAGTGACTACTGACTAGTGAGTGAAATCTCATTCGAACACAATCACAACGAAAAATCGAAAGTCTACCAGTTCCCCGTGGAATCCATATCCGGTAGCAACCAAATAGCCTTCTTCACGTATCTACGAACCGACTTGAACGACCATGGATGATGCACTGGAATTATGTGATCCCTCCCTTCAGACCTCTGCCAAGCAGGCTGTTCCGTTATCCATTTCAGAGCTTCCTACATCAGACAGATCGTCGCTGTTAATGGAAGCTAACTAAATGAGGCATATACCATAGCATAACCAACATTTAACAAAACAAAACGGGGAAGAAAAGAGAGCACTCACACCCTATAAAGCGACTTGCAATCCTGCTTCTCCAGCAAGAAGAAGCTGATGGTGGTGAAGAAAGGAATGTAGAACAAATCGGCATCTTCCTGATTATCAACTCGAATTACAATGTTCTTCAGCGGCCTCTCCGATTCAGGAGATATCAAATCCGCCCAAAGCCAGTAGTCGATGGAGTGCTGCTCGATGAGTCGATGGACGGGGCTGCCATTGGAGGTGAGGTTGTTGGTGTCTCGATAAGTTGTGGCGAACAATCGAAGCAATTCGTAGGTGAATTTGTGCGGCATGTCGTACACGTAAACCCTGATCGGCAAATCGAGCGGGTAATTAGGGTTCTGGGGCCGGTACATTCGGTCGGTCTCGCGGAGGAAGACGGCGTCGTCTAAGGCGGAGGGAGCGTCGCCGCCACCATTTTCGCCGCGGTCGGGAGGGATGGGGCGGGAGAGGAAGTTGTGTAGAGAAGTGACGAAGGAGGTTTCAGGGCGGCGGGAAGAGACGGCGGTGGAAAGTTCAGGAGAGGAAGGAGGAGATGAGAAAAGGAAGAGGATAAGGAGAATTGAGATAGCGGCGATGAATAATAGGAAGATTCGCGATCTGGATCTGGAGGAGAATCTACTGACCGCCATTTTTTCTTCTTCCACTTCCAGCTTCTCTGTTTCCTTCCCCTGCTTCAGCTTCTCCTCAACGTTCGGGTGAAGGAAGACGACGATGAGATGGACTGGGCTTCATTCTTCCCGATAATGGGCTTTGAGCAGAGAGCAGGCCCATTCTATGACGAGGATCTACGCAACGAGTCTTGGGCCAGCTCCAATGCGGCCAACCGTTTTGTAGCAACACGACACTTTGATCTCAAGCCTCCCAACACGACACTTTGGGGTCGTTTGGAAGTTGCGATTGTTTTATTGAGATTGTCATTATGCATGTATTGTTTACAATGCATCATTTTTTTATTTTTTTAGCAGAAACAATACATGGATTGTTTCTGTGATGTGACAGAAACTATCACTCATTTTGAGTGATTGTTATATCTCAACTTTTAGTTGTGATTGATGAGATAGTTGAGTTGAGATTGTTTTGTCTCAGCTTTTAGCTGATGCGACATACACAATCACACATACCAAACGTTGTATTCTACAATGCATCAAATTCGATAATACATGTATAATATTATACATGCATTCTCAACAATACATCTATTTAACAATCGCAACTTCCAAACGACCCCTTTGTTTTTTTTATAATGGTGAATAAGATTAAATCAAATAAAAAGAGGTTCAAGAACAAAGATAGACCAAAGGAAGTAAGGAGATCACAAGGATTGATCTCAATCCTCCCAAAAACCGAAAAAAGAAAAAGACAGTGAAGGACCCGAGGAGAAAGGTGGGCCAGAGCCAGATCACCCCAACAAACGGAAACCTCCTAACAACAGCAACCCCAACGAAACAGAAGCAGAAATACCCACAAAAAAAACGGCAAGGAGAGCCAAGCCAACAATGAAAGGAAACCACCAGAACGAAGCACCAGAAAAAAAACCCAGCAACTCCCAACTTCACAGAAGAAGAAGACCACAGCCAACCGGATGGAATCAGATTCTCCGAAGCTGCTCAGTCAGCCACTGAGTACAAATACTTCTCTCCACCTTGTTATGGACAGAAATCCAATCAATAGCAGCTTTACAAGCTTTCCTACATATGATAATGGTTGGGGCGCTGGTATTATTGAAAATACGTTGATTACGCTCCAGCCAAACGTGCCAACAGACTGAATGGAGCACCACGGACACAAACAAAAAGTTCAAGTTGCCAGGAACCCCCGATGGCCAAGCATGCAGAACAATGGAAAGGTCTCTAGTGGGTGAATCCACCAGCGGACAGGCTCTCATAATTCCAACCCAAACTCACGAACAAAAGTACACTCCACAAATAAGTGATTTGCAGACTCTTCTTGATTCTTGCACAAATCGCATCTATTCGCGAGAGCGAAACCTCGTTCCTTCACCTTATCCAGCGTGCGCAGCTTCTTATGAGACAACGTCCATAGGAAGAAGCATATCTTGGTGGGGATGATATACTTCCAAATGGACGCGACCGGATAATGAGGGCCCCCGAGAAACTGAGCATCCGCCAGAGCCCTGTACATGGAAGAAATAGAGAAACCAGAATCTGGGTTTGGAAGCCAAACCAGTCTACTAGGCCCATTAGAGACACGGTTAGAAGCATTAAGATTAAGAAAATAAACAAAATTAGTATGCTCTCTCTCACCCGAACCACGCACAACTAGGCCAAACAAACATCTAGAATCACAAACACAATTATCAAAGTTGGTCTTTAAGAAGTCAGCAGGAGGACACCTAGAGAGAAGGTGATGAAGGAGGAGGGAAAGGGCAAGGATCCAAATATAGAAGTGAGCCAACAGTAAACACGGTCTTGAAAATAATATTGAAGAGCAAGGGAATGGGCATGTGGTTAAGTGCTCTCAATATCACTTTATTTTGCCTTATTCAGATTCTCCATAATAAGCATACACATTGGAGAATATGGGTTTTTATCTCAGAGAGTATAAGCTTGTGACACTATAGACTAAAATTGATAGTACATCTAAAGAATAAGTGTGCAATACTCTCTTAATGACTCCAAGACACCTGGTCTCTGGTTAGACAATTTGCCCCTCGAAATTGGAGGGCAAAAATTGTTTTTCATCCAAGGAAGTGGAGTTGGTTATACATAAAATATAAGAGATTTGGAAAATTTTGAAATTGGATTGGGGAAGGCTACAACATACGATCATTTTCATTTACTGTGCACGACTAAATTCAGAGGAAATCGGAACCAATATGCGTATACCATTATTGGTTAACCCACGTCGATTTGATTGAGAGAATCCAATAAAGTGAAGAGGAAAGGATCCAGCTTCGCTGATAAAATGTTTACTAAAAGACTATAATGGGTCTCAACGGAACTTGACGCAAATCAAGCCCAAAACGGATTGAAAGTGGAAATAACTACCTCGTTAATTTCAAACGAAAGAGACTTAACTGCAGTAAGAGAGCGAAGGAACCAAATAACCAATTAAATGAAGCATTAAGAGCCTAGTTGAGATATCGTAATAATTGGTATCAACGACACTCGCTGCAAAAAAAAAAGCCCCAATCGAACAAGGCAACAGCCAATTATTGCCACTTTACTTCTTAACTGAAGAGAATTTACTACTTGAGTTTTCAGAATCAATATTTGATTGATTGGTAGCCTCTGAGGTTATCAACAAAATTTTTGGCTAAGTCACTTTGATTTTTTTTTCTTTTTTTTTTCAAGTTACTTATTTTCTTTGTCCAAGTCTCTTCTCTTTCTGTCGACTCCACAGAATTCATCTAGGACGCCAACCGATGAACAAACAACCGTAAAAGCACACCTAAAACCACCCAGGTGAGAGGTGACCATCTTCGGGAGGCTATGGAGGGACCCAAAAAATCATACGGTAGTCAATAGAGACTACCGCAACGATGAACTAGGACAAAAGGCCGATAGTAACGTACTCATATGATGATTATGGATAACAACTGGATTACGATGTTACGCAAACGTATAATCAAACATTAGACGATCTACATACGCCTATCATGAGAGAAGTCGAGAATAAAAAGGAGAAAGATGATTGCAACCATCATGCTCGGAATTTGGGATATCCACGTGGAAATTGTCCGATGATCGATGGATGAATAAAACAACATTGTTTTCCTGCAATTGGAGGTTGTGTAAACTTCTCCTGATTTAGATGAATGGTATTGATTCTCATTTAGTCTGATCATCCTTCCACGAAAACGAGTAGTCATCAGATCAACCATGATTCTTTTTTAGTTTAATTTCCTTCAATATCTCATCATTCAGATTACACAAATGAATCAATTATGGCATATAGCAAAAAATAATCCAAAGCTTGTCGTAGAGTCACCGAATTTGAAGGCCTAATTATTTAATGTCTTTTCATGCAAATATTATGGGAAATTGCCGAATTGGGGATCGTATTTACTCATGTAGTAGCAATGTATCACACATCAAGATCATATGATTCATATGAATGGTTATGTTTTATTTATACGAGTTACGAATATGATCCTGCACTACACTATTATCTCTAGATAAAACAAGATATGATTTACCTATTTAATTTAATAATATATATATTGTGAAGAACGGAAACTTTGGGCCGAACTGTAAACAGCGTGAGGTTGGAATCTATAGTGATGAGGCCCAGCCCATTGAAAAAGCATGATCTCTAATCGATTTCATGTCATCATCTCACAAATTAGTCTTCACCATTGACCATTGAGATGGATACAACCGTATGAGCTGTAGAGCACTTCTACTATGCTATATAGCATTGGTGTTTTAATGTACAATTTGAAGTTGTACCATAACATTAAATGTAAAAAGTATAGGTACAATCTGAAGTTGTACCATAACGTTAAAGGTACAATTTCAAATTGTACCATAAGACAAAAATCTATAGGACCAATGCTATATAGCATTATAAAATTCCTCATCAGCTGTAATCTGGCAAAGCCTTCGTACGTAACAAGACAAAAAGGGTAAGTAATTGATGGCTCTTTACTTCATTTAGCTGCCGAAACTGCTACTTTGCTTGGCCTCCGGCCGATCCTCCCTTGGCCATCGAATTCTACTGCCTTCAAATTCCTCCTGCGCCATCAATTGGGTTCGCCTGATTAATTACAGCCCTTGGTTTTGGTTACAGAGTTGGTTACTGGGTATTAATTACAGCCCTTGGTTTTGGTTACAGAGTTGGTTACTGGGTATTAATTACAGCCCTTGGTTTTGGTTACAGAGTTGGTTACTGGGTATTATCAGCTGTGGAAAACAACTAATCACAGAAAAGTAGAAAACTCATTATAAAGACATATAAGAATGCATGGAATGAATGAAATGACTAATTGATAAATTCGTATTTACAATGTGAGGTCGAGGGATTAGTTACGGATAGCTATTTCGAGTCACAATATAAGTATATAACTAAGTATGTAGCATTGGAAATTCTATTGATAAATATTAATGAAACTATAGATAGAACGAGCTTATAATTAAAATAAAATGACATGAAAAGTAAGACTCATCTCGCGTCCCATGTTATTATTAGAATAAATTTACACTCTCGATGGTGGTTTGAGATTCGTGGTGAGGGGCGGACCTAGGTTAAAGGGGAGTTGTGTCAAGCGGCACACCTCCGCTTGGATCTCTCCGAAAAGTTCTTTTTTTCGTTCTAAATATTTTAAATTAGGATATATGAAACAAATTCAGAAGTTGTAAATGACACATTTGTTGTAATTACAGTAAAATGACTTGATAAAAATGATATTCAAAATCAGAACAGTGACTAGTTTATCAATGATTATTGGATTCTTCATTGAAAAATATTTGAGTTGCAAAATAAACGATTAACGTATTTCATAAACCTCTCGTTATATAGAATTTAGTTGCTCGCCGAAAAAATAATAAAATTGTGTAATTTATAAAGTATTTTTTATTATTTTATTTTTATCGGCTGACACCGTTCTTGAAAAATCCTGATACGCAACTGATCGTGTTTAACATGATTCACGTCCAAACAACTATCTTACCGTCCTCGATCACATTACTCTTTTTTTTTTAGGGAACCGTTGAATACTCTCGATTTTTTTTTTACATTGAATACTCTCGACTTGACTAGTAGTTGAGAGTGTGAACTCGGGATACCATGCGTTGACCCTTCATCACCACAACCCCATAACTATTCTTACGTATAGTGGAATATTAGTATATAACCTAATAAAAGAGCACTACTAAGTATGTAATTTCCCTATCTCCTTTTAGCAGGACAAATCAATAAGCCATGCAATAATCCACTACCTGAATAAGCTATATGCCATCATAATTATATTCCCACCTCCTAACCAACTAACTGCACCAATTTATTACGTTCATAAGTACGTACGTATAACCAATCTTCAAAACTTTGTGCATGACTCTCTCTATAAATTGCGGCTTCTTTTCCCCTACTGATTGTGCACCACTACCACTCATGAGCTGAGTAACGATCAAAAAGAAAAGAAGAGAAAAAAAAATATACTAGAAATTTGTTATGTTTTGAATCCGATTCAAGTTTTTGTCCGATGGAGAAAAAGCGAATTAAGTTGGCCGTGATGGTGCTTGCGTTCGTTTTGACGTCGATCGGGGCAGCACAATGCCGTGAGATGGAAGGAAGGGTAGAAGGAGAAAGGTTTGTGTATGCTACTATGGATCAGAAGCCGTCCACCGTTGAGCGTCCTCAGACTTTCCTTGGTGGTAGTGGCGGCGGTGGATTTGGCGGCGGGTTTGGCGGCGGCTTGGGGTTTTCGATCGGCAGGTTGCTGTGTGATCAGTTCTGTTCCGGGCCCTGGGGAGGCGGTGGCGGGGGAGGAGGAGGTGGCGGCGGCGGCGGCGGAGGCGGAGGTACTGGCGGTGGGTATGGACAGGGAGGAGGCACGGGGAGCGGCGGTAATTGCGGCGGAGGCTGTACCGGCGGTGGGACTGGCGGAGGAGGTACTGGAGGCGGTAGTGGATATGGAGGTGGAACGGGTGGTGGAGGAGGAGGCACTGGCGGCGGAAGTGGTTCAGGAGGAGGTACCGGCGGCGGTGGCGGTGGCGGTGGAGGAGGGGGAGGTGGCGGTGGTTCGGGATTTGGTGGAGGGTATGGAGGCGGCGGTGGGGGATCAACTCATGGCGGAAAAGGTGGCCTCGGTGGTAAAGGAGGAGGTTATGGCGGCGGAGGCGGATCATCTCCTGGCGGTGGAGGCGGCAAAGGAGGCGGTGATGATCAAGGAGGAGGAGGTGGATACCCCGGCGGTTCACCTGTCGAATGTCCTCCCGAAGTTCCCGGCGGCGGTGAAGTACCACCACTGCCTCCTGCAAGCGGCGGTGGTTACGGTGGCGGAAATGGTCATTGAAGCGCCGGAGATGAGTTTTAATTAATTTCGTTCAGTGTCTGCTATATATTAATCAATCAAGGGATCAGCGGAACTTCGGGTGGGTGCAAGTTATTATTAGGCGATGATTATGTAATGAATTCACTCTCCAAATAAAATTAATATATTAAACGAATAAATATTGTTGAGAAATTAGCATATTCATTGAAAAGTAATTAACGTTAAGGAACAAGGACGACGCATTAGCCGTATAAAAATCTTAAATTCGAGACACATGAAATTAAACCTTAATCACGCCCAAAATGGCAAGATTAAGTGACGATTATACATGATAACCACTGGGAACTTTTGTTTTTTCCTTAATCGTCTAGCCAAACAGGGAGCCACTGCGTGCCGTCAATGAAATCAATTGACATAAATTCCTGTGCTTCCTTCTCCGTGAGCTGTTTGGCCCACGGAGCGCGTTTCTCCTTCTCAGCTCCAGGCCCAAAGCAATGGTACTCTGCTTCGAACAGATTCCTGCAAATTTTAAAAAAAATTAGATTTTAGTATTATGAGTTATGACTCTTCTTTTTTACTGTAATTGCGAGTTAATTAGCGGTAAAAAAAATGATTGAATTCGATGATGCTTACTCTGTGCCTCCTTCGTAGCTCCAGTTACTCCATCCCTCAGGGGCGATGGTTTTCGAGAGGTAAGTCTTGCAGAAAACCACCCTCGAATACGCACCTTTCGCTCTTCCCAAATACACCATTCCGATCCCGTAAACCTTCCCCTTCACGAAGACGAATCCGCTCTCGTCCGGTTCTTCCCTGTTCTGCGCCGTCACAGATCCGTGGATGTTCACCCTGAAGTCCGCTATCACGAAAATCTCGCATCCCTGGGGAAGAATTCGTGCAACGGAAATAACTGATTTTGTGTAATCATATGAATTTAATCAATCCAATGCAATGCAGGAGGCTTACATAGTAGATGGACCTGGCGCGACCGAAAATGAAATCGATGGAGCCCTGGATGTAGCAATGGTCGTAGTAATGTCTCCCCTTGTAATCGAACAGGGTGTTGTGGTTGCTGAAGAAGGCGCAGTGGTAGAACGCCGCCCTGTCGTGGCCGACGAATGCCGCCACCGACTGGTTCTGCGACGTGAACGCCTCTCCGACCGGCGCTTCATTCTGAAGGATTAAATCAATGAATTATATAAAAAAAAAATCCGTCTTGAATCGATCAATTTCATCTGTAAGACTGTAATTATAATTAAATTTCCTTCAATCTTTGTACGCACATGGAAGCTGATTCCGAAGGCAATGAAATTAGGGGATTCGAGCTTGAAAGTTGCAGATTCCATGTTGTCCGTCGAGCTTTGAGACCAAGTAATGTGGGTCTTTCCCTTCCCATTTCCTCTCAAGAATATGTACGGTTTGTTGGCTGGGATGTGTACCTTTTCTCTGTTTCGAAATTGATTTCAGAACATTGGTTAACCATAATTAGTAATTAAACTACAAATTGGTACCAAATTTTGGGTTGTTTAGGTCTCGATTAACATAATTAATTACCTGTAAACTCCTTTTCTTATATGGATGATTACCCAGTCAGGATTCATGAGAGGAACCGCATCAATGGCTTCCTGTACGCTCTTGTAATCTCCATTTCCCTCGAGATCGACCTTGATCGTCCGGTTCGTCCCGATCTTCTTGGTCAGCAATTGCGAATCTATCACGGTGTCCGAGGGCGAGGCATCTGCTTGGCCGGAAAGCCAAACGGCGGCCACTAGAATAGTCACCAGAACGAGGTGAAAGTTAATCGAAGAAGGTGGTGAGAAAGAAGCCATTATTTCTTCTTTTTTCTTACAATGATCAGTCTCTTTTTTTCCTTTTTACTGTTTCATGTGTCGATTGAAGTCTGGAATCAGGCTCATCGACGCGAAAAAGGGATGGAGTTCTTGTGTTTTTTAAAAGGAAACCAGAAGATTTCAATGGGGTTCGTTACATTGGAGAAATGAAAAGAGGTTAGAAAAAAAAAATTGGACGATGCAGAATTGCAGCGGGAAAAGTTTGGTTGAGAAGGGTTTCCCTATATTTGGAGGGAAGATGTCAACGGAACGTGGAAAAGCTAGAGAAACAGAATCTGCAAAATAATCAAGAAGACTTTATTGGTGGTCCGGTGTTACGAGAGTGTCTCCAGATCCTTAGCTCTTTGTCTGTTTGTATACGCCATCAGTGCTACCCATAGAGTGGCGCGTAAAGCACTCCTTTGTCTCTTGTAGAGCTAAAATCTTTTGATTTCTTGGGGTGGCTTCTTTAGAGTCTTTTAGGTGGTCCTCGGTAGAATTGTAAGGTTAACTATTATTTCTCATTGATATCACTCAGAAATAAAATAAAAACCTAGGTAGCAGCCCGCTCCTGCTACCCCTCCACATGTTATCTCCTCATTGGCCCTTTTTTTATTTATATTTCACATTCCAAATTATAGGGTAATGCTAGTAGTTAGTAAGAATGAATGAATCAGTGCCGCTAAAAACTCCGATCACAGGCTCGCCACTCACGCCGACGACTCCGACTCCACCGATCGCCGATTCACCCTCCCGGTGACCCGACTAATCGTCGATTCAGTCCTTGCTTTGAAGATCTTGCTCTCAAGGCCATCGGAGACGCCCAAACCTCTCGTTGGGGCCTTGAAGATCACTCTCTTTCATATCTCGACTCCGATGAGTCCCCAACGGCGATCCGAGCTTTCGAGCTTCTCCGACCCTCGGGTCGTCCAATGGTAAGGTTCGTCTGAAGCTCGCTTTGAAAGAACGCCCCATGCCCCAGCTCCTCTCATCGGATGGACGTCGGTGACGATGTTTAGCGGGACGGAACTGATCCCTTCTTAATTGAGGTTCTTAGAAATCTTTGGGACTTCTATCCGACTTCAGCGGTGGCGGGACTCATTCATTCTTACAGCTGCTAGCATTACCCTTTAAAAATAAAAATAAATAAAAATTAAGAAAATGGGCCAATGAGGAGATAACATGTGGAGGGGTAGCAGGAGCGAGCTGCTACCTAGGTTGCAGCCAAGTATTTCCCAAAGAAGACAACTATTTTTTTCGTTTTATTGTAGAAGGATCGTGCATTGTTTAGCTTCTCTTCCGATCGTTGCAAATTTTAAATCACATAACAATCCCTTCACCATCTTTCAACTTTACATTTAAAATTGCCACATCATCCAAATCAATATTAAAATAATTCACATGGTCAAATTCATCAAAATCAAACTCAACCAACAACCAAAACTCATAAACCCCCAACTAAAAATGAAGTTGAAAAAGAGAAACAAACATTGAAAAAGAACAATAAATCTGCATATAGTTTATTTGCCCTTTTTGTAAAATGAAGATGGAAAAATTAGAAGATTTCACACCCATTTTCCATTTTGATGTGGGCTCTTTTTCCATTTACTGAGTAGTTCTCGTTTCACTCACATTCCAGTGGATAATCCATCTACAAGTTGTACATGTGAAATGTGCTCCACCAAACCTTCAGACAGCAAGCGCCCTACACAAACAATCCACGAAATCAATCACTTGTAAAGGATCGTTTTGATACTAACCATATTTTCCTCTTTGATTATAAAAATAGATGTTTGTAACAAGTCATTCTTTTCTTTATTGTGTGTGAATATGTATACAAACTTTAAGCTCTGTGGGTATTATCATCCAACGTAACTATGTGGGTTTACTATTACAACCCTTACTAACAAAACACTAAACACTTATAAATCACATTCTTTTAATAAGGATGCGACAGTTTCATTACTTAAGGGATTACACAATATATGAGACTAATGAGAGAAGTAAAACTGAACCAAGGGCAGGATGGAAGAGACGAAAAACAACAGCATAGACACCAAAAAAGCAGCAAAAATACCCAATATATATCCACATGAGTTCACCTACATTGCTAAACAATGGACTCATTCCCTCATAATTTCCACAGTATAACACCGTCATGAATATATGTTACTTGGTTGGCATGATAATCTCGATCTTCGTTACCAAATCACTAGCATCAATGTGATATAGGGAAGATAAATTTGCAGTTCTTAGATTGTTACATGGTTTTTTTTGTGGCGTAAATTTTTTTTTGTCACAACCAAATTTAGTGAACAAAAGTATTTTTCATGGGAACAAATGTGAACTTTAGAGCAATCGAATTCCTTGTGAATATTACATTCGTCAAAGTTGGAAGAAACTGAAACATTGCCCCGTTAAACTGGATGACATTGAAATGTAGCCTGCTTAAAAGTATAATTCATGTGAACAAAGGTTTAATCAAGCGATTTTATTGTTGGTCTTCTATTTAGAGATAATATGTTTGAGTCTCTTAAATAATATATAAGAATAAAAATTAAAACTATGTTGCCCTCACTAAAAAGTTGGATTTGATCTTTAAAAATGTGGGTTGAGTCGTGTCATTTTTCAAGCCTAGTCGAGTTGTTAAATCATAAACAACTCAATCCCCTAATGCTATTCATTTAATCCTTAAACTTGTCGTTGATGTGTAGCGAGTTATAGGATATAAATAATTTATTCGATTGTTTCCATGAACTGGTAAATGAGAAGCAATTCGATCGACGAACAAAGTGAAAATTTATTAAATGTATAAAGCGTAATTATTCTATCGATTCAAACAAAAATACAACTATATTGTTGTATGTCATTGATCTTCTTGTCGTGCACTAAGGTTTCTGAACTAATTCATGTTTTCTATTCCCAACGAACCTGCAGTTTTTCTTCCCATTGATTATTATTGTGATTTATCCTTTTGGAATACACTCCATCGTCTTTACCAATCCAGTAATTATGGTATCCATATTCCTTAGGAGTTTGATCTTCGTTGTTTACGTAAGCTACAAAAGCAGCCGCTCTAATGTTGTTGGATGGCTGCAAACGACACCAAAACAGAGTCTGCTTGAAAACTTCGTTACGAAAGTGCCATTGAAATTAGTCGTTTACTGCAATATAATGAAGTCCAAGATCGTCATCCTTTGATTTGCAGTGCACTAGTAACTGGGCTGAGGGGTCACTCAGGTGGTTTTGTATGTGGACATGATGAACTTCCCACCAGAATTTGGCTGAGTTTTGGGGAAGCAAGACTAAGAAAGTGATTAGGAATATGGTGATGGACTGACTAATAGTAGTATCCATTACTTACCAGTCCGTAGTACTACTAATTCTACTCTTCTCTTTTCCGTAGGTTGTCTCTAAGCGTTTAGAGTCTTTATATATGTTGTCACATCGTTGCAATATCTTCTCCCACATTAACTACTATTTCATATCGCCATCAATTACTTTCCAAACATAACACCCTACTTAATATGAAAGTATATTAATTAAGTTTACCTTCCAAATGCTCATAAGTTTTATGTTAATAAATACGACTCGTTACCGTTTTACTTTTCATAGAACTAGAAATGTGTTGTTTCTTGGAATGGGCCTCGTTCCAACTTCAAGTAATCATAGACTTGGCCATTATGTTGGCTTGTGTGATCTCAGGTTACGCGGTCGTAGTGGGTCGGGTCTAGGGGTGGGCAAACGGTTCGGTAAACCCGAACCGAAACCGAATTAATGCTATTCGGTTCGGAATTCGGAAGAAAAATATGGATAGTTCGGAAATCAGGGTTCTTTCAACCGAACCGAATTTCCGACCGAAAAATCGAAATACTATAATTGCAAGCTCTAAATGGTGGATTTTTATGTTTGTAGTTGTTTTTAGACTTAAATATTTGAAATGTTTTATGACTTATGTGTTGAAAAGTTTGGTTTTATCATTGATGATGCATATAATTGATATTTATTGTTTATATTAGGGATGAAAAATAATTTAAAAGTGAGAAAATACAAGTAGCTTCACAAATTCGGTTTTGTGTGAAAACCGAATCGAATTATAGTTCGGTTTAAACCGACCGAACCGAATTATAATTTGGTTCGAATTTGGTTTGAGGTTTGGGAGAATTCGGGGACCCGGTATTCATAATTTCGGTTCGGTCGAAACCGAACTGACCGAATGCCCACCCCTAGTCGGGTCATATCAGATTGATTGATTTTGGGTCAAGTACTGACCCAACCAAAATATCATAGTTGAATTTTAGGTCATTTCGCGTTACGAATGAGTGTTATGAAAAATACAAACATTAACATGATTCAAATGTTTCCATTAACACAAATTTTCTCACACACACATATATATAGTAATACTACACATGTCTATTAATATATTTTTCAAATCCTCAGATTTCGGATGTGGTATTCCTATGTTGGAGGATTTGGAAAGGGAGGTGTTGGGCTGTTCATGGTGGGATACAGTACCTGCCACCTGCTCTTCATCGCCAGTTTCGCTTCTAAGTGGATGAGTGGCTAGCAGTCTCTGCTAATCCAGGTACGACCCCCGGCGGCTTCCGGCAGGGCAGCTGCGCAATCGAGCCGAGGCCCAACTCCGCAGGCATCCTGACCTTGAGAGCATTTGACGAAGGTGTCGCGTCCTCCCTTGCACATGTATTACGATTTAATGGGGCTGTCAAACGAGATCGGGGCTACAGCATTGGTTTTGTTGGCTTCGATCCCTCGGGGTCGCTCACCTTTGCAATCGGTAAGTTTTATGATAGTATCCATGACCCTTTTATTGCTGAACTTTTGGCGCTTCGGGATGCTATGAATTGGTGTCTAACTCGGGGCGTTCTTTCTGTCAAATTTGTTGGGGACGCCCTGCTGGTCATTCGTCGAGTTTTATCCGGAGATCGGACCCACGCATTGGGGGGAGCTCTTTTGGAGGACGTGCACTGGCTGGCGCAGGAGTTCAGATTCTGTTCGTGCTCGTATGCTAGCCGTAGCGTCAACAGGGCCGCCCATTTTGTGGCAAAACAAGCCCTTTCATCGGAAGTTCGGCGATTAGTCGACTTCCGCACGGCGTTATCTTCTGTACTCTGACTTTGTGAATTCTGGTCCTTTTCTGACTATGTTAAAAAAAAAAGGAATAGAACGGTTCGAAACAAGGTTGTCAAACCGGTTTATGCCAGTGTGCCGGTTTAGCAAGTGGAATGGTTCAACCGATGGTACATACCGGTTTGTGCAGGTTCATGCCGGTTAATATTATAAATAATTTATAAATTCTCATATTTAAACACCACATTTAACGTCAATACCTAAATATTTGTACTTGAATCCAACAAATAACATCAACATTTAACTTTTTAACACATAAAATAAATAATAAATTATTTTTTATCAATTAAATTCACTAAGATAAGATCATTTTATTTGGAGATTTGTATATCGATCATGCCGGGCATACCGGTGATGTCATGCCGGTTTAATGACCAATACAGGTTGAACCAGGTTGAACCAGTGACACGCCGGCCGGCATGACAACCATGGTTCGAAATTACTGTTTCGTCCTAGATTCACGGCGGCAATTTCAACTGTAGCGTTGGGCCATAAAGCATCAGGCTTGCATGATCCAGTAACTTATGGGCCTAGACATAAGCCCATTGGAAAAAGAAGCAAGGTAGTAAATGGCGAAATGCATTGTGGTGCTATTAATTAGTCTGACCAAAATCAACAGAGGCAGTTGGTCTACATAATGGAAGATTGGATTTTAAATACATTGTTTGTAACATGGTCATGAATTGGATTTCTAACTACCCTGTTTCGGAATTACAGGGCTGCGACGCGTCAATCCTGATCCGACTCAGGAAACTGGAGCTACCTTTACCAAACGGAAATGGCTTCGAGTAAGAATTTCGAAATCCGGAAAAGGGAAGTGATCGGCTTCCTGAAATCCATCGTGGAAATTGTGTGTCCTGAATCAGTTTCCCGCGCCGATTTGATCGTATTAGCAGCTCGCGAAGCCGTTGCGTTATCCGGAGGCCCATGGATTTCAGTACCGTTAGGAAGGGAAGATTCGCCTCTTACGGCGAGCTACGAGCTCGCAGATGCTCTGCTTCCGTCCCCGGCGATCGGCGTCGACGGGATGCTGAAACTCTTTGGTCGGATTGGGTTGACCGTTGAAGAATCCGTGGCTATTATGGGTAATTCTAACCTCTCAACTCTTAAGTCATTATTGCTTCTAGAGTAAAGGAACCGATGTTTGACTTTCTATTATTTGACTTTTTAACAGGTCCCACTCGCTGGGGTGACTCACTGTGCGAACATCCCGATCCGCGAAACCGGGTCCGGGTCGATCTGCCCGCCGCCGGGAGGCTCGTTGTTGTCGTCGTCGCTGTCGAATTCGAGCTTCGTGCAGAACGATCCTACGGCCGTGGTCATTACGGCCGTGTACAATCATGTCACTCGTTGTTGTTGCGTAACATAGATTTAACGTTTAATCTAATTATTTTCAATAATTTCAACCGTTGAAAGTATGTGTGTACACTCTATACGTAGATTTAACGTTTAATCTAATTATTTTCAATAGTTCCAACCGTCGAAAGTATGTGTGCACACTCTATATAGTATGTATTCCGTATATAATGGTAAGAAGGATAATATAACGAAGTTTTATCTATTTTGCTAAATACAAATTATTCTAGTCAAATATATGTCAAACCTAAACTAAATCGGAATGATACAAAGGTTGAATTCAACTTTACTTTAACAGTTTAACTTCCTCCCACAATTATCCGTTTTGCTAATCAAAATATCCCGGGGCAGTATCGTCCAAAACAGAAAAACAAATTAGGTTTTAGTTTTACTAATCCGAAAAGGAAAGAGTTTCACGGAAACGGAATCACCTGCGTATATATAAGTAGAGGAAGACAGAGTGAAACGACTTCCGGACTCCACGAAGAAATTGGCAAGCTTTTAGGGCGAAGAAGAATTCCCAAACAGCGAGCGAGCTTTCTTTCGCTCTTCGATTCCAATCTTCGGATCTTGAAAGTAAACAATGTCGCCGTTCTGGAAGCAAGCAAGCCTCCTCCGCCGCGGCCTGGGCATTCTCGGGGAGCAGTCCGTCCACCCCGCGCCGGAAAAATCGCGGTTGCTCGACGGCGGCGCGAAAGAAGAGGAGAAAGAGAACGCGGTGGAGAAGGAAGAAAAGGCGGCGGAATTCATCAATTCGCGTCGCGGCGGCACAGGCGTTCGCGCGATGTTGAAGAAGCTGCTGTCAATTGGCGGCCGGGAGAAGAAGGCGAGGAAGAAGGGGGCGCATCTGGCGGTGTACATCGGCGAGGAATTGCAGCGATTCGATGTCCCAATCGAATACTTCCGCCACGAAGGGTTCGCGAAGCTGCTGCTCGAGTGCCGCGACGCCGACGCGCTGGATTTCAACATCAACCTGCCGATCGAGATCGAGTCGTGCTCCGTGGAGAGGTTTCATCGGGTTTGGAGAGGCGCCGTCGAAGAGGAGAACGCGCTCCGGCGCCTGCGGTGGCGGCTGTAGTTACGTTGGTTTGAAATTAGGGTTTTCTAATTTCTTTTTGTTTCCGGTTGTACTTTTTTTTTATGAGCAATCTGGAAACTGTTGAGTCTTGATTAAGAGACCTCTGTAAATGCAATCTTTGATTCGCTACGCGATTAGTAAAGTTGTGGTTGAGTCATAATTTTGTATGTCGGATTACGATGCTCTGTTCTATTGCGGGAGTGAAACAAGACTAGTCAATTTGAGTCAACGACGGAACTAACAAAAGGATCAGAGAATAGAGTCGAAACAAACTCAGACCTACCTAGGGTTGAATATTTGGGCCTGGTTAAACAACGTTGCCTATCGGGCCCGTTATCCATATAAAAGTTTCTTTATGTTGGTTGTCTTTATCCAATATAAGATTGAAATAGGAAATAAGATACAAAATAACTCTTTAACTATTCCATCGAATTTGATTAAAATGTAATTAATATTATTTTTAAGTGTGGCTTTATCAAATTTGATAAAAAGTAACGAGTTTGGTGAGTTTAACCACTCTGGCCACCTGTCAAATTTGTGGAGGAGATGAGGAGACGACTATGCACGTCATACGTGATTGTCTCTATGCTCGTGCTGCCTGGGCGGAGTTTTTACAGGAGGAGCCCGATGAAAATTTCTTCCAAAATGACTTGAGCAAATGGACCTTACACTATCTTGTTGGCCGCAGTTTGCATGTGACACCAACCAGGTTTGTAGTGATGTGTTGGTCACTTTGGAAGAACAGGAATAAACTGGTGTTTGAAAATGAGCTGGAGTCGATAAACTCACTAACCTACAAAGTGGTGACTATGGAGAAGCAAGTCGAGGAGGCGGAGGCAAAGGCTGCACGGGTCTTCGCGGGAAGCCAAGCTACTACTCGGCGGCTTATTGCTTGGAAGCCCCCCCCCCCCCCCCCCCCCCCCCCCGGCAATAGGTTGGGTATGTCTCAATAGTCAATACAGATGGATTGGTAGTTAGTGGAAAAGCGGCAGTGGGAGGGGTTATTAGACGGGACGACGGATGTATGCTGAGAGCTTTCTCGAGGAATTTGGGAGAAGGATCAATTACCAAGGCAGAGTTGGCAGGGCATTGTTTTTGGATTGCAAGCAGCTTGGAAAATGGGATTTCGACAAGTACAAGTCCAAATCGACTCCCTCTCTGCTATTCAACTCATTGGAAGCGCAGGGGAGCGGCATCCTCATTTGGCTCTGGTCTCTATAGTGCGTCGGCTAGAGGCTCTCGACTGGCAGGTAGAAGTTATTCATGTGTACCAGGAAGGGAACGTCGTCGCAGACTACCTCGCCTCTCTTGGACATGGACGTTCGCCTGGTGATCACTTCGTGGATGCTCCTAGTCCGCTCTTAAACTATTGGTTGTACTTTGACTGTATTGGAGTTTTCACTCCTCGTTTAGTAAGCATTGAATGAAGGTTGGGGTGCCCTTAGCACCCCGTTCCCCACCAAAAAAAAATCATCCAAATATGTGTTACAATTATAATTCAGAATTACTAACTTTAACGATTCGATCATCCATATCCACAAGTACTTTCATCGATTTTGTAAGGATCCAATGGAATACAGAACAATAAGTTTTAATCACACTGAATATCAGAATCACCCAAATTAGCACTTAGTAAGTTGAATTGCATTCATATGAGGATCGAAGTCGGGATTCTTATGCTCATTTACCACACATTCTTAATAAGTTAGTTTATTTAGTTAGGTGTTGGGGTTAACGTTGCCACTATCCTAGATTCCTAGTCATTATTGATTTGCACATAGGTCACAACTCACAACAATCAAAAGCCACCACAGGATGCAAATTTGGCAGAAGTTACTCACAGTTCAATCCCTTCCTTTAAGATTTGTTTATAGATATCCATGTCGATGGATGTAAACGAATATAACAAATAAAGCACTAAGATATTAAAAGTATTGTTTGATTGTACATATTAAAACACTAGCTTTTTACCCGGCCCGTTGGCCGGTGAGTTTCATTTTATCATTTATATTAATCAATTAATAAATTTATCTATATGTTTAAACTATTTTGGATCTTCTACATTTTTTACATTTGCATTCATGCGTGAGTATGCGGTGCGTCTGTAAATTAAAAATTCTCAATGCTTAGCACGTTCACTTATGATGTTTCAATTCTCTGATCATGTCACGAAGATATATCACGATACTCAAATGCGTGAGTATGTGGTGCGTCTATAAATTAAAACAACGATACTCAAAAAAATTTTATCTTATACATATATGTCATTCAATGAATCTCGAGTTTGGACAAACTCTCAACCAATGATGTTGCTCAGATGGCGACAACTTAGTTAGAATGTTTTTATAAAGGTACTTCCATATTAGGTAAGTTTGGTCATCCCAATTGAAAGTTTACTGTCTTATTGTAAGATCATATTTGTCGATTAAGACACTCAATTTAATATCTTATACAATATGTACCAATTGTTAATTCCTGAAGTTTAATTTAGACTCACCCTCAACTAATGATCGTTGTTTAGATGTTGGTTTAGAATCTCGGTCCAAGATACTCACATACTGTCGAGGGTTCTAATCTTAACATGGTCCATTAGTGTATAATTTTCTAACTTATCAAATACGCATTTGCTTAAACTTATACTAATATCTTCATTTTGTTGGTGTAATGCCACATCTATTGTCAATATCTAAGCATGATACTATACTCTAAGTAAGAACACGCTATCTGGACCACGAATTAACCGAATTTGTGGGCATGATACTATACCCTAATCCTTGATGAGTGAACCCTATGTCTTAGTTATCTAAATCATAGAGCTTAACCCCTAAGATTGTGCATGTAATTTGTTGCATATATTTTGACGAAGCATGATCGTTGATTTTTGTTTAGAATTAAATTGATCTTATGGTATGAGATTTATAAATTTAAGACCTAGATTTTAATCTTGAAGGGTTTGAGAATAATACCATATGCCAAACTCCAGTCAATTCAAGGTCTAGACATCATTTTCTTACTCAAAGTATGTCATAATATACATATATAAATATAAAGAGTTTAATGTATTTTTAAGTGTAATTATTACCTTTGTTTGACCGAAATATGTAAACTATAATGAAAAATAAGGGGAAATATGAACAAATGTAAGAGAAAATAAGGTATTGAAGCATGCATTAAAAGAGAGAAGAAAAGTTGTTTTTCTTTATCGCCTTCATTTGTACAATCAGGTACTATATTATGACTTCGTCAAGTTTCTATCTAAATGAAAAACAACTTTTGAAGCATTTTGCTGTTTAATACTTGTTTTCATTAATAGATACAAACATTAGAAAAAGATAGTGTTTGATAACCAAAACATAAAATTATATAGTTGGTTTTTCAAATTCAATTGATTATTAAATGTTGATTATCTAAACTTCACTGTATTAAGTTCTAATAAAAATTAAAATTAATTGATCAGATTTAATCAAATATATTTGTTAAAAGATTACAATATATGTCACTCTCCAAACATACTTATACTGCTGCTATACATATATATTGCAAAAACAATTATTGAATAAAAAAATATATTAAAAGAAAATATAGATAGCTACATAAATGATCATTAAAATAAAAAGAAAATATTAAAAGAAGATATATATATAGATACATTAATTGATCATTAACTAACTTTTTTTGTTGTAAAAAATAAGTGTACACCATGGCACCTTGTAAATTCTCCAAATGCTTATGTGGCAACAAACTACTTTTGAATTGCCATAATATTATGTATAGATAGATAGATAGATAGATTTATTAAGGAAAAAAACAATGTAGATCTTCAATTCCTTGCCACTATTACACTTTCAACCACTAAGAAATAGCAAATCAAATACAATTCATCCACTAAAAAATCTAACTAATCAAACTTATTTAGAAGTCATTTTCTGATTCAATTCGATATGGTCGATTTAGTATCAATCTATGAATTCACCAATTCATAAATCTTCAAATAGAAATAACAATTGAAAATGAGTTTAGTTCCAACCATACCTCTAATTTCTTCGCATAAATATTACACAACCGTTGTCCCGGAAAATGATATTAGCTAATTCTTAAGAATTTTTTTTTTATTTCCAATTTCGAATAATTATTTTAGCTTTACTAATCCGAAACGGAAAACCGAATTTATCTTTTCCGAACCAGCCACGGTCACGGAATCACTTCCACACCTATAAATATCGAATCCCACCAAACAGAGTGAACCTCCATCGACACTCAGCAAGAAAATTGGAAACTAAGAATTTCCAACTGCGAGAGAGAGAGAGATCGCTTTCCTATTCGATCGATTTCAGTAGTTAGGCCGGGGGGGGGGAAAAAATGGCTCCCTTGTGGAAGAAGCAGCAATCAAGCGGCGGCGGTTTTCTCGAAGACCAGTCGGCCGCCGATCCAGAGCCAGAGAAATCGCGGTTGATCGTCGACGGCGGCTGGTACGCTGCGAAGGAAGACGAAGACGAAGACTCCGGCGGTCTTGGCGCGATGATGAAGAAGCTGCTGTCGATGGTCGGCGTGAGGAGGAAGAGAGGGCTGACGGTGTACATCGGCAAGGGATTGCGGAAGCGGAAGATCCCGTCCAAGTACACGTCCTTCGAGGGGTTCCTGCAGATACTGCGGGAGAGTACCGACGCCGACACGTTGGATTGGAAGTGCTGCCAGCCGTTCGAGATCGAGTCCTGCTCGGCACAGAGGTTCCGCGATACCCTCAGAGCCGCCGTCGAGGAAGAGGAGATCCGGCGGCGATACCGGCTGTAGAAGAGTAATTAATTACTAATTGGTTTGGTTTAGGGTTTTTTTGTAATCTTTGTCCCACAATTTTTAATTCGCGTCTTGTAAATGCAATTTGTTTTACGCTTTACAGTTAGTAAAAAAACTTGTGCTTTGGAGGTTAATTCATGGTTGTTATTAGTAAACCTTGATGGTCCTGAGTCTGATCAAATCTTAAAACAAATTAAAGAGCTTTTATATTTTAGTCAATTTTTTGTGGCTCCAACCGTCGATTGTTTGCTTTAATATTTTTTTTATACATTAATTTAAATATCATAAAAACCTAGATATAATCTTCTATCTATAAGATATATAAAGGCAAAACATGAATTGAATTTTCAGTATTTTGAATTTGCTGGCCTGTGAGGGTTTTACGGAAGGGTGATTCAGTCAATTTACATGCCAACTTAATTAAGTTTTGCGTTTTGATTTCCTGGTTCTTCATTCCGCTGCTGAGAGTTTGAGGCTCTAATTTTGTTAACTTAAACCACAATGGGCCGGACAGAAGTGGCAGGCCTATGGGTTTGGACAAAACCGATTAAGTTGGCCCACTAATATTGACTGAACTAATTGAAGCGGTGTTGTTTCGTTCAGAAGCGGAAGACACCAATTTTTCGGGGCATTGTATTGCATACTAATTTCGGGGCATTTATAATAAATCCAAGTATGTCCTCTTTATATTATTGTTCCCTGACTTATGTATTTACGTAAATCTATCATGACATTCTAATTATTTTCGTACTCATATCCTTAATTCCCCTTAGTGGCGCTTTACATAGAAAGGTGAACAAAATCAGTAATTGATAGATTGAATCGAATCGAATCAAATCAAATCAAAAGGAAAGAATTTAAATAATAACTAAATGGAAAATTAATCAATTAAACGAACTCATATGTGATTGAATAAAGGAAATCAAAACAAAAGTCTTTCCCTTATGTAGTCCATTTGTTTTTCCAATTATTAGTTAAACTTTTCGAAATACAAAGTATTAACCAAATGTTAACTCCTTATTAGCAATAGTGTTAGTAATGCTCACTTGGCAACATGAGGCTGAGTTGGAAGAGACATGTGGCGGTCAACATTCCAAAATTTTAAAATTTTAATTTAAGAAAATAGTTACAAAATTATTAACGCTAACAGAAAAATGACTATTATTTTTTTGTTTTACAAAATATATGCTTATTATTTGCATTTCGAAAATTTATTAGCGTATTTACTTCCAAATATACTTAGCAAAATACATTATAGAAACTCGAGACTCAGAAGGCTCCTATATTTTAGAGGCTCTGTGTGGGAGAGCCTCCCCGCACACCCAAAGAGCCGGCCCTATACTAAGGATTGTGAAATCATACCAAAAATTATACAGAAATTTCAGTGGTAAGGTATTAGGTACCAAATTGGGTAAACAATAAATATTAAGTAAACCTTTCTCGCAATTTTAAATATTAGTCAGACCTTTTGAAATATAAAATTTTAGTCAAATCTTTTGTAATGTATCAAAATATTAGCTATTTTCTATTAGCGTTAATAATTTTATAACTCTTTTTTTAGGTAAAATATAAAAAAATTTGAATGTTGGCCTTCATGTATCTCTTTCGAGTGATTATTATGTTGCCAAGTCAATATTACTAACAAACTAATATATGTCAGGCACTAAGTTACTTTGATAGTTTTTGTGCTTAAGATTTAATTTTGAACAAATGCGCTTCGTGGGTTTGGACCTGTTTTTAAAGAATGTAGAAATGAATTGCAGATTGTTTTTTCCCCATGATAATGATAGGCACTTTTCTACATTAGTAGGCCCATTGTAGGCTTAATTACATTGGTTGGTATTTAATTCTTCATTACATCGAATTTAATTTTGAAAATACAATTTTCGTTTGGACCTGTTTTTAAAGAATGTAGAAATGAATTGCAGATTGTTTTTTCCCCATGATAATGATAGGCACTTTTCTACATTAGTAGGCCCATTGAAGGCTTAATTACATTGGTTGGTATTTAATTCTTCATTACATCGTATTTAATTTAGAAAATACAATTTTCATATATATTCACTTATAGCGTGCTATTTTTATAGGGGTTAATATTTTACTAGATGGATTTTTTTTCATATTTAACATTTTGATAAATCTTTTCAATATATTACATTGTGCCCTGAATTAACCTTAAACTTTACTTAATTTTTCAAATCTAAGAGTTGACTGTTATGTTGGACGGTCAGTCCGTCACGTTACTGCTCGGTTAACATATTTGACTTAAAATTTTAATATTTTCCGCAAAATAACACTTTTCCTATTTAATACGATAAGAAATCTGTTTATTGAATAGGAAAATTGGTATTTTGAGAAAAATGAAAGGGAGTTGATGGTTCAATAAACATATTGTTTTATTATTATTATTATTATTATTTTCATTTTAGTCAAATTAAATAGAAAATTTGGTATTTTGTGAAAAATATTAAAATTTTACGTCAAAATATGTTGATCTGATGGTGACGTGGCGAGTTGATCGTTAGTCAACGATCTTGACCGTCCAACATAATGGTCAAATCTCGATTTTGGTTAAGTAAGTCGAGTTTAGTGTTAATTCGGGCCACGATGTTATATATTGAATTTTTTTGGTTAGGATATTAAATATAGAAAAGTTCATACTAGACAATAATATTAACCCTTTTTATATCAAACTGTACAACTTATATTTGGTGATTATTGTCAAAAATTTGGTATGTGTAATTACTTCCGTACATGTGGAACAACCAAGGGGTATATCATTTCTAGAGTTCAGTTCACTTTTTCACAACTAGATTTTCATTTCCAGCTTACGAGAAATAAACGCAATACATTGTTCTGCTAAAAATTTGCTTCATGTCTGATATATTTTAAATCTTGCAACTTAAGATTTGTTGGTCACACTGTGATTAACAAGGATCAGTCTACTGAGATAAATAATATTGAGATATATTGAACTCTATCAGAGACCAATCATTTTCTTTCATCCTTAAAGTTGATTAAGTATGTATTGGAGCAACACCAATATTCAACTATATGACCTACTTAAGTAGTGAAAGACAATTACTTTTTTTTCTTATTGAATAATTATATTTATTTCTTACATTATATGTCTCCTCTTCTTATTATACTGTAAGCACATTATGCATAATTGAACCACTGCCATAACTAAGATACAAATACACATTTTATACCCATTGCTAGCATCTATTGTATCAATTATATAAATTTAGTTTTCGAGTCGAAACTCTCCCGGCCAACGGCCCGGGTCCGGTGCTAGTAATATTGGTGCCAAATCCAATCCAGAAAGCTTTGCTGATAAGTTGTAAGAATGAAGTGTCCATTTACCCTACCGGTGGAGCCTTTTTTATGGGCCACAAGTCCACAATTCTTAATGTTCTGGGCTATTGGATAATGGGCTTGTTGAAGGTCATTCCGTACTGTATCCATTCTTCGTCTGTTTCCCCAATTAATCGGCCCGTTGTCTATTATTCATGCCAGTCCACATAGGCTGGGACAGCATGGTAGTTAGGAGTGGGCAACTATCCGGTTTATACCGGATCGTATCATACTGAATCGAATATATTTTGATTCGGTTTTGGTCCTATAATTTATTATAAGTATGAAAAAATAAATAGATCGAGCGGACCGAGTCCAATCAAATGAACCAAACATACTTTTAATCCGGTTCTGTTCCTCATTTTTCCTTTGTTTTTTGTTCGGTCCTAAGTTAATTTGATCTAATTTTGAAGTAAATCGACCGATGTCCACCCTACTAGTGGTTAACCGTGCTTTAATTATAGGATTCGGTGTTCCAATTCTGCCTATATGAATAGAGGTCACATTGTTGTCCTAATTCATTGTCTCGTTTAATCCCTCGTGATGAGAAATTAGTCATTGGCATTAGTGATTGATACCCTAGTATAGTAATACACAAGGGGGAAAAAATACTAATGCGCATAGATTTGATGATGTTTTTTATATTGTCCATTTAAGTTTTTTGAATTTCTCTATTATAAATGAACGCGAGCGAACGTACCTTATTGTTCATTCAAAATCTACCAAATCTTGAAAAGCATCTGATTAGTTCTACGTTAAACTACGAGATGACGATTGCATCTGTCGAACTATCGTGTCAATCAATGGAATGATGGATGGTAACGTAGATACTGGTCTACAAGTCAACCAAAACTTGCTCTCATAATAACTCCATCGGCATGACAACGGAACTCATGATAACAAATGATGAAACAACCAACGTGGGGGAAGTTATGGCTGATGAAACAAAACGATCAACTACACCAGAACGAAGAAAGGAAAGCTTGCTAAGATCAGCCATGTGCATGGTGCAGTGATAGTTCCGTCGTTCTTCACAGTTAAGAGATTCGGCGGGGGAGATGAAGGAGTATTGGTACAGCAGTAATTGTCGTGTCGAAGTCATTTCATATTTTTCATTACCATCTGCGGAAATAACATTATAGTAAATGCCTAAACTGGTCTGTGTGTTTCAGCTTTTTTGATCATCATATCCAATCCAATGCCGCCACGCCGCCATTAATGGCTCGTTGTTTGCCCTGATCATGGACATGGCGTCAACAGTGTTATTACCTTTCACTTGCTTGAAATGAAGGGTTTATGAAGTTAGTTGAAGGGACACCGATTAGGTTACAAGATGGAGCTTTCCTCGTTTGATTGGTTTGGTTTCTGGCTAGGTATCCTTCTTTTCAAGTTCCTGATCACAGTTCACAGATAGTTTGTTAGGAACTTAAAATTGGTAGTCACATATAAATCAAGTTAGAAGATTTCGACCGACGTTGAAAACTTGGGTACCCACCATCGACGACACTGATTAATACGTTTTTAACATGCTATTCAAACGAGGTATATAGGAGTGGAAAAGTACACGGTAGCATTTGAAACTGGAATTGTCATGTTGAATATCATTAGGAACTTTTTCAGTTATTGGAGATAATGATAGTTCTCATGAAAGTTGAAATCAGTGAAGTCAACTACGCTCATGTTTGGGCTTTCTCTTCATCCCTAGGTTAGCCTATATCCTCTCTACTCTACATTCCACTTCATTATATGTGTCGACATCAGCAATTCAAAGTGGGTTAAAACTTAAAAGTTACAGATAAAGAAAAAAGTGGGTTAAAAGTTAAAGAAGTGAGAATTTGATTTACCACCATCTTCTCCACATGGTAAACTTGTAATGTTCACAAAACTAGCAACAAGTAATCAAAGATTCAAAGTTGTACCTTAAAATGTGGTTACATGCTGGGTAGAAACCCTAATGAAGCCGCCTCTATTGGTGAAGAAAAAGATACTTCGAAAAAGATACTTCATTATCAGTCAGGTTAATAGATAATTAAGAATGGTTGACATGTAAAATAATCGATTAACTTTACATTTCCATAAAAATTATGATGAACGACGCAGAGTATCATATAGTCGTCCCCTCTGAAGCGTTCCAAATGGATCATTAGCCTTGAATCTTGATTAAATGCTTTAATCAACCACGCGAACATGTAACACTAACAAGAGTCTTTCTCAATTAGTCGAGCTAAATCCAATCCATTTTCCTAAAACATTTATACAAATGCATCACAAGCGTACCTTTATTCATAAATCAATGAACAACACCAGAAATTACTACGATTTAAATACGGGAGCTACGTCGAACAATAACTATAATTTGAAATCAAAGTCAATTCTTGATAAATTGTGGTAGAGGTTTTTCAGTTTTCACCTTCAGCAACAAATACATTTCCATGAACTTTTCACTTTCCACCAATGAATTCCTAACCATGCAACCCCCCCTATCCAATTGAGCTATCAATTGTCTGCAAAATTCCTCAATCCCATAGTTTCTTCTCTTCTTAAAAATCAACCCCAATTGTCTCTCTTACCAATAGAAACACGTTTTACCATAAATTCAAGACACCTTCACGTCACATGTAGTTGCTTTTGCTGCCACATTAAATTCCTCCCCACCTCTTCCTAATTCCTAAACCAACTGTAAGTCTGTAACCATCTAGCTCGTCTCTATATAACGCAAGATAAAAAAAAAAGCCACCCCCTGTAGCCTCATAACTGAAAACAGAGCATTTCTCTCAAACACCAGAAATGAAGAACATCCGAGTTCTCTCCCTTCTCCTTCTACCAATCCTGATTCCATCAGGATTAACCGGTCCGGCCGGCGCGGACGGTCTGGCCACCTTTGTGTTCGGCGACTCCTTGGTGGATCACGGGAACAACAATTACATAGTTACCCTGTCGAGGGCAAACTACCCACCCAATGGGATTGATTTCGGTCGGCCCACGGGTCGGTTCACCAATGGAAGAACCATTGTCGACATTCAAGGTGTGATTGCTTAATTACTAAACTATCCTTCTCTTCTTTCTTGCTGAAATGGGTAGAAAAGAAGAAAAGATTTAAAAAAAAATTGAAATGTTTTCAGGTGAGGTATTGAGTGGAGGGAGTTTAGTTCCTCCTTACTTGGCTCCCACTACCATATGGCCGGCGACTCTTCAAGGCGTCAACTATGCTTCTGGCGCCGGAGGGATCCTCAATGACACCGGAAGGCTTTTCGTAAGTTTAGTTCATGACAAGATAATTTTTGTAATAAGAAATGCAATAGTGATCACATTATAAAAAAAAATGTATATATAGGTATATTTTAGGTTGTTGTTGATAATTTTGAGTGCTTCTTGAACAGGGTGGTAGGATCAGTTTGGACGCTCAGATTGACAACTTCGCCAACACAAGGCAGGACATTATAGCAAGAGTCGGCCCGGACCAAGCTCAGAATTTTTTCGACAAGGCGATGTTTGCTATTGCAATCGGGTCGAACGACTTCATCAACAATTATCTGATTTCCGCTGACAGATTGGTCCCTCCCGAAATATTTGTCACCGCCATGATCAATAGGTTCAGACTTCAACTCACTGTAAGTATAGTTGTTTGTGTGATCCTCACGACCCAAGCTAAATATTTTGGACCAGAACCATATCGATCAAATCGATCCTTTCGATCCCAACCCGGTCCCTAGTTTGATCATTTTATATTGATTTAGGCCTGAAAGTTAATTTCGATTTTTTCGGTAAATCGAAAACAAATCGATAGTCTAGTCTTATCGCGGATTGGAACATAATTGGCCATATTGATTTCGGTTTCGGTAAAAAACCGAAAACCATTTCAAATCCGAATTGGTCATATGAGGTTTTGAATTCCTAAGATTTGGAATTTTTGCAGTCTTATTACTTTGTTTTAATTTTTTGTTCTCAATTTAACCGAAAATCGATAAGCTGTTATCGGTTAGTCTAACCGCCACCCTTATTTTGGTTTGATGTTTCGGTTCAGGTTCACTAATTTTTTTTCCCCCTAACCACCCATTTTTTTCGGCAGAGGTTGTACGAATTGGGCGCCCGGAAGATCGCCGTGATGAACATCGGCCCAATCGGGTGCATCCCTTACCAAAGAGACGTCAACCCAACCGCCGGCGACGACGACTGCGCGGCTCTCCCCAACGAGTTGGCTCAGCTCTTCAACTCAAAACTGCGGACACTCGTTCAGCAACTCATCACCGAAAGTCAAACTTTCCCCGGGCTCCATCTTGTCCACGGCGAGGCCTTCCGTATCGTCAGCGACATCATCGCCAACTACGCATCGTACGGCTTCGAGAACGCCAACTCAGCGTGCTGCCGCGTGGCGGGCCGGCACGGCGGGCTGATCCCGTGCGGCCCGCCGTCGTTGGTTTGTCCCGACAGGACCAAGTTCGTGTTCTGGGACCCGTACCACCCGTCGGAGGCCGCGAATTTGATCATCGCCGGGCGGTTGTTGGACGGCGGCGCGGATGACATCTGGCCTATGAACGTGCGCCAGCTGGCTGCGATTTGAGGAATTGGGGAATTAATTCTTACTTATCTAATATCTATGATCTAGAATTGTGGGATCCGGAGAATAAGGAAAGTTGTAGGGTGACAAATTGGTTGTGAGATCTTCATAGCGCAGCATAAGAGTTAGTGAGGTTTGGTAAGGGAAAAACTTGAATCGGACCGTTTCAGTGGGATTTATTACTTGTAGTCTGCTAGTCTTCAGTCTTCACCAACCAGTGAATCTTCTGTCCCTTTCTAATTATTCTGTTTGGACCATCCGAGGAAACTGTGAACCAGAGCCCAACAATTTTTTTGAGCCGATTGAATTTGCTTTAACTCACATTTGTGGGTAATTCACTTCAGTAAACGAGAGGAACTCCGACATTGACCGGATATGTGATGTCTATGGATAAATACTCTAAATTGTGGAGATCCGTTGAAAATGAGTTTAGACGCTCGGCCTCATCTCACAACCATCCCGGGTTCAATTTTTATGCCACATACACCTAAAATACGCATCGTCTCATCCTCTCCCCCATTTTCCACCAGAATTCAAAAGGAACACAACCCTGGCCTCCTTAATTTAAGATTTCCAGTTATATTGACTTGGATCATATATGTCACCCCTTAACCTTACTTACCCATAACAATTTATATGTTTTTTTTTATGTTTTCCACATTCATCATGATTAATTTATGATGTGTGATCGATGTTCGTGTGTCTTTTGAGCACTGAAATTAGACGTGCTTTACATTAATTTCAAGGTGACTGTTGGTCTACGAGTGGAGTGGAGATTTCAGATAGTGTTAGATCTTGCATCTTGTGAAAAATGACGAACCAAACGACAATTGAATTTTGTTTTTTGATCCGATATTAACATGGTAATTTGATGTCCACGACGAATGAGTAATGTTAATTACGAGCGATCTAACACGTTGGTTGATTACATTAACTAGATTTCTGAGGTTGGTTCAGTCTGTCCCCCGCAACTACTATCACTATAGTTAATGTGACTCGTAATGTTAACAACTGGCAGGGAGGGGGTTTCTCTTAGTTCTAACTTTCTTATAAAAAGAGAGCATCAGCGGTGTTTAAGCTGCAACCGTCTTGAAAAAGAAACAAACACATTTTTCCAATGTTTACAGACTGATTAACGCAATTCCTGCAATAGTGGGCAGTTGGTCTGGGTTACTAATGGCGCTCAACTAGCTCATTTACTATCTTAAAGTGGATATATAGAAATTGTTTGTTGAAGAATGAAGACCAGTATCAAGGTTGTCAACCCGCGGGTTGACTCGGACCCGCTTGAGCTAGTGGGTCAAGGGTTAATGGATCACCCGATTTAGCCCGATTTAGCCTGATAAATTATATTAAATCTCATCTAACATATGAGTTATAACATATAATATTACACCAAAATAACATTTCGTACTTATATTCAACATATAGTGAAAATTCACACACACTTATATAACATTAATATTCAAATGTTCAACTTAGAATTCCAAAGATTGAGTTAGGCGAAAAAAAAATTCGGAAAATAGGCGCATTTCGCAAAACAAAGAAAAAAATTACACAATTTGACCTCCAACCCGGTACCTTGTGGCGGTCGACCCGTTTTTCTCACCGGGTCAGGGTTAAAGTGGGTCAACCCGCGGGTCGACCCGCGGGTTGACAACCTTGACCATTATTCATTGGCCGAGTTCCTGGTTTTACGGGCCTAGAAATTGTTGCGCGGGAGATATGGAGCTGATCAGGCTTTGTGATTGAATCATGAATGAGAATGAAGCCCGATCTGTGAAATCATAAACGAAAAGAAGAGCACTGGATAAATGTTTATTTAAGGCCCAAGTGAAGCCCATTCCCAAAGTGGACGCGTGCTTTTAGGCCGAGGCTTGTTGGGCTTTCAATGCCCAAAACGCCCGCAAACAAAGGATTTTGGACAAATTATGGATTTTGAAGTTGATTAATGAGCTCAAATCACCAGGCCAAGGTTCATCGTGTGGGCTGGCTGATTCACCAAATTAGTAACTGGTTAGCATAATTAGTCCGACCAGCCACTCATATTCACTTTCGGGTTGCATTGGTCGGATCGTTGGTGGTGTTGTTGATTATGGGTTGACTCGCAAAAATCATTCCACAATTGGACTTTAGGTTGATTGACTGAAATATACAATCACTGTATACAAGTTAGAAGTATTGTAGTAATTTAGGTACTCTTGCTTTGTCTCAAGTGGGTTGAAAAGTACTTGTGATGTGAAAAGTTTATTATAACTCGTAGCATTTTGATTTCATCAGTGAAGTATTCACTAGCAGAAAAAGTCACTAGCTACATGTTCTTAAAGAAGTGAGACTCTTTACATGTGCATTATTTGCTTCTTTGGCAGAGATATCCATTATTCGTATTACTTCATCAACCGATTGCAGAGAAGATTTATGTGTGTTATCACTTGAGTATGAATAATTGCTCGTAAATTTGTATTTCAACATCTAATTAACATTAAACAACATAATAACCAATAGTAGTATCCTTGAAATATCATTTATTTTTATCACAATTGAGGTCGATGGTCTTTGTGGTTGGTATAAGGACTATTTTATAGTGTGACAGATTTTTGTGATGTATGAGCCATGTTAAGGTCGCTCAGTGACCCGCACCCCATTTACCACAATGCAGGTAGGAGAAAGACATATACCCACCACTTATTCTCATCAATCATGGATCTGCAACGATTCGGATTTTTTACGAGTGACAAAATCGATGGTAGCATTGGTTCAAGGAGATTATGATCATCCGTAACATTAGGGGCTTAGCGTGCTTACAACTCCTTCGTGTTCGCGAGAATAAATTTCACTTCATAATTAGTCGTTATACTTTGTATGATCATTTACAACACTATGTTAGCCAGTATTGTTGTCAATAGAAGCTCTGACAATCATAACGATAGTTGTGTTGTGCAGTGCATTATACCAGTTTACAACTTCGGATGAACACAACGAGGGCAAATGATTAGTCTACTATTGCTGGTATTGCCCTTTTGAAAGCAAGCTACCAACACATTTTGCAATTTGCAATCATTATATAGGTTAGACAGAGAGATCGAGTCTGTAGAAATATTAAACTTAAATGGCAATTAGATACTTGATCTTCTTCCCACCATTAATGAAAGGTACCTGTCCTCCCCAATCAACCCATCCAGCACCAACCATAAGTTGTTAACAAACTAGCAGTGGCAGCAATTTCTCTCTACATTTTGATTTGAGATGATCATAAGTCAGATGGAAGAGAGCATCAATGGAGATTTACCCAGATCGACATTTCTTTCTTTTGGTTGTGATTTCGAACTAAAGTGGAAAAGGAAAGCTCGAATTATCTACAGAAACAAGAACCCTAATGCAACTTTACCTTTGGCTGGAAAGCATACGAGTCGCCGTTTTCAAGCAGAAGCCTTCTTCTCCTTCTTTTTCGTCAATCCCAGAATCTGCTTTAGTTTCCCGAAAATAATCTTCACGCCTCCAGTTTTCTTCTCCTTCTTGGCCGGCTTTTTGTTCTGCTTACCCTCCACCGAATTAGCCGCCACCTTCTCGCTCGCCACCTGCTCGACGAAATTCCCCACAGGGGCCCCTGTTCTCGCAAACGCAGCGGCCAGCTGCGGCATCAGTTGCTTAATTCCGGCCTTGAATTTCTCCGACGGCTCGCCCTTCCCAGGAACCAACGACAACCCACCAATCCCGTAGTACCCAACTCTGCATTCCCCATTCTTATACGCCATCATCGCAGACAGAATCGCAAAACCCCTCTCCCTAAAATGCGACTCCACAAACACCTCAAAGTTCTTCGGCGGCCTCCGCACCAGATGCAGCATCGTCTTGCAGGAAAGCAAGAACGCATCCTCACTGTAAGCGTTCGATTTCTTGTCCCAGAACGGTTTCCCGGGCCACAACCCGACCCCTGGCTCGTTGTAGTACGGCTTCTCGTTCAGCACCAGAGCCTGAATCGAGATCAGAACCTGGAGAATCGTCGACTCGGCCGGGTTCCACTTCTCGTTCTTCTTGCCGCTCCAGGTGTTGATCAGGCTCAGGCAGACCCGCCCGTTGGCGTACAGGTTCGGGTTGATCCGCATCCCGAACGACCTGTAGTGGACCCACGGCGGCGATCTCGGGTAGTCGACAGGGAACCCAATGTCGAAGAAGTAGAGGCCGTCGTGGTACGGCGTCCCCTGGGCTCCGACGACGGCGGCGGTCATGAGATCGATCCGGTTCTCGTAGACCCGAACCGCGATCGTCTCCGGCAGGTGCTTCTCCAGGATCTTCCACTCCTGCATAATCTTCTTGTGCACGCCGCTGGAGAGGTTCGTGAAGCAGCTCCCGGCCTTCTTGTTGTGGGTCAAGTAGGCGTGGTCCGATGAGTCCGACGCCACGTCGAATCGGGGGAAACCGGCAGAGCCGCCGCCGTTGGCGCCGGCGAGAGGAGGGGGCATTTTGGGGAGTTTGGCGAGTTGGTTGGGGGACTCGCGGCGGAATTCGAGGGGCGTGAAGGTAAAATTACAACTGGCGGAGCAGAGGAAGGAGGAGTGTTTGTTGGACTCTTTCCCCTGCTGAGAGTGAGATGGAGACGAAAGAGAATTGGAATTCGTTTCGTCTCTTCTGTATATATATGGCGCATTATGATATGATGGTAGGGAAAAAGCCAGAAGAGGCGCTAATCTTTTTGGGATTAGGACAACTCCTCTACTTAGGTCTCGTTTGGCAAAACCGTAATGAGAACTAACTCAAAATTTAAATAATTCGTGTATTTTATAAATGGTCGAATTATAGAATGGTTTAAATAAATCCAAAGCTTCCGACATATATTGTAGAGATTATAGCTAATGGAGTCAAAATCGTGATTTTATGTATAATTGACTTGGTGAACTTGAAGCGTAAAAGTGTAAGTTATTAAGTTTTAAATTATAGATTATATTTGAAGGGTTTTAGTGATTTAAATGTATAAAAAAGTAAGTTTTTAAAGTTTTAAACCACGATATTGAGTGCATTGAGTATACGAGTGCAAAGTACATAACATTGCTATCAAAATTATACAAAAAAATATGTTCAATATAGGAAAAAATAAAAGTATTTTTGGAATCATGTACATTATTTTAAAACTGCCTCGAAATATTTTGTTTCAAACAAAAATACAATTTGTAAGGGAATTGATGAAATTCTGAGTTTGTTGAAGAGGTATGGTGAGGAGTGAGGACCCTCCTTTTCTTTGTTAGAAGGAATGGACGGTGATCCAGGTAGTCATCGAAAAAGAAAAAGCCCAAAATATATACTGTGGGGCCCGACAAGTATCATGATTGAAGAACAGTTGTGGCCCATTTGATATGGTCTTTCTAATCCATTGCAAAAAATAAATTAAAAATATAGATAATTAAATTAAAAAACGAACAAATTGATTTACCCACCCGGCCCTAAAAAGATCCGGTAAAAAAAGTTAAATCCTCTACGTAAATAGGAATGGCAATGGAACAGGTCCGGGCGGGTTTCTTGGTACTCAGATCCGTTCCGTGGCAGGGCGGGTCCAGGACGGGTAATTGATCACGGGTCGCGGGTCGGGGCAGGTCGATCCAATGAGTATGCAATTTATATGAAAAATATTAGAAATATTCGTTATTTTTATTATAAAACTAAGAAAACAAACAATATTATGACAATTGTAGTTAAATTATTGGAGAAATTAAGGTTTTCACTAATTTACAACTTTATTATAGCTAAAATATGATGCAATAAAAGGAAAATTCAAAGTAATTTGACTAAGATTACATGTAATTTAGACAAGAACGGGTCGAGAATGGGACGGGTCAGGGCAGATCGGGTCGATGAGACGACCCATGCCCGCCCCGCCTACGGGGCGGGTCGGACCCGCCCAAAATAGGTCAAACAGGTCGGGTAAAATGGGTCAGGTCGAAATTGTCATTCCTATACGTGACATAAAAGGAATTAGTAGGAAAATGAACCAAACTAGTATAATTTTTTTTGGTGAAATGGGTTTAATTGGACTTTAATTTAATGTACAAATTCATTCATTCAATGTTTTAATTTTAACATTAACTGACTTGTAAATTAGTGAATACCATTTGATTTGTCAATTAAAAGATCATGGACTAGAAAACAATATTTTTTTTTTAATAAACCCGAAATTAGTGGTAAATAAATATGTCCCCCAATTTTTAGGGGTTGCGTTTGAGTGAGGACCTCCTGTATGGCACCCAAAATTGGCTCCCTGCCCTTAAAATGGAAAGACCTTCGGCAGTAAGGAACAGTGTATTGTTATCAAATAAGGGCAAATGGAATCGGGCTCCGTTGGCATTCTCTTTCAGTGGGGACAGAGCCCTCTCGTCGTCCGCGTAAGTGAGACTCATCCTACCTAACTTCGTTTGGGGGAAGCTTATACGCCATGAACACATGTAGGAAGAGTTGTGTTTGTTTCGCCTAAAATTTTAGTTTGCAAAATTAGACGTTGTGTTTGTTCCGTCGTCTTCTGAAGAGCTGGTTTTGTGGATTAGCAGGTTCTCGTTTGGAAACCTCCATATATAAACGTTGTATTCTAGAAAATACATATGTATATACGGAGTAAGATGGTTTTGCTTTGTTCCAATGGCCAATACATATGTAAGTGTTGGTAAAAAATAATAGATCATCATCTATGCTTAAGGATCAAACTTGTCGCATAATGATATTTTGCCACTTAAACCATAGCTCATTTCTTGTTATTTGAATACGATAACATTAACTTATCATACTAGAAATGAAATTAACAACTAGAATAATCCGAGACACTATCTGTTTCGTTGGCGAAACTCGCGCGTTCAATGCGCACTGTATTCAAGTAAGCACAAACACAAAATCAGCAAAATCGTCAAATATCCGCCGCCGAAGTCGGCGCCGTTGATTTGATCGATTAAGGCAGAAACCAAGACGATCGTCAAATATCCGCCGCCGGTATCGGCGTCGTTGATTTGATCGATGCACCTTTGACCTCTAATCAAACAACCGTTACTCGGTTCACCACATCTCCAAACTACGTTCGAACGAGGGTGTTCAACGAGAAACGAGAAACCAAACCGAGAGTATTCTGAGTTACGTTACCTCTACTCCTATGGAGGTTCCTCTGGAGAGCTCCGCGACTACGACTACAAGCTATGACTACGACTCTGCAAAGGAGGTCTTTGACAGAGCGGTTCTACGAAAACTAGAGAGAAAACGATAAATTCTGCGATGGTGCAGTTGTGATTTGATTTTGCCGTCTCGAGCTTCTCTCTCTTCCCAATCTTTATACCTCGCGCTTCTCCCCGTCGTAGTAACTGCCTTCGCGCCTTTGTCTCCCACGTCTTCATTCCTGTCAACCGTGCAGGTAACTTCCTCCTTGTTGCGTGATAATCACGTGCCCTTGAAACCGCTCTTGCTTTGCAGAAACTTGGCGAAACGACATCGCCTTTCACCAACTGATGTTATTTTATAATCCAACTCAACTGCCCCGACCCGGTTTAACCAACGACATTGTCAGTCCATCAAACAACATCGTTCTATACCCTTGCGCCGTCGTTGGGCTTGGCGGGCTACCTTTGGCCGAACTCTTACCACTACCGCAATGTCGTTTTACTTTTCCGCGGCATCGCTTTTCATTAAACGACGCCGTCTAAAATAATCATAAAATCAACTCGCCCGTCAAACTTTCGCCCCTCGGCGTCGTTCCTAGTTAAACAACATCGTTTCCTTGTCCCGCAATGTTGTTGAACTATTGAGCTTCGCGACACTGTTTTAATTTTAAACACTGTCGTTTTAACTGTTGCGGCATCGTTTCGCCTACTCGCGGCACTGCTTTGTAATCCGCGGTGTCGTTTCTTTCTCTTGCGACATCGTTTCCAACTAAACGACATCGTCCTAAAAAATAATTAACCATATTAGTTAATTAATCCGGCCAATAATTAGTCAAACCAACGACATCATTAGCGCCCAAAACGGCTCCGTTTGCCTTTCCCTTCGCGACATTGTTTTTAATTTAAACACTGTCGTTTGCTAATCCGCGGTACCGTTTCAATCCTCCGCGATACCGCTTGTCTCCATGCGGTACCGTTTTTCCCTATCCAACAAGGAATAAATAATAATAATAATTAATTAGAATAAACAAAACTCATTCCCCACCACTCAACTAACGCGCGGCCCCTCTTTTATTTTTTATTAAGCGGTGTCGTTTCCCATGCCGCGGTACCGTCGAGCTTCCTTGCGGTACCGCTTTACCTCTCCGCGACGCCGCTTAACTCCAAACGATATCGTTTTTATACCTGCGGTATCGAATTAAATACCGAGACTAATTAATGCGACATTTAATTCCGGCCAAATTAATTTTAGGTGTCAACACTATCTAATTTCTATCTCATTTTTTTTCTTCATGTTTAAGCAGTTCAACAATTTAAATGTATTGGCTCTCGTATTATCACTCATCCAACCCTTTTACGACTATATTTAAACCAAACTTCATCTTTCCTTCCGAACCATTTTGAAAAGAAAAAAAAAACTTTTGGGCTACAAATTCCCTTCTCCCATTTTATTCGATAATTCGAAATTTAAACATTTGAAAGGAATAGAAAAGGGCACGAGATGGGGCAATTGTATTAGCTTTCTCGCCCTAATTGCAATTGCTCGAAAAGAAGTAGTAGGCGTATTGTTATTCTCATGTGGCAAGAAACTAAAGAAACAAAAAAGAAAGAGAAAGGTTGTGGCCTGGTCTGCCTAGATTCACTAGCTAGTTAGCGCTTAATTTGTTAATAGATCTCCTACGAGAAAGCGATTGTTAGCAAACTCTTATCTTTTTTAATAATTTAGTTGAATAGAAATCTAGGATCTCAACTCGTCAAAGTTTGAGCTAACATGTGTTTAGTTTGTGACGTCTGCTCGGTTTGATGATTTGTTGAGCTCAACTAATGGGCTTACTTGATAGTGTTAGTGGCGAGTCAAGTCAACTAGTCTCACATGAGGGAACTGATCTATAACTTGCGAATAGGGTTATTTATAATTAATAAGTTTGTTGGATTATATATCTAGTGACATATAATGTTTTAAGATATTAAGTTCATCATCAAATATGCCTCATAAATAGTTAAAAAATAAATTACGTAATTGTTTAGATACTAAATGCTACTGAATAACATATGATATGAAGTAGTGACGGAAAATAATACGATATCCGCTAAGCATATAAACACGGGATCAATAAGTGATGGAAAAATGCACTAATATTCATTATTCTTTCTCATGCGGCATACAACATACAAATATTAGAGTATTTAACTTATTAATTATTTTAGAATTTCATTTTGTTGGTTCAACCATTTATGTTGGAGATGAAGCCAAATTCATAATCTAATTGATGAGCCAAACTTGCTCAGAACTTCTTTTATGAGCTGAAAACAAGTCAGTATTTTAATATACGAGTTAACTTCAAGCCATTATTTTAGCTTTTTAACACCTGAAAATCAAACTCAACTGGTTAAGAAACCGATAACCGAGCAACCTACTAACTAGTCCGTGATTAAATTTGTACATGTAAATAATCCAATAAGAATATCCCATCATATATTTGAGCCATTTGTCCAAGTATTGGAGATCAGGCTTAACCCAATACTTCATGGATCAAAACCGAAATAAAACAAAAACAAAACAAATAATAGCAAGCCCAACCAAAGCCCCAAACAATGCAGGATGAGAGAGGTAAGCCCATATATCAACTCCCCTCCCCACCTTCTCACCTTCCAACTGCTCGACGAAATTCCCCACTGAAGCCCCTGTCTTGGCCAACGCAGTCGCCAGCTGCGGCACCAGCTCCTTAATCCCAGCCTTGAATTTCCTCGACGGCCGACCCTTCCGCGCCGGAACCGACGACCCACCACCACCACCGATCCCGTAATACCCAACTCTGCATTCCCCGTTCCTATACGCCATCATCGCCGCCAGGATCCCAAAACCCCTCTCCCTAAAATGCGACCTCACAAACGATTCGAAGTTCCTCGGCGGCTTCCGCATCAGATGCAGCATCGTCTTGCAGCACAGCAAGTACGCGTCCTCGCTGTACGCGCTCGACGGCCGGCCGCCGAACAGCAATTCCCCCCAAAACTCCCCCACGGCGACGTACGGCTCGTTGTAGTACGGCTTCTCGTTCTGCACCAGGCCCTGAATCGAGATCAGGAGCTGGAGAATCGTCGATTTTCCCGGGATCCACTTCTCGGAGGAGCTTCTCCCTTCCCAGGTGTTGATCAGGCTCAGGCAGACCCGCCCGCTCGCGTAGAGATTCGGGTTGATCCGCATCCCGTACGACCGGTAGCGGACCCACGGCAGCGAATTCGGGTAGTCGGGCGAGAACCTGATGTCGAAGAAATAGAGGCCGTCGTGGTACGGGGTCCCCGGGCTCCCGACGATGACGGCGGTCATGAGATCGATCCGGTTCGCGTAGACCCGAACCGAAATCGAGTCGGGCAGGTGCTTCTCCAAGATCTTCCATTCCCGCATAATTTTCTTGGGCGCGTCTTTGGAGATGTTTGGGAGGCGATTCTCGTCCTTCTTTTTCGTGGTCAGATAGGAGTGGTCGGATGCGTCGTCCGCCACGTCGAAACGCGGGAAAGCGGCGGCGCCGCTGCCTCTGCCGCCGCCACGGAACATCATGGGGGAATTTGACGAAGGTTTTTGGGGGTCTCGCGGCGGGACCCGAGGGACAGGGAAAGAAACTACGATTTGGCAGTGAGGAGAAGACGAGCAGTGGGGGAAATTCGTGTCGTCTCTTACTCTCTCGTGTTTGTATCTGGGATGATGAGGTTAGGGTAAAAAACCTACAAACAGAGTACCTAATCTTTCCGATGATTAAGAATTACAGTTTGTTAAGGAGTGAATGTCGAGTGATGGTGATCCACGCTAATCATCAGAAAGCCCAATATATATTACTCGGCCCACTTGACATAGAAATAATATCAGGGTTCAACAAGGCACTAGTGGAGTAGTGGTAAGACGGACTTTGAGTCTTTTCTAGCACATAACTCGTTTAGATGTTGTTTAAGCGTGCTTAGATATTGAAAGCAAAAGTAATAGTTTGTACATTGCATTCTACGACCATTCAACACTTTAATTCAAATGATTAATAACTTACTTAACACTTAACGATTAGGAACATAGTTCACAAGTTCATAGAATTTAGATCAATGGCTAATAAAGTTATTGTACTAGTAACAACATTGGGAAGAGATTAAGTTTTCAGATGATGTTAAGTTTCCCTTTTAATACTAAAAAATGCTTAGCTCTTCCCAAATATGCATAGGTTACACCTAGATATAATCTTACTATACCCTGCCGTCATAGATTCCTAATTTGATACGAAACGTCCAAACGAGATATTTTGGTGTTTCCTAACGCATGGCACACCATGCGTAAATTTAAGCATGCCTTATTTGTTGGAAATGATGCTACTTATTTGTTCGAAAGTTCGTCATATGATTTCTACATTGTTTGTTCCGTAGGCATGAATCATATTTGATTGCCCATGTTTATCTGGGATAGAAGCCGAAGCTGGTCGGAGAAAGCTGAATGCCTATGATCGTCGTCATTGTTGTAGCCGAAATCTTATTTGATCGGTAATTAGGATGCTGAATTGAATGTGAATGCTACAATTTGGAGGAACCCTTCTTCGAGCCGCCGCGGCGAGCGATGAACTCCTGCATCTTCTTGAATTGCTCCTTCGACATCCCGTCGTAGTAGCTATGCGCCCTTTCCTGATGATTCCAAATCCGACCCCGTTACAACTAGCATTACATCACCAATGTGCACAAAACTAAGGAGATAACTACGCATAAATCGTCAGTAAACTGAGGTTGCGAAACGTAATTTCTTCATTTACCTTTTCTAGAGAGAGAGCAGAGCCTAAGTCCAGTTTCAGCCCGTCATTGATCACGGCTTTGTACTTCAACACCAAGTCCTGATTGTTCTTCAGGATGGCTTCTGCGATTTGCTGCGCTTTCCTCAGCGCTTCGCCTTCTTCCACCACGTGGGTGACCAACCCCCACTTCTCGGCCTTTTCCGCCGTGATTGGCATCGCCGTCAGCGATGCCTCACGAGCTCTGTTCGCCCCTGCTAGCCGCGACAGCTTCTGGGAAAGACCCCATGAAGGAAATATTCCAAACCTTAACAAAACCATACAGAAACAAAAGCATAGTTTGGAGGGTTGTAGGCAGTTGGCAAGCAAGGACTACACAAGACCGAATTGATGCTTGCATCGAACCGAACTGATGCTAAGTTAGATTCAGTTTCAACCCAGAACTAGTCATATTCAATGAGTTTTTGGTTGATCTGATCGTCATCGTTCGTTCCTTCGTTATTGGTTTAGTTCCAAACAGGACATAAATATTCTCACTGATATCAGCATCTAAGGCCACTAGTCGGTTCGAACACCATTTGGATCGAACCGGATCATATACCAAAGTAGAATCCGCTTCAATTTCCATGATCAAATCAATGTTATTTCAATTGAAATCACCTCGGGCGACTCAAATCACTGTACTTCCATGTGTGTGGCAATATCCGTGTTTGTAAAATTGTAGTACCAAAAGTCCAACCGGAAAAAAACTCTTACTAGAGCTCAAATCGGTTGGGTGTTAGTAATAATGATATAAAACAGCTCAAATACAATTCAACACAAAATACCCTACTATTTACTTTTAATCTACTACCTCCATACCATTTTACAATTCTTGGCAAGATTTATAATTACCATTAAAATCGTTTCTTATGACATGGTCAGAGCTGAAAATCTTTCTTTCAGTTCCAAAATTTTGGAAAGAGTACTAAAGCAGCACCGTTCAAAATCCAACTCTTGAAATTCACGGCATTAAACTATAGGGGACGAGTTTGCCACATTTTAACAAGTTTAAGGACTACTCCACCAAATCAAGCAAAACTAAGCGACTCACCAATCACCGCACCACAAAAGAAAACAAATAGCGAGAGAGAGCAAATTATTACCTGGCGTGAGTATCCATAAACATAGCTCCTCTAGAAGCGACCAATATATCGCAAGCGAGCGCGATCTCGAACCCGGCCGTGACGGCGACCCCGTTGATTGCCCCGATGATCGGCTTCCGGCACCGCTCCATCTGCGCGACGAGGTCCGTTTCCACGTCCTTCACGTCGCCCTTGAAGACCTCCTCCGCCGCCGTCAGATCGATGCCCGAGCAGAACGCCCGACCCGACCCGGTCAGGATGATGACCTTGGCGGAATCGTCGCGGCTGAGGGCGCTGAATTCCCTCGCGAGGCGGACCAGCATGGCTCGGGTGAGCGAATTCAGCGATTTCGGGCGGTTGATCGTGATCGTGACGATCCCGTTCGGGTCGCCGGCGACCAGGATTGAATCTGAGAGATCCATTTTGGTGCCGAATCTTTCGAGGGCCGGAAGGTAGGAAGGAAGATGAGGATTGATTTGGGGAGAAATGGGTAGTTGGAAATTCAGCCTGTAATTTTTCGTTTAAGGTTTGGGAAAGGAGCGTCGGGAAGCGTGGGAATTGGGGGAGACGGGATAAGGATTGTTTGTTTTTTTTTTTTTTTTTGCAGCTGCCGTAATTTTGTCGCTTTCCTCTTCGTTTCTGTGCTCGAAACTGGATAACTGACACGACTGCGATCCTACCGACGCCGTCAGGCGGCCAAAAAGCTGAATATGCTACCTATATAAAGGAAACATGACAAAACAGTCATCAAACAATTTTCTTGTGACAAAATAGTAGCAATACGAATATACGATGAGCTTGTGACAACTTTGATTCTTTAATAGTTTAATTTTTTGCTCTAACACTCGTAAACTTTAGTAGAAGCAGAGCGTAACCACCGGGGATAGTAAATTACTAAACACCACCAACAAACTAGTAGATAGTTGGACCGTAAAATTGGTGGATATTATTGACGGGCATAGGGTGAATTGTGAGGGTTTTTTTTGTGAAAAATCACCCAGTCACAAGTAGTTGTGTGAACGAAAATACACACACCCAAATATACAATAGTGGATGAATTGGAAGAGTTAAATGTGGCTTACGGATGAGTTTGAATAGGTATAACCGTTCCCATAAAATAGAAGACATGCTTGAGTAAAATTAATTCACAACCAAACCACAACCAAAATAAATCGAGATAGTGCAAACTCCTATCGATAATTCTACGAGAAAAACAACAAAATGTGTCATTGTTGGAGACATCGCAAGAACAGGTTGGGGGAAACCAATTGCTTAGATAAAATAATATAATCGAAATCACGGAATGTTTGAAACGAAGCTCTGAAGAACAAATGATTTGATTAAGAATTAGTTAAGAAATAAACATGAAGGTGAGAATGAGTAGAGTTATGAGATAATGATTTTCTCTGAGAAAGGAGAGAAAGGAAAGGATTTGATTGAGGACCGAAGAGATATCGAAGGAAGATTGTGTCAATAGAGAATTTTAGAGCAAAAAAGTGGGTGAGTCGGTCGTTTGGGTGGATAGACTCACACCTACCTAAGTTATGACGAATCTAGTTGAAAGCAATTCACATTCATCAACTTCTTCTACCCATATCATTAGTGAAACAATTTTAGTTGAACGATTTTGAACGAATTTGACGGACTACCCAGTCGAATACTCATTCCTTGTTGATATATGATTTGTTTGCATCAAAAAATATATTACAACTAGGGAGTTTCTTCCAAACGTTCCGACAACATTGCCATTGTCCATCTTCGGAGCGACATCGAGAATGCAGAAGTAGAACCACTTCACTTCATGACCATCTTGGTTGGTATGGCGGTCCCTCTCCGAAGAGAAAGCAAGTGGGCCTTACTGCCCAATTTTCACGTAACAAGAAAGTCCAGGGCCACGGGGGAAACAAAATTTCCGGGCAACCCGACAACCGAGCTAGCAGCGAAACCGGGCCATGTTACCCGAAGCCTGGCCCGTCAATTTGTGGACTTGATGGGCTTTGTTCTCATGTACAATGGTCTCCTAGTCAGCCCGCATAGCAGTTAAAGGGTCATTTTCAGCTTAAATGAACCACTAGTATCTATTCCCTGAAAATTTATCTCCACTTCCTAAGAAAATATCATTTTGAACCAATTCTAAGGGTAGGGGTGAACAAACACACCCGCAAACCGATCCATCAGTTTAATCCGACCCAACCCACTCATATTTATCGCTAAAACGAAGATATTGGGTTGGGTGAGGGTTTCCTTTTGTACAACCCGCCTCTTTTGGGTTGGGTTTGGATTTTGGATTACACAACCCGTAGAACCCGACCCAACCCGTATTCCAACTATTGGTATGAGTTCGTATCCAAAAAATATTTATGTCGCATATAGCCACACTTATGATAAATTTAAGTTTTTTAGCCATGTTTTTCTCTCATGGTCTCCCTAATCTAATGCATTCTTCGACTTAAAGTTTAGACATAAATTTAATATAGCTATGATTCATGTAATCCTTTTCTTGTGTACAATTTTAATAGTATAACATATTATGGATGTGTTCATTTATAACCTTTTTAGCCTATTTCAACAAATGTCGTGAAAAAAAAACTAGATATATGTTGAAGTAAATCACATTTTATTAAAATTCAAACAACATTTGTGAATTTTGATACCTTTCACCTCGGTTTATTCGTTTAAAATTTTAATTAGTTATAAAATATTTTTATATTTTGTGTTGGGTTGGGTTTTTACTTAAAAATATCGCCAACCCAACCCAATTACAAATAAACTGTAGGGTTTAAATATTTTTGGGTAGGTTTGGGTTTCCTAAACCGTAGTGCATAAGTCGGGTGATTAAGATGGCTAAACTCGGACCACTCGACCCAACTACACCCCTAAGTAATGTGGTGTTTAATCTCCCTTTTGTAACCATTTGATCAAAAGTCTGTTCCTTATCATTTGCCGTGCCTTAAAGAGATTAGTGTTGAGCGATAGACACTAGATAACCCTCAATATACTTGCATACAATTTCTTCTGATAGTATATGTAAATATGAATCATAAGCATCCTTTCATACCAAATTTGCAATAGAGATGAGTTCGTAGTGTTTATATAAGCAAAGATTAATGTACAATAAATGAAATAGATGGAATGATGAATTAGATTAGATCAAAAGCTTGTACATTATCATTTAGATATGGTCTTAAGAGAGATTAGTGTTTGACAATAAGCACGACAACCTGCAGTGTACTTGCACAACAAAATATATAATCGCATTCAATATCTTCTTATTGTGTTTTGCACAATTAGCGTCCCTTTACGGCGAATTTGCAATAGAGATTACTTTTTTTCCTCCAAAGGCCACATGCATCTCCAGAGGAAAAACAACTGAGATACTTGAATATACAAGACATTTGCAAATCAGGTCCTAAAACAAAAAGAAGGAAGGAGAAAAAAATGTTGGTCGACAAGTGCACGATCCAACGATCCGAACGTCTGTTTCACAATAGAGATGACTTCATAGTGTTTAAACAAGCAGAGATTATTGCCCGATAAATTTGAATAGTCCATATTATAACTTCATCAAACACACTCACTCGTCATTATTCGAGAAGAAATACTATAAAATCGCTCAAAATAGCCCTAGTTCCCACTTGATTCAAAGTGGTAAAAGTAAAACACATTTTGCAATCAAAAGCTTTGCCTTAGCTTGGAAGTGTTCAAACATCCATGAAAGCAAAAGGAGCCAAGTAGGGGAGACCTAAAGGCTATAAAACTATTTATGCTGCCTTCAAGGAAAGGGACGGCGCGACGTCAGGTTGCCATCACAAGAGGAAACCCTCCAAAAGAACAAACAAAGAACCCACAATTCAATCCTGTCCCAGGCAAACAACAAAAGAGGGATATATATCATCATGTCATTTCTCCAATACAGCCACACAACATTGTCAATTACCAGAATATGATACCTGTTTCCAACTACCAGGAGGAACCATGGAATCAAAAGAGAGATTAGAGAACACAGTGCATCTTTGAAAGAAATTGGATTTTTCACGTGGTGGAAATGTGGCATTTCATCCCACCCACATGGGAAAAAAGAAAGTGAAAACGAGAGACGGTGAAGGATTCAGTCTCATCAGATCGATTGAGCGTGTCAAGTAAGGTGACAACAGACACTAGGCCTAAGAAGGATAGGAGTTTGAAAGGCGTCACGTCCAACACCTTTCAACTGTACAAACACGAGGGCAGGAATCCACGTTATAGGATCATAGAGTCTAGATGATAACAACGATTTGCGATTAGTTGTGATCTAATATCACGACCACGATATTTGATTCATGGACCGAAATAATCATTCAAGCAACATCGTGTTCCCTTGCAGATATCCCACTTACACCTTGAAGAAGTTGGTATTTTATTTTGCATAAGGTTGACTTAGAGTCGTTTTAAGAGAACATCCGTGGAAAAGCAAGTTCGAACTGAAAATGTTTTTATACGAATTCAATGTCTTAACTACTTGATCTACGATCTCGTTGGCTTTCATTTTTACTTCTGAATTCTTAAATTTCTGCACCTAACTCGAATGGTAAATGACAAATCTTGAACATCCAAATTTTGTTAGTTTTCTTCTCATGCGGTCACACCTTCTCTCCTTCTTTGCATCATTGATACCCAAAATCAACCAAGCCATTTTAAGGTCCAACACATAAATTTCTTACTACCATCAATTCCATACTCATTTGGGTGAGCTTAACGATGGACCATACCATAGTTAGTAAAATACGGTATGGGTAAGTTAACGAATATTTTACTTTGTCTTTAATCTAATGTTACACTTAATAGTACGTCAACAGACATAAATATTTAAAATTAATTATTTTAAAAAAATAAATAAATATAAATAATAGTTAAGTTAACAATTTAATTCATTAAATACGAATATTAAACGTGTTATATGAGTTTTATATATGTTTAGTACGAGAGTCATCAAATGAACGGAGAAAAAAGAAACGACTTGACAATAATATAAATACATAAGTTTTAAATGAATAAAAATACGTACGAAATATATATACGTATATTAAACGGGTATTTATTAACTAGTTACCATACCACAAAGTTGGACAGATCCTCTTAATAAAATCCTGAGAAGGAGAAAAAAAAATAAAAAAGAAGAAAGTCTTACGACGTAGGACTCTAACAGTTCGGTCCAATACAAATGGCCTAACTTTTCTGTTTGTTGATGCGTTCCTCCGCGTAGCTAGCGTGGCCCAAAATTCTCCCTGTTTCATATTTATAATAATTCCCATTAATTAATTTCCTAATTAGAAACCTCTTTTTCCCAATTCAATGTCCCTTTCTTATATTTTCTTTTTGGGCTAGCTAGCGACTGAAGAAACAAAGCCAAGGATAGAAAGAAAGAAGGTCAAACAATAATAACATAGGATACAATAGAAACCGAAAACGTGTGGTGGTTTCTAGGGGGAGTGTTTTATGAAACTTGGGCCAAAAGAAAGAATATGTATGGAACAAAGTCTAAAGAATTGAAGAAGAGACCAAAGCGATACGAAGATTAGACTTTGTAGTGCAAATGAATTTCATATTCTAACTTAAATTGTTACTTTAAGCCTTTTAAATTTTGAATTGTTGTGTTTCGAAAATTGCAGATTTATGTGATCTATCTGAAAGATTAATACTGTTTGTAGCATATAAAGTTCATTCCAACGGATTTAGCTTTGTTTTTGTTATTCGGCCATTTCATGCTATGCACTACTTGTGCCTCTTTTCGAATTCACTTATGTGAAACCAAAATGAAAAAAAAACCCATTGAAATATGTGAAATCGATTATGACATACTAGTATAATAGATCAATGTCATATTGTGCTTATGTTGATACAAGTATAAAGTTAGGCTCTTATATGGAAATGCAAAGATATGAAAAAAGTTGGTTTGTATGTGAATATATATATGAATCTCCAAAGTTAAAATGTCTCAATTTTGATATACGTGTTGTTGTACACTAAAAAACTACTTTTATCGTAAAAAAAATCGTAAGTTATCTGAATTTAACTAGATTTTAATCATACATATTAGTTTGACTTTGCATCTATGACCCAACAAAGAAAGATTCTTAGGCTGAATGTCAACATATTCAATTTCAATTCCTTAAGTGTAAATAAAATCAAATTTCGATATATTTCATGTATTATAATTCATACAAATCCACATAGAAAAATTACATCACACAACCAATTTTTTTATGTGAAAAAATATTATAAATAGAGAAACAAACAGAAAACATTGAAAATAACACCCAACAGAAAGAAAAAAAGAAAGAAGAAAACTCTCTCTCTCTCTCCACACCCATCTTCCTTCCCCCTTTCTTTCACCTTGCTTCCCCCCTCTCACTCTATCCCTCAACCAACAACAAAGCCCAAATGAAATGACCTTTTCTTTCTGGCCTCTCTACAACCGAGCATCCCATTCCTTCCTTCTCTGCCATTCTTAACCCTTCCTTCTCTTCCGCCATTTTTCAGCTGCTTAGGCTCAACCCCCTTCTGTCCCTTTTCTCGTCTCTTCACATCGAGCTGCTTTCTGGGTCCGTGCAATTGAGAAATGTGGGATGCTTCAGGCATTGATGAATCTGCTTTCCTTATGCTTCAGGCCGTTCGGTCGGAGTGACGGCGGCGGCGGCGGCGGGAAGGAAGGCTTGCTTTGGTACAGGGATGTTGGGAAGTATGGGGCGGGGGATTTCTCAATGGCTGTCGTACAAGCGAATCAAGTCCTCGAGGACCAGAGCCAGATCGAGTCGGGTTCCTTTGGAACCTTCGTCGGAGTCTACGACGGCCATGGCGGGCCCGAAGCTGCTCGCTATGTCTGCGATCACTTGTTCAGAAACTTTCGAGGTCCGTTTTTCCCATGTCGAGAGAATTAAATTTCCCCCCTTTTTGCCGATTGGGCCTTTTTTTGGATTTGATTGAATCGATTTATTTGTTTCCGTCATGTGAAATCCGTGGGACTAATTACACTTTTACTGATCTTGAGCTTACTGAAAAAGGGTAACCTGACTTTATTTTGTATGGTTGACCGTGGTTTTTTTGTTGTTGTTGATCGGGTTACTACTTATTGCCCTTCCATGTATATGTAGCTTAAAGGGTTTAGGCCAGTTACAGAGCTGGATCAGCTTCCATTTGAAGTGTCAATAATTTGCTGTTTGATTGATTGAGCTTATAGTGTTCCTTTCCTCTGTAGTTTAAGTAGAAGAACTTGATTGATTGATTCTCATGGCACCTGTGTTTACTTTATTTAGCTTATGTGGATTGTGGGTTGTTTACGGTTAGCTTAGTTAGCTTGTTGCTTCTCTCGAGCAATTTGAAATGAATCAATACGGAGCTAGTCTTTCTTACGTTGGCATTCTTAGGTTTTGTGGTAATGCAGCGATATTGGCGGAGAGAGAAGGAGGTGTTGTGACTGCGGACACCATCTCGAGAGCATTTCGAGTCACTGAGGAAGGGTTCACCTCGGTGGTCTCGGAGATGTGGAGCTCTCGGCCTCAGTTTGCTACTGTAGGATCTTGTTGTCTAGTGGGAGTGGTATATCAGCAGACACTTTTCATCGCGAACCTAGGGGATTCTCGCGCTGTATTGGGGAAGAAGGTTGGGAATACTGGTGGAATGGCGGCTATACAGTTATCAACCGAGCATAATGCGAGCCTTGAGGCCATCAGGCACGAGCTTAAGGAGTTGCACCCGGATGATCCGCAGATTGTCGTGCTGAAGCATGGAGTTTGGAGAGTGAAAGGAATCATTCAGGTTGATATTTTGAGTCTTCTTGAATGATGCTTTATTTATGTTTTTCCAGAAACTCTACAATTTGTTTCTTTGCTGTAGATATGTCCATAGGAATATGATGTAGGCTGGCTCTTTAAGCTTGTGAAACACCTTACAAATATTGTCAGGATCAACTGAAATTTAAAGCTATTCTAACTGTATATACGCCAATGCCAGAAGTGTTCATATTTACTATGTTGAGTTGCTAAAATTAGGAAGTCTGCCTTTAATACTAGTTAAGTTAGAAACTGTATGTCAATTTTGTTATCTTTTTGCATTTTGATAACTGAAACTGTTATATCAATGATTTGACCTATTTCCTAGGAAGTTCTTAGCTCTTGACTCATGGTGGCAGGGAAAAACCCTCACTTTGATGCTCTTCCAGATTGATAATTCCCAGAAAAGCACATATTGACAATGTTCATTTGCTATAAATAGAAAGTCGCTTTGATGTTAATTAATTTAGAAACTGCTATACGATTGACTCTTGCCTATTATTAGAAAATTCTCAGTTCTTGACTCACAGGACTGAGAGTTCAGAACTGAGAACTTAAAAGAGTCAACGCTATAACTGTTTCTATCTGAACTAGCATTAACAACGACTTTCTTTATATAGCAAAAGAACATTGTTGATATGTGCACATTTGACACCTACACATCTATAAAAGCTTCAGCAGAGAGTTGATTTTCCATCACTAATAAAATCGACTGACGATAATATTCGAATAAACACTTGGAGTCAAGGAAAACTCTCTCACTTTTGAAGCTCTCCAACTATATTCTAAGTCCCCAAAAATTGTGCATATTTACAATGTTCTTTTGCTCTGAATAGAAGATCACAGTTAATGCTAGTTAGTCAAGTTAGAAAGTGTTATGTTTATTGGCTCTCACCTTCTGTAACTCCACAGGTAGCCAATCCCTTTATCTTGCCTTGGTATGCAAGTAAAGGCATCTGTTCTGTTATTTCAGGAATGTATTGGCAGTTGTACCAACAATCTTCTGAACTTTGTCATTGTATTTTGATGTGCAGGTCTCGAGATCAATAGGAGATGTATACATGAAACATGCGCGGTTTAACAGGGAACCAATAAACGCAAAATTCAGACTTCCGGAACCAATGAGCATGCCTATCATGAGTGCCAGTCCCACCATCCTGACTCATCCTCTCCATCCGAGCGATTCATTTATTATATTTGCATCTGATGGTCTGTGGGAACACTTGAGCAATGAAAAAGCTGTGGATATCGTACACAGCCATCCACATGCAGTAAGAACTTTCTTCCCCCTCCTTTATCATGGTTACTCTTGTTTGATCATGCTTGCTTATAACTTGTGCAATGACCTGTTAATATCTTCATATTTGCTTGTCTTAGGCATTGTTCTGGTGAACGTTAACTTAAGAACTGTGAGAAAATTTATCTATGCCAGAACCAAACTAAACAGAAATCCAACCCACCGTAAGCTACTCAATCAATGAAACTTCATGGGTGAATGGGGGTGATGTTATGTGAAACTAGGGTGTTTATAATTAGAAATGAATCACACCCGAAATAAACCAAACCATCCATATGGCTCGTTATATACTACCACTGAGCTTAAGAATGGTTTCTTGAGTTAGTAAAATCATTAGCTAAGATGATTTTATAAGTGTTGTGTGTTTGTTTCTCTTCTAACTTCTGAGTATTTCTTATTGATTCTGCTAGCTTTGTATAGTTTATATTACAAATAACCCTGACAAACCAGAACCGAACATTAATAAAGACAATAGGTTTCATTTTTCACGAGGGTTTTGATTTCTTGTTAGCTAAATGAAAGTTCATGCGTCGGTAGGTTGAAAAGGGTCAAATCCAACCAAACCGACAATTGTACACCCCCTAACTTTGTTGATGATGTTCCGTTTGTGCATTTTTCCTTGATGGCACTCGGCCGTCCCTTGGCTGCTCCTTCATAGATATAACTAGGAACACAACTTTGCTTGGAGGTTTGCTATGTGGTATTATAACTGGCATGACTCAGAACCAATGATGAAACATGTTTTGTCCCTCGTAACAGCAAGCTCATTGCCTTGTTGCAGGGGAGCGCGAAGAGACTGGTGAAGGCGGCACTCCAAGAAGCAGCGAGAAAAAGGGAGATGAGGTACTCTGACTTGAGGAAGATCGACAAGAAGGTGAGGCGCCATTTCCACGACGACATAACAGTCATAGTTTTGTTCTTGAATCATGATCTTATATCGAGAGGCAGCGTCGTAGATCCTCCAGTCTCCATTCGCAGTGCTTTGGAGCACTGAGATTAAGTAAGAAAACTCTCTTCCATCATGTCTGTAGAGTGGCTGTTTCCTGAAGGGGGTGGGGGAAAGCCCAGGAAAGGAAATTCTGATACTAATTGCTGAGAATGGACTTTGATCTTCTTTTTTTTTAAGTCCCAGGGGATTTGTATAATCATGTTCAGAGAGGAAAGAAATGGCGAACTTCTTTTAATTGGGTAGTGAACGATTTTTTTTTCTCCATGTATACCTGGTCTCTGATGTATTCTTCTACTATTATTTACTTCAATGAATCTCTTCCCCCCACGAATTTAGATTAGCTGATGCTGCTTGTGTTCTTTGGTTTTATCATGGCTTTAATCTTGTTGGCAGGAACCTTATGATTGAGAATAGTTGGTTCTTGCTTACTGATAGATTTACTTTCTGGAATTGACAGACTCAATTTTTTCTAATGAAATAAGTACTTTTCATTCATTTTCACTAAGTTTTACACAGTTCCATCCTTTGCATTCATCCATCTAAACTTCTTTCTACTTCTTCGACGCATCGCTCACTAGTCATTATTCTTTGATCGCACTAGACCTTTATCGAGCCAAAACAAATCGTACAACATCAACACAAGGTTGGACAAGTACTACATACAAGAGAAAGCATGGAGTTTATTGTAACTCGAATCTAACACCTCAGATTTGCAGTTCTCACTCGAATATTGATGGATTAGGAGGTTGTTCACTGAGTTGACCAAGTTAACTATTTACAACAAATTAACCCCATACATATTGTGAGTTATCGAAACTTTGATTTTTAATGAAAATATTTCTAAATTTTAACTAATATGCAAGCCATTTCATATATTTTATCCCAATCTTCAAAGCTAACATCTCAACTCATCCAAACAATAATAAAATAAACCTTAATTATTTGTAATGATCGACTTTCTCTAACACATATCCAATCTATATCTAATCCATTTCTCAGACCTAGTCTCTTCTCTTCCACCATATGCTAATCCTAAACCTCAACGACAAATTTACTAAAAGTACACAACTCTGAGTGCCTTTCACAATGACCATAAAGTTCAGTGATCATTTTGCAATTCACCACCACAGGGGTATTTTTGTGATTCCATTTCACTTCCGTAGTGACCGAGCCACTGACCCGAACCAAAGCTATAAACTTACTGCTAGCCGGCGCGCGAGCTACCCGGCGATCAAATCGAAACTCCATTTCCCCTCTAATGAAATCTTAGTAGTCGACAAATCTGCTGGAGAGAGCGCCATAGCTACAGGGCTTCTGCCGTATTCTCCGCCGCCATGGCCGGTAAATCGGACCGGAACTCGTTAACTCTTGCGTTGATTTCGTTCCTGCTGCTGCTGCTTCTGAGTCGTTCCGACTCGGCGCCTCAACCCTTCCGCAGAGACCCAGGGCATCCGCAATGGCACCACGGCGCCTTCCACGATGTCAGGGAGAGCGTGCGATCCGACGTCCGCAGCATGCTTCACTCTCGAGCCGAGGTTGCTTCTTCTCACAACCTCTTAATTCAGTTCGTGATGGATCGAAATTCCTCGCCTGTTGATTCTATTCTGACTTGTCTCTTCGCGATTCAGGTACCGTTTCAGGTCCCGCTGGAGGTGAACGTCGTGCTCGTGGGTTTCAATGGCGATGGAGGATATAGGTACAACTTGGATGTGCAGAAATTGGAAGAGTTTTTGAAACTCAGCTTTCCTACTCATAGGCCTTCCTGCTTGGAGACCGGGGAGCTTCTCGATATCGAGCATCACCTCATCTACAATGTCTTCCCTGTAAGGGATTCCTTTACTCTTCGGAGCTTAGGTGTGTATGTTTTACAGATGAAGTCAGATTGATGAGTTATTGACTTCTGCAAACAGGCTGGGCAGGCGGAGATGATTGCACTGGAGAAGGCAATGAAAGAGGCCATGGTTCCTGCAGGAACTGCTAGGGAGGTGAGAAATGGAATTTGAATTGAAATTGCTGAGATTGATTTTCGAAGTACAACGCTGTGATTTTGGATGAATTTCTGATATGGATACGGTGTATTGTAGACTGATTTTGGAAGAGAGGTCCCGTTGTTTGAAGTGGAGGCGACAGCTGTGGAGGCTGTATTTCAAAAATTCTATTCCTACATTTTTTACACTGAAACTGTGGGGTTCGAACTAAACACAGACCCCGACAGGCCCAGTCCTGCTTCTATCTTCGTGGTTAACTTTGACAAGGTAAGGGCTTTGTCGATTTTGTGGTGACGGTTTTATGCTTTGATGATAAACCAAATCGATGTGTATTGGAATTAGGTGCTTAAGATGTCCCTTTTTAGGATCATGTGTCCATTTGTTCCAATCTTTCAGTAGTCTTTGACATGATCTGTTGATGAGCTTGCTTGGTGGTTTTCTTTTAACAGGTCAGAATGGATCCTAGGAACAAGGAAGTCGATCTTGATAGTTTCATGTTCAGCACAATTGGTAATTTGTCTGAAGAAGATATGAAGAAACAAGAGGGTGATTACATTTATAGGTATCGGTATAATGGAGGGGGAGCAACTCAAGTTTGGTTGAGCTCAGACAGGTATTATTTGAATGGACGATAAGTGTCCTCTTTCATTTTAGCCACCACGAGAAATGACTCGAGTTCCTAATTCAATTCTTAGCCACATTCTTCACAAGTGATGCTTTTAATAATGTTTTGGGTTCTTCTTTCTTTTTTTGAAAAAAGGGTTTCAGGGTCTACTTGAATGAGCTAGTTGTTTTGATTAATAGCACATCTTCCCAATAATTTCGATATTAATCAGCTGTCTTTACTTTGAGATTAAATCATGTTCTTTTGCAGGTTTGTAGTGGTTGACTTGTCAGCTGGTCCCTGTACATATGGCAAGATTGAAACAGAAGAGGGAAGCGTCAGTACTAGAACAATGCCTCGGATAAGAAATGTGGTACTTTCAAAAGGATCGGGTGCAGGCACCTTCAGTGATCATTCTAGTCATGAGATTTTTGTTGGGCAGCTTTCTTCTCTGATATCAACCACGGTTGAGCATGTTGTAGCTCCAGACGTCAGGTTCTTCAATAAGCCTTTACTTTCATTAAATCTTTATAGTTCATTTCTATCAGATGTAGTTTTGCTGTGAGCTCTATGGTTTATTCTAAGCTATACATTGACGTGAGAAACCGTTTTTGTGTACGTTGATAAGCTTTGAAGAATCTAATGTTGCTTGTAATCCTTCTATGTCTTAGGTTTGAGACTGCTGATCTGACAACTAGGTTGCTTATACCCATCATTGTGCTTCAGAACCATAATAGATACAATATAATGCAAGCCGGCCATAACTACAGCATAGACACAACTGAGATTGAGTCAGAGGTGAGTCAATTTTGTTTGGAGGCGTTTTCTTTTGATTTGGCTCAATACTTGAGGTTCTATTGTGTTCTTGTAGGACGACTGAGCAAAACCTTTTCGCTCTAAACTCTTCACGTTCTTGAAAACCTTTGGGAATGAATTTTTTTATGGAAACTTTCTTCATCTTTTTTTATAGCTGAGGAAGATGGTTCATAATGAGCAAGAGGTTGTGGTTATTGGGGGTTCACATGCATTACATCGACACGAAAAGTTGGCCATTGCTGTTTCCAAAGCAATGCGTGGTCATTCACTACAAGAGACCAGAAAGGATGGACGCTTCCATGTTCATACCAAGACATATCTGGATGGCGCTATACTCAAAGAAGTGAGTTAGCTTTCACTTCAACAAATTATCTTGCTTAAAAAATCTATTCAGTGATGCAATTGTTTCTTGAGTTAGGTGTACGAGGTTACATTGTGCAATCAGCTGTTTGCAAATGGTTTTCTAGTCCTGCTTTTGCAAATGGTTACATTTTTTTCCCGAGGAGATGGAGTTGTAGTAAAAACTGTCAAGACCCATATGCTCCATTGACTTTGATTTATTCTTAAACTGCTTCATTACAGGAGATGGAGCGGTCTGCTGATGTGCTTGCTGCTGGTTTACTCGAGGTGGCTGACCCCTCCTTGTCTAGTAAATATTTCCTCAAACAGGTATGCTGCTGAAGTTTATGTCAGAAGAAAACCAACACTGATTGCATCGTCTCTAGGATCAATTATTGTCATCTCGTTGTATTTTGCTCTCTCATCCGGTTTACATTTCAATGTAACTGAATTGTGTATTTGGACAGCACTGGGATGACGAATCTGATGGCTCTACTGATTCCATTCTTAAACATAAACCTCTATGGGCTAGTTATGAATTTAACCGTGGAAAGGGAAAGAAGAAGAAGCAGAAAAAGAACGAAAAGAGGAAGCAAGGAGATGTCTATCGGACCTACGGGACAAGAGTTGTTCCTGTGTAAGTAATCCTTGTGCCTGCTCTTTTTCGTTTCTCGTATTGCAGGAAAGCTTCTCCACAGTGTTCTTATTCTTTCTGTTTCTGTTAACCACTCTTACTAAAAAGCTTAAGATATATTTCTTGTATTGCAGCTTCGTGCTATCGTTGGCCGATGTGGATCCTCAACTTATGATGGAGGAAGAGAGCCTCGTTTGGACTAGCAACGATGTTGTCATTGTGCTTCAACATCAAGCCGATGAAATACCTCTCAGGTTTATGAACTCGAATTCGTAGCTTTGTGTTTCAGTTCAATCCTTTTTTGAAGTTTCACAGAATAACTTCTTTCGCAACAGCTATGTTTCAGAGATTGATAGAAGGACAGCCCTTCCATCTCTGTCGCAGCGTCACATAATGGCTGGCCTTGCCTCCGCTGTGGGTGGGTTGAGTGCCCCATACGAGAAGGCATCTCACGTGCATGAGAGGCCAGTTGTCAATTGGCTGCTTGCAGCTGGATGTCATCCGTTCGGCCCGTTTTCCAACACCTCTCAAACCAGCAAACTGTTACAAGATGTTGCATTGGTAAGGCAAGACTAACTCATTAGCCCATATTCCATTTGACTTTCAATCCATACTTATTTGCTTTTGCAAGAAACCCCTTTATGTCTTTGACTCTTTGTTAGTCTTTCTGACTTTTAGAAACTGAAATTTAGTTCTAGGAGAAGGAAAGGGAAACGGTGATTGGAAATGTTTTTTTTACTTTGGTGATGGAGCTTTGAACCAATAGGGACCAGCATCAGTCAGTTAAGTCGAAGAAGTGTATATTTGAGGTGTTTTCTAACAGAACCAAAAAATTAGATTGAACATACACCATCTGATAACAAGATCATAACATTTACTTAACATGGTTTAACAATGCACTTTGAGTATGAGCTCTGAAGCTAATTTTTCATCACTTTTATGTTTTGGAAGAGGAACACGATCTATGCTCGTGTGGATGCTGCACTTCGTAAGATCCGTGATACATCAGAGGTGATTTTTGCGGATATGTTTCATCTATCAGCTTCATACTGAATCCAATTCTAAAAAGCGTTTTCTGAATGGCAGATTGTGCAAGTCTTTGCATCGGAACACCTCAAAACCCCGCTGGGGGAGCCCGTGAGAGGCAAAAAGAACAAGACAACTACCGAACTATGGTTGGAGAAGTTCTACAAGAAAACAACCAACCTGCCTGAACCCTTCCCACATGAACTGGTTGAACGACTTGAGAAGTACCTCGACGTAAGTAGTCTCTTCTGGGTCAGTTACATAAAACCATTATTAACAAATCTTTCATTCTGTTTGATCTTTAACGAATTTGTTACTGAAGTTTAAAATGATTAAGTAAACAATTAGTTTGTCTGCAACGGTCTGAGTTTTTTTTGTTAAATTGCCCAGATCAATGTTTCGCCTAAACGTATTAATAAAAAATGTACATGTACCCTGTATTAGTGATCTGGATAGTGTACAGGCTTTATGGCGAGCTAGTCGTGAGATTTGAATACTGTTAGAAGTAGAGTTTTCAGTGACTAATTTGCTATTGAGCCCAATGCCACACGTTCTAACCTATCGACTCCAAAACCAACAGAATCTCGAGGAACAGCTTGTCGACCTGTCATCTTTGCTGTACGATCACCGACTACAGGATGCACACCTGAACAGCTCAGAAATTCTCCAGAGCTCAATCTTCACGCAGCAGTAAGTCCCCATCACGAAGTGATTCTCTCATTGTTTCATAGTCCAAAGTCGAGACTGCTGACTCTTGTCTAATGCCAGGTACGTGGAGCATGTGTTGTCGAGCGAGAAGGAGAAGATGAAGTGCTGCAAGATCGAGTACAAGTATCCGTATCACTCCTCACAAACTTTCGTCTACGGAGGGATCCTACTGGCCGGGTTCGTAGTGTACTTTCTCGTCATTTTCTTCTCCAATCCAGTCCGATGATACATTCGATCCACATTTTCTTCTTGACCTCTGCTACCAGAACCTGTATTGTGGAGATGTAGTTCATGTGCTTTTAATTATAGGCCCAACTCGGAGAAAGGAATTTTGGTTGAGTTTCTTCTGTGTATCTTATAACTGGCCTTCCCTTCCCATATACAAACTCTCACCATAGCAAAGGATGTCGCTTAGATTTAGTCCGAGGTTTAGCTACTGAAACACTGTTTTGCCACATTACAGTTAAGAGATAGTCGTCGTTTTTCTTCTATGTTTTTAAAGGCTTTACGAGGAAAACTCTTCAAATGGACCGATTCCACAAAATAAACCCTTTTGCGTAGCACTCGAAATGTAGGCAAAATAAATCAGAAGGCGTTCTAGAACTGTGAAAAAAGAGTGGTGTGAGATTTACAAATCTGTAGTCCACGATTTTGTGCCAAAAAATGTTCAAGTTGAGAATTCATTTATGAGTGATTTGGAGAATTAGATTCAAAGTATTATTAATAATCTCACCCAAAAAAAAGTATTATTAATAAAATTTATCGAATCATCTAAGTTTGTATAGTAGATTTGAGTTTTTAGAGATTTCAAGCTATTAAATTCCAGATAAAATTAAGCATCTGTATTTTTCACAAGAAAAATAAATTAAGAAGAATATTTTTGCGTGATATCTGATAGTAAATCGTTGAGTGGTTTCACATAATGCTCTCGGAAGTAACCAAGAAAAAAAAAACAATTGGACGAAGAGAAGTAGAGAACATATCACTAGAGGTGGCAATTACGATCCAAATCCATAAATTCAATCCAATCCATCCACCAAATTATCCACCTAATCCAATCTATTTAAATCCAATCTATTTGATTCAAATACAATTGAATTGTTGAATTCATGGATCAATCCATGGATCCAAATGAACAATTACGATTTGGTACCTATTTTTTTATATTTTACATTTTGGTACCTAAAATTTATATTCTTATACGAAAAAAATCATTGGAAAATTACATATTAGTACCTAAAATTTTTCATTATGATATTTTAGTATCTAAACTTTTCAAAATTTACATTTTGGTCCAAACCTTGGATGTCATTTGGATTCATGGATCAATCCACCAATCCATTTGATCCAATCCATGAATCCACCAATTCATTGGATCCAATCCATTTGATCCATGGATCCACCAATCCACGAATCCGATCCAATTGCCACCTCTACATATCACTCAAAGCGAGTTTACAGATTCGTGTCTGTCTTCGTATGAATGAAGCTTTCTACATGTAGATTACTACATAGAAAATAACTACACGTCAACTCAATGCGCTTTCATCAAATAGACAAATACATCTAATCATTACAATAACAAACAAGTTTCTCCACGAATCTAATCACTGAATTGCATTGTTGATCGCCTGCTCCAACAAGCGTCAGTCTCCTCCAATCCTCTCGCGGCTCAATTATCACTGATGCAAACAATAACAAAAGCTGGCACATGCAACAGAAGAAATATAGCTGAAACAACAAAGGTAGAGAATAAAAAAATTTGAATGATCAAAATTAAAATAAAAAGGAGTATCAGACATAGCTTTCTAGGCGGCAAATATGCATCACTAGAAGCTGGGCAACAATTGGCCCAGCTCGCTCGGAGCCCAGTGCATGATCATCATCTACTACCAGAATACTCGCCAAAGACACACAAAGGAAAAAAAAACAGAAAAAAATAGAAACGGCAAACATAATCTAAAGGGAAAGTGCGAGATGGGGGAAAGATCCTCAGGGATATCATGCTTGTAAAGTTTGTCATCAAATTATGCAATCAGGTCTCAAAGATTTTGATAACATCATCGGAAAATCCCCATCCTCCAGATCTAGAACTGTAGAAAGGAAAGAAAAAAAAAAATCAAGACGAAAGAAACTGGATAAGGATATGGCAGGGTCAAATTCACTGCGCCCCTGGGAGTTTTTGCTCGAAGGGCGAAGCGACTCAACATCTCCCGCACAATCAATCTCCGCCCCCCGCTCGAAAGAAAAAAACGAGTGAAGCGAAACCGCCGAAACCACTGAGAGTTAGGATTCAGGGCCTTCAGGGGGGGCATTTCACTGTTCGAAGAATATACTTTAAGTCGGATCAGAATTGCAAATGGAATTGATGGTTAACGAAGAACTCGAAAGACAGTCGTCCATGGTGGAAACTGGGAAGGAGATAGAGATGATGGCAGCGGCTTCGTTGGGAGAAGGTGAGTCATTGGTGGCTTTTTATACAGGGATACTGAGTTCGCCTGCTAGCAGTATGTTAGGGTTTCGAGTATGGGCTCCGGAATGGGCTTATTGACGGGATTTGCTGTGGTGTTCAGGCGGCTAAAGTAGTGGGGCCTTACTCAAGCCCACTGCCGTGTGTTACATTGGGCTGGGCTGATGTGACTTGTAAGCGATTGAATTTCTGAATGGCTAAATCTCGACAATATCGTCCTAACTTAAACTTGGAAATTACATAACCGTCCACACAAATAAAAATTAGAAATTACATAACCGTCCACACAAATAAAAATTAGGGGTCGTTTGGAAGTTGCGATAGTTTTGTTTAGATTGTCATTATGCATGTATTGTTTACAATGGATCTTTTTTTTGTTTTTTTATACATGGATTGTTTATGTGATGTGACAGAAACTATCTCTCATTTTGAGTGATTGTTGTATCTTAACTTTTAGTTGTGATTGTTGAGATTGTTTTGTCTCAGCTTTTAGTTGATGCGACATACACAATCACACATACCAAACGTTGTATTCTACAGTGCATCAAATTCGACAATACATGTATAATATTATACATGCATTCTCAACAATACATCTATTTAACACTTCCAAACAACCCAAAAAGCACAAACCAAACGTTCCTAAAAATATTCCGCCCTTTGCCGTCGATGTCGCCCCTACATCTACCCAATCCGGCCGCCGTCGACTTCCTCATCTAGTAAATGCATGAGTTCAGATGAGTGTTGACCAATGTTGACCCTCCTCTTCGCCGGCTTCTTTTTCGGTTGACCGATGCCTACACTTCTCCCCCAAACCATCATTTTATGTGATCGGCAAAACTATTCTTCTTTGGTATTGTGGCGATACAGAAGGGGTTTGAAGGAGGATCTTCGTGTAATTAAGCGGGAGTCGGATCATAATGCTTATAATTGGGATGAATAATTAACAGAATTTGAGAAAAATTATACACTGGTTTCCCTTTTCCATGGTGGCCGAAGGTGGGTAACATTGCCAGCGGCGGGTAATGGCGGAGGGGGAGCAATGATAAAAAAATGAAAGGATGAATCTGTCGCAATAATAAAAAAATTGAATGGATGAAGTGGTAATTTTAATTTTTAAGTTAGGGCGATTGTAGTAAAATTTAGGGCAATAATTAGCAATCTCCTTAAATTTAGGATAATGATGATTTATTAGTCAAACCTTCTATAAATTTTTTTATCAGTCAAACCTATTAAATTACTAATAATTAGTGAAATGTTAACATCCATCTAGCAATTTTGTTGGGTAAATGCCAAGTTTGGTCACTGGGTTTGCTAAAATGTGTCATGTTTAGTTACTGAAAAAAATTAATATCAAATTTGGTCACTCAAATTACTGAAACAGTCCATGTTTGGTCACTCTTCATTAGTCTCCATCCAACTCTGTTAACTGAGTCTGTTATGTGCTGATGTGGCAAACGAAATGACCTAGTCAGCGACATTTTATCCTAAAAATTTGAAATCTAACCCGTCACGTCAGTTTTCCCAACCCTGCCCTTGATCCACCCCTTCCAACCCATAACCAGACCATTTCCCAACCCATAATTACCATTTTCCAAGATGGAGGGCAATGGAGCTCTGCACCTCTACATCTTCCCCAACGCATCTCCTTCCCCCCTATTTGTTCATTGTTTCCATCAAATCCAGATGAACAAGAACAAAAATCCATCAACCTACCCAAAACCTTATTTATTTCTCTTCCATTTTTCCCAAAACCAAATCCCCAAAACCTTCTTTCTCCTCTTCCTCCACGTCGTCGTATGACAACAACATTCATCACCATGGCGATGACCTTCTCCCCGCTACGACGGTGTACGACGATGTCATCAATCTCCCTTCTTCCCTTCCCAATGCGGTGGTAGCAGCAGTCCAAAGCCCAACCATCCCAATGCGACGATGACATTAAACCGCTCCCTCCAACGCTGGAGGCAACGGGGGACTTCGCTGTGGAGGAGGAGAAAATCATGTTCCAGATCTCACAGAATGTGAGTCCAAACCCCAACCATCCCGATGTTTCTCCAGGATCATCTGCAGCCAGTGGCGGACCTAAGGCAAGGGAGGGTGTGTAGTCCGACACACCCTCGCTCGAGAATTTTGTGAAGGACGTACATATTTTTTGTACAAATTTTTTTATTTCGAGATAGCCGACACACCTTCAATAATTATAGCCGACACACCTTCATTATACTCGAAAAATTTATTATCCGAATAAATCAATCTTAATCATAATCCCTTTTAATTTTGTTTAAAATAACTCATAAATCAAAATCCTATCAATTCCTATTAAAATAAACAAACTCTCAGCCCATACAATATACATGTGTGATGTGTGTTGGGTCTCGGCCTATAATTAAAAGAGAAAAAAAAACCCACAGGCCTAATGGCCAATAGCCTAGGCGGCCACTAACTCCCCATCATTACTTGTTGCAACGACAAGCTGCGAAAGAACATTTTCAGCTATGAAGATAATCAAGAATGATCTTCGAAATCGGTTGAGTGACCAATTTATGAATGATTGTCTAGTTGTGTATATTGAAAAAGATTATCTTTGCAATATAAGTGATTAATGTATTTTAGAGACATTTCAACAGATGAAAAGTCATCGCTATTCGTTGTAAACATGACATTGTGAACTTTATGAATTAATTTGTTTTAATTTCTACTTAATTTTTTTCAATTTAATTTAATTATTATTTTATTTTATCGGCGTCACACCTCTCCGACAATCCTGAGTCCTCCACTGTTTGCAGCATTGACTGCCGGAAGTAGAGATAAGGGTCGTTGATGTCCTTCTCCACCGCCACACTTAGACACTCTACCCGCCCAATCGCCTAAACCCTCTCACTGTCCCTCCCGCACGATTCCTCTTTGTCGTCGTCTGCCGCCACAACGGGGTAGAAGGTCGCCACCGTGGTGGGAATGATGTTGTCGTACGACGACTTGGAGGAAGAGGAGAAATAAGGTTTTGGGGATTTGGTTTTGGGAAAACTGGAAGAGAAAGAAAGAAGGTTTTGCGAATTTGGTTTTGGTTCTTACTCATCTCGATTTGATGGAAACAATGAACATATAGGGGGGAGGAGGTGCGTTGGGGAAAAATGTAGAGGTGCAGAGCTTCGTTAGCTTCCATCTTGAAAAATTGTAATTACGGGTTGGGGAAGGGTCTGGTTATGGGTTGGGAGAGGTGGGTTGGAGAAATTGATGTGGCGGGTCAGATTTCATTTTTTTAGAGTAAAAGTCGTTGACTATTCCATTCCGTTTGTCACATCAACACATAACAGACTCAGTTAACGGAGCTGGATGGAGACTAACAGAGAGTGACCAAACGTGGACTGTTTTGGTAATTTGAGTGACCAACATTGATATTAATTTTTTCCAGTGACTAAAAATGACACATTTTAGTAAACCCAGTGACCAAACTTGGCATTTACTCCAATTTTGTTAGTAATATTGACTTGGTAACATGATACTGGCTTGGAAGAGACACATGGATGTCAACATTCCAAAATTTTAGTATGTTAACAAAGGGAAACGTTACAAAATTATTAACGATAACGTAAAAATGACTGATGCTTTGACGTGTTACAAAACGTTTGACTAATTTTTAGTATTTTAATAGAGTTTGATAAAATAAAAGAGTCCGAAAAGGGTTTGGATAATAAATAGACATTACCCTTAAATTTAACTAGATTATTTTTGTGTTGTTCATGGCAACTGCCGAATTCGGATTTGTTGGTGGTCTGGGCCCAATAAAACATTTTCGAGTGGTATTATTCACGGTGGGCTAATTGGGCTGTCGATGGTGGTGAAAATTAGACCTTTGCCAAATGTTTGACTAGGTCCAACTAGACGCTTTTGTCAAGGCCCAAGGGGAAATCAAACTTGCAACCCAGACCATTAATGGGGCTAAGATCAGGTGATTAAGAGGGGGTCCCTTAGTCACATGGCTAAATGAATCTCAGCCACTCAACCTCATTAAAATCCAATGATTTTAATTAATTCAATTTAATGAATGGCAATAGAGTAATTACATATTTATTTTTTTACCTTTTAATTATAAAATGAAAAAGGAAGGGTTTCCGTCTCCGCCCCCTTTGCCGGCCAATGGCGTCCCGCCGAGTACTTTTCCGGGGACAAGGCCATTTTTTCAATTTTCTGGGCAAATGCCCATGCTTCCTTTCCATTCCCAGGAAAAAAGCGAGATAGATTCCATTCCCAGGAGAGAGAACCCTTCTGTTTGGACTTTGGCTTTTGAATAATTTGTATGGCCTTTGGCGATGGGGAATTTGTAAAATCGAATAATTGCGGAGTATAACGAAGACGAAGATGTACGTGGTTTCCCCGTCAATTGACAGGACTAGTCCACGGCGAGGGTGACCTCAGGTTGGGTTTCACTATCAATGGAAGAATAGAAATCTTCCCATGAATAGGTTACAGCAGCCGGCCATAAGGCCTTCCTCTTATACCCATCGACAACAGCTAGGGCAAAGAACAAACACAAGGGAAACTTACAAAATAGTCCCCAAACTAAGAAAGTATGCATATGGGACGCAAATAAATACACGTCAACACTCCCCCTCAAGCTGGAGCATGCAGGTCACGAATGCCAAGCTTGCTCAAAAGGATATGAAACTGGTCACCACCTAAAGCCTTCGTGAGAATATCAGCCAACTGGGACGAGGAACTGACCTTCAAAGGTGCAATCTCGCCTGTGACGACACGTTCACGAACGAAGTGACAATCCATTTCAACATGTTTAGTGCGCTCGTGGAAAACTGGGTTAGCAGCTATATGCAATGCCGCCTGGTTGTCACAATGCAGGGGGGTTGGAGAGTGTTGAGGAACGCCCAACTCAATGAGGAGGAAGCGGAGCCAGATGACCTCGCTGACAGTGCTGGCCATAGCGCGATACTCTGCCTCTGCAGAAGAACGAGCGACGACGCGTTGTTTCTTAGTTCGCCAAGAGACGGGTGCCGAGCCGAGCTGTATGTAGTAACCGGTGGTAGACCGTCGAGTAGTCTGGCAACCCCCCCAATCAGCATCACAATAAGCGTTAAGCCGCAGAGATTCACCAGTGGGAAAGAAGAGACCCTGCCCAGGAGACGTTTTGAGGTACCGAAGAACCCTGTGAGCTGCAGTGACATGTTCAGGTCCAGGAGAATGGACAAACTGGCTGAGGATGTTCACCGCATAAGTGATGTCTGGTCGGGTAACTGTGAGGTAAAGAAGACGGCCCACGAGACGACGATAGGATGATGCATCAACCGCAGCATCATCAGTGGGCCGAGGACGAGTGAGGTCGTGGTTCTGCTCCATGGGGAATCGGCTGGGACGGGCGCCAGTAACACCTGCATCAGTGAGAATGTCGAGTGCATACTTTCGCTGAGAGAGAACAACTCCTTCTGGTGAGCGAGCGACCTCAATGCCCAAGAAGTATTTTAGGGGTCCAAGATCTTTAATGCTGAAGCGATCATGGAGAAATGACTTAACCTGTGCAATTAACTGAGGGTCGTTACCCGTAAGAACCACATCGTCAACATAAACCAGGGCTGCCACAAACTTGTCCTCTCGACGATAAATGAGAAGTGAAGGGTCGGCGTGGGATGGAGTAAAATCAAGTTCAGCCATTGCTGAGGTGAACTTAGCGTACCAATTTCGGGAGGCTTGACGCAGGCCGTAAAGAGACTTGCGTAAGCGGCAGACTCGAGTGTCACCTTTCTCCGCGAACCCCTCAGGAACCTTCATGTAAACTTCCTCCTGGAGGTCGCCGTGGAGAAAAGCGTTATTGACATCGAGCTGATGCATGGGCCATCCTCGAGCAACCGCAACGGCAATGAGAACCCGAACTGTAACTAGCTTCGCAACAGGAGCGAATGTCTCGTGGAAATCAATTCCTTCCAACTGAGTAAAACCTTTGGCAACCAACCGAGCCTTATACCGCTCAACCGAACCATCGGGATTATACTTGATCTTAAAAATCCATTTTGAGTCAATGGCCTTCTTACCCGGTGGTAACACCTCGAGAGTCCACGTACCATTGGCTTCGAGAGCCAGGATTTCCTTAATCATTGCTTCCCGCCAACAAGCAAAGCGAACCGCCGCCTTGTAGTGTTTGGGTTCGACATTTTGAGTGATGGCGGCCAAGAAAGCTCGATGATGAGAGGAAAACCGATGATAGCTTACTTGGTGGGCAATGGGATACGTGCAAGAGTGAGAGGTGGAACCAGGAAGCTCAACATCATAAATGTTGAGTTTAGTGGGCAGTTTGCGAGTGCGATCACTTCGGCGGACCACGGGAGCAGGTGGCGGAGAGGGACTACGAACAGCTGAAGATGGGGCTGAAGAGTCGACGCCCTCTGCATGGGAAGGTACCTCGCCACCAGCTGCATGGGCGGACTCTCCAGGTGTGGTGGGCGACGATGCATGGGCAGGAGAAGTAGCATGGTTGTCATGCAAAGGAGAAGCTGGCTCTTCATTATTAAGGGTGTCCAAATCAACAAGGCCCTCGGCCTCTTCCATGTGCTCATGCATGGATGGATCAAAAATAGAAATCTCCCCCTCAAAAGAAGCTTGAGGGTCTTGGCCACGTGAGGTTGTTGTTGAGAGAGGGTGAGCAAGTGCCGAAGTTCCATTTGGAATAAAAGGGAACACACTCTCAACAAAATGAACGTCACGGGACGTGTAAACCCGTCGTAAATCCAAGTCGTAGACACGGTAACCCTTTTGGGAATGAGGGTAACCAACGAACACACCACGACGGCCTCGTTCAGCAAACTTGTCAAGGCCAGGTTGAGTATCTTTGGCGTAGACCAAACACCCAAAGGTACGGAGATGCGAATAAGTGGGGATTTTCCCAAGTAAGACCTCGTACGGAGTTTTATTACGCAGAACAGATGACGGCAGTCGATTAATCAAGAACGTAGCCGTCAGTACACATTCTCCCCAGAATTTGACCGGTAGGCCTGCGTGAAATCTGAGTGCTCGGGCTGTATCAAGTAAATGTCGGTGCTTTCGCTCCACTACCCCGTTCTGTTGAGGAGTATGAACACAGGAGGTCTGCAAAACTATCCCGTGTTCAGCATAATAATCACAGAGTGTGTTGGTCTGAAATTCCGAACCATTGTCAGCTTGAATCCGGCGCACCTGACCCTGAAACTGAGTGACTACCATCTGACAAAACGAGAGAAGGTAACGTTCAACATCCGACTTATACTTGAGCAAATAAACCCACGTAGCTCTACTGAAATCATCAACCACTGTCAGGAAATACCGAGAACCATCTAGAGAAGGGGTTTTATAACCGCCCCAAATATCCACGTGAATCAATTCGAAACAAGCCCGTGTCGTAATGGAACTGGAAAGAAAAACTGTGCGAGTTTGTTTAGCTCGCCAACATGAATCACAGTGAGATTTAAATGACCCAATTGTCCGGCAACCCAAAAAATCTCTCAAGGCATTAACTTTCTCTAGTGACGGGTGACCAAGTCGTTGATGCCACAGCAAATCCTGACTAGCTTCGGCCGCAGCGTGAACACCAGGAACATGACCTATGGACGTCGAAGGAAGAGGTACCCGCTGAAGGTAGTATAAGCCATCACGGAGGCGACCCAGTCCAATCACTGTCTTGGAACGTGAGTCCTGAATCACACAAATATCAGCTAAGAACAGTAAGGCCACATCATGATCCTGTGTAAGACGACTGACTGACAGAAGATTGCATTTGAATTCAGGGACATGTAACACACGCTGAAGAGTAATATTTTCACCAAGAACTGCTGTACCTATACCCTTGACAGGGATACTAGTGCCATTCGGGATACGAACAGAAGAGTAATTTCCAGAACAATCCAAATTTGACAACCAACTAGCATCCCGAACGATGTGTTCATTACACCCAGAATCAATAAGCCAATCATAAAGTTCAGTTGTGTTACCGGCCATATGAGCAGTGGGATCGGAGGTGGCCGGGATGGGAACTGGTGCACTGAGAAATTGCTTCAATTGTGCAAACTGAGCACCGGTGAGGCCAGGAATAGGACTGTCGTCAACGCTTACCTGCGCAGCCCTTGTGGACGAATCACCTTGTGATTTACGAGTGACTTGGGTTCGATCTCCTTGGCGGCCCTTACCTTGGGATGAAGGGTACCCAATGAGTTTGTAGCACATCTCCACTGTATGTCCCAGCTTGCGGCAATGACTACAGCGGGGTTTGTCGTCTGATTCCTTCTCCCCGCTGGTTTGGAATGCGGCCGAGTCAATCGTCGGACGGCGGCCTGCCGTGAGCTGGCGTTGCTGTTCTTCCGCTGCCACCATGTGGTAAGCCTCGACCAGGGATGGAGTGGGCCGAAGACTGAGTATGTGAGTGCGTACAACGGAAAAGACTTCATCCAAACCAAGAAGAAAGTCGAACAGCCTTTCAGTTTCAAGCTTTGTACGCGTCTGCTCGGCGATGTTGCAAGAACAGCCACTACAACTACACTTGGGATTGATGCTCACGACCTGCAGTTCGTCCCAGTACGTGCGAAGTTTAGTATAAAATGCGCTCACCGATTGCTTTTCCTGGCGAAGCGAACTGATCAGTCCACGCAATTCGTAAGCCCGACCTGCCGAGCTCGTTCCAAATCTTTGCTTGAGATCAAGCCATATCTCTCTCGCTGTCTTGGCCCCCCTGACGCTGTTCCGTACCTCCTTGTTCATTGCGGTTTTGATCCAGCCTTTAACAAGGGCATCTCCACGATCCCATGCATCAAGCCTTACCGCCGAGGTCCCGACAGCAGTGCGCGGCAGCGAGCCATCAACAAACGCGAGTTTGTTCTTGGCGATCAACGTCTCTGTCATATCACTCACCCACTCACCATAATTGAGGTCCGTCAGAGGGTCACCACCGAAAAGCTGTCCGGGATTCTCTGATGGGTGAGAATACAATGGCGAAGTGAGGGGAATGACGTCGGCGCCGGTGACAAGGTCTTTGGTACCGCTAGTAGAGTCTTTCTCATCACCCATGATTACAATAAAATATGAGAACGTCAGAAGAAGATAGTCGATCGATTAGTGCTCTGATACCATGTAAAATCGAATAATTGCGGAGTATAACGAAGACGAAGATGTACGTGGTTTCCCCGTCAATTGACAGGACTAGTCCACGGCGAGGGTGACCTCAGGTTGGGTTTCACTATCAATGGAAGAATAGAAATCTTCCCATGAATAGGTTACAGCAGCCGGCCATAAGGCCTTCCTCTTATACCCATCGACAACAGCTAGGGCAAAGAACAAACACAAGGGAAACTTACAAAATAGTCCCCAAACTAAGAAAGTATGCATATGGGACGCAAATAAATACACGTCAACAGAATTTCCCCCCAAATTGGCGGCAGAGAGAAAGTCTTCCGTTGTCGGCGGTAGAGATTTTCCGATGATGGAGGTTTTGGTGGCAGCGCCGATTTTGTGATGTTTGTGAGATTATTTTGTAATGTTTGCAAGTCTGTTTTGTATTGATTCTGTTTATATGTTTTATCATTCTAGTTTATAATGTTTATATGACTATTTTGTATATATTGTAATTTGTAATATTTGTTTGTCTAGTTTGTATACTTTATGTTATAATTTGTACACTTTCTATTCATTGATTTGCAATACAAGTTTACTGATTTGTATCATAAGTAGTGACATTTTGTACTGTTAGTATGTTTTGTAATGTTTGTCGAGTTGTTTTGTAATGTTTGTAAGCTTTGTTATTTTGTAATGTTTGTAATGATTGTCAAGTTCATTTGTAATATTTGTAAGCTTTGTTATTTTTGTCCAACATATTTGTCATTTTTGTTAACCATGTTTGTAATGTTTTTTCTGGTATGAATTGAACATTTTGTAGAAAAAAATTGATAAAAAAGAAACAAAGAAGAGGCACGTGAGTGGGATGGTTAAAATCACTTATTGGTGATTAATAAAGAAAGAACCAGTGCAATGAAAAAAAAATAAAGAAGAACATGTTGAATTATGAAAAAAGAAGGAGACGTGCGCGGGCTGTGGGCTGTGGCCCGTGGGGAATAAAACAATAAAATAATGAATTTTTATAATACCACAACTACCCTTTTCATTAATTAAATATCCATTCCTATTTTTTAACCATTAGATTAATGGATTCAGATCCAAGGGCTAGGAGGGATTTAGTTACTTGACTAAGCACCCCCCTTAGTCCACTTAGTCACAGGATCCGCACTCCAAGTACTCAACGAAGAGCGTTCTTTGCACGCGTCCAGCTAGCGTGAAACGTAAAAAGCGGGGCAGTGCGTCCAGGTGGCAAAGTGAAACGCGTCGAGTTGGCGCATCCAGCTGGCTGGAAGCTTGTACAGCTGGCAAATCACGTGTTCTGATGAACCGACTTCAGACCTCCTTTATGCATTTATAAATAGCAGCAAGGCATCACGTTCCCTCCTTTATTAGTTACCGTTGCCGCCAAGAAGCCTCGAACGAAACTAGGAGACGACTGATCTCTGCTTGGTGCTGCAGTTTTAGGGTTTCGATTCTTCTGGTTTGTTCCTTTTTCGTTTCTCTGCAGATTTTTCGTTTATCATGCACCGCCAAAATGGTTTCGTTGTCTCTACTCTGTATAGATCGTTCTTTTTGGGAATCTAGGGCTCAATTCTGATGGTATTGATGGTACCCGCATAATTACCAAGTACAATCCAAGTTGGTGAGATTCCCGGGTGGATGCTAGAAGTTCTTCTAACGGATGATTGTTAGGGTTTGGGTGTGAGAATTTGTGAAGGTCGGCGATTTCTGTGGCCCAAGGTATGCTTCCGTCTGGTTTTGCTCCCGCTTCCTATGGTATGGGTAACGAGAGGTGAATTGTTCTTGCGTTATCATTCTATCCTCTGCAATAAATTGTCGCAGTCCGATGTTACGATAGCTCATAGTGGGTGGGATGGCATGATAGTTGGGTTATTTACATGTTAGTTTCCACTAGGCAAAACTTCTTGGCGACCAACTCCCTAGATGGCTCATCTTGGAACTCTTCCAAATAGTGTCTTGGAAACCTAGTGAGGTGATCCTTACCAATTCCTGGTTGGCTCGTCGATTACTTTATCTGTGGTTCTTAACGTGCATGATTACATGATCCCAGAAAGGAACTTTAGTTGGTCCGAGTTGTTGGATCTTTAATAAGTTGCATGCCAATGGTGTCCTAGAAAGTGAACAATGACTAGTGGTGGTTGCCCTTCTGCCCGTTATCCTTGTTTGAGCTTATAACATATGTTTGGTCCTAGGAGGGAACTGCGACTAGTCTTGGTTGCCCTTCTGCCTCTTCTATCATTGTGGCGGTGAGTATAAGTCTAAGGTATGTGCCAATGGAGTCCGAGAAGGAGACCTTGTCTAGTATCGGTTGCCCTTCTGCTTCTTCTATCATGGTGGATGGGGTCCTAGAAGGGAACCACCACTAGGCTTGGTTTCCATGCTGCCTCTTTGACAGTCATACCGGTTATGTAAGTCTCTAAGATGAGGTATTGGCCAACCAGTTCCTAGAAAGGAACCATTATTACCCTTGGTTTTCTTTCTGACGTGCCTATCAGTTGCTCTTGTGCTCCACTTCTTATATTGGTTGGGACACTTTTAAGTACATTACTGAATTTCCATTGAGGGTCCTAGAAGGAAACTAAGGCTGTCTGAGTTGCCCTTCTGCCCCGATGCTATATAATGCATCAATGGGAAGGGTCCTAGAGGGGAACTAAGGCAGTTTGAGTTGTCCTTTTGCCCCAATGATATATGGTGCAAATCAATGGGGTCCTAGAAGGGAAAACTTTTATATTGGTTGGGACAAGTACATTACTGAATTTCCATTGAGGGTCCTAGAAGGAAACTAAGGCAGTCTGAGTTGCCCTTCTGCCCCGATGCTATATAGTGCATCAATGAGGTCCTAGAAGGGAACTAAGGCAGTTTGAGTTGTCCTTTTGCCCCAATGATATATGGTGCAAATCAATTGGGTCCTAGAAGAGAACCACGAATAGTCTTGATTGCCTTTCTGCCTCTTCTATGACTGCGGTGTTGGATCTGCCTCTTAAGTGAGTTATGTGTCAATGGGGTCCTAGAAAGGAATCATGACTAGTCTTGGTTGCCCTTCTGCCTCTTATATGAATGCGGTGTTGGATCTGCCTCTAAAGTGAGATGTGTGCCAATGGGGTCCTAGAAAGGAATCATGACCAAGTCTTGGTTGCCTTTCTGCCTTGCCTAAGAATTTCTACTGCCCCACTTCTTTCGTTAAGATATTTGAACTGCATGCCAAATTTTAAATGGGATCTTAGAAGGGAACCTTGATAGTCTGAGTTGCCGTTTGCCCCAATGATATAAGTTCTACATCAGTTGGAAAGCAATTCAACGCAAGTTAGTCGGATCATGAATGGAAATGTACTTGGTCTTGTTAGTGTCTCCTGCTTATTAGTCGGTGTCTGGTTTGGATAACATATGAAGTTGGGGGTTTAAGGAGAGGGAGACATTTCTGGACTGCCCTTCCTAGACATTACAGTTTCACTGATTTTGTAGTTCGTTAAGACTTTGAGGCTGAATTGATGGCCTTGTATTGGGTACTCTGTGAGAATGAGATTGTTTAGACAATTCATATTCATCCCTGAGCTTTTCCAAATGTGATCACCTTGTGTTTACATGGTTTCCTCGCAAAGCATGATTTCCCAAATCGTATCCCCATGTTTAGTCCTGAAGCTATTGATGGTATTGGATTGAACGATTTCATGTTGTCCATTCAGTTTATATAATTGAAGGTAACTATTTAAGACATGTGATGCTTGTAGTTATTCTCTCTTTCTTTACCCGTGACTCTTTTTGAGTGCTTGCTGACGGAGTCCTATCGGCTATCAGGAAACTGTGGCTAGCCCAATATTGGCCTTCTGCCCTGACATTTGTGCTATCCATTCATATAAATCATGTGATAGAAGGGAACAATAGAAGACATGTGTTGCTCCTTTACTTTCGTGATCATTGTGGATGAGGTCCTAGGAAGGAGTTGTGGGTTGGGACAAATGCTCTTCTGCCCATGTGTTAATTATGTTCACTTCTGCCCCATCTATTAATTCTGCTCAACTGTTGCCTTGCCCATTTCTGTACAACTCTCATGTCCTTTGACATCGCAGTTTCGTTTACTTTATAATCCAAACATCGGTTACTTTCATAGACCATGGTATCGTGTTACTTTCGTAGTTTATGTTGATAATGATGGCTGAGTTTTGATAATCATCATGTACACGTAAAGGGGGTTGGGACTATTGTATTTGATAAAGTTATCTTGGTTTATCAATAATGAAAACGATCTGGCGGCCTGTTAGGATGTCTTGCTCGGCACACCCTATCAACTATTCTGACATTTTTAAGTGGTGTCCTAGAAGGAAACCTTACATGCAAATGTGCTGTCCCATTTATTTAATTGGTCTTGGATCTGTTTCAGTGGTGTCCTAGAGGCTAGAAGTGAATTTTCACTGCTGCATTTTGCAGTTTTTCTCCAGGTTTGAGCGGTGCCTGGCAATGGGGTTCCCGAGGATGGTGTTTAAGCTTGTTTTCATTGCTCTAGGTTTGGTTGGACCTCTTCTTTTCAAGCATCATGGTTAGCTACGATTCAATCAGTGACCAATTAAATGGAATTTTACTTTGGAATTGCATTATCATCGATTCCTATATGGGATGAAATCAACCATTCTATAATGCTTACCAGTGTTCAATGAAACAGATAGTTCTCTTTGGGGGTGGATTTAAGACTCGTGTGAAGTTGGTGATTCCTGAAGGTGAAGTATCCTTCTTTGATATATGAAATGGACTTGTATTTTGAAACTACATTGCAAATTGAATCTGATGTGGAGATGAATCAATCAATAGAATGATTTGTTGTGTCAAGTTATAGATGGTTCTCCCCGATTTTATTAAATCTCAATTGGTGATTTATCAAGGTGCAGCATGCATATGTTTAAGACGACGACATAGACCCCCTTGATACTGTGTCTATGTTAGTTGTGGTGGTGGTCTGGCGAGTACAATGATGGTTGCAGTATAGACAGCAGAATCTTTTTATGTTGATTCGATGTGCAATTCGCTTACAATTTCCTGGAAGGAGTGTATCAGCTTGGGAAGTTCATTACTTTGCACGACAGATCATCATTTGCATGGTTCCGTTGTTCTCTATTTGGGTCTTAGAATGCAGATGTGTCGATTATTGATTTAAGGTTTGCTCTACTTGGGTTTTTGGATGGGGTGGCATGATGGTTGGCTTTGGCTGGTTTTCATGATTCCATCAAAGAATGTAGAGGCCTTTTTAAGACTTCCTGACCAAGGTACCTCATCAACTATACTAATTTTATGACAGTCAGTAGTACAATATTGATGGATACTAATTTACTGACATAGTCGATAGTATAGTACCCATGGAAAATGATTCATAGTATAGTTGCTTTCATTGGGTAGATGTATATGGACATTTTTCCAAGTTGCGCTTCTTTTGTTGCCCAGCTTCTGCCCCATCTGTAATTAGGAATCTGGAAGTTTCATTGAAATGGAGTCCTGCAAGGAAATTATTGGTAGTCATGTTTCATCGTGTAAAATCCACCTATTTAAGTTAATACCATATAATTAACCTGTAGCGTGAATCTATATGTTCCCTTCTCCAAGTTTGATCTTGAGTTAGTATTGAAAACTTGAATTACGGGTGAAGGCAGATGCCCTTTCAAGGTTATGTCAATATCATAGTGTCGTGTTTCTAGTAGGAGTTAGATCTGATGCTTTCAGAAGTCTGATCATGATTGGGTGTACAAGCTACCAGCTGCTTTGATCTTGAAAATGGAAGGAACTATTTAGATTTCTGGATGCGAATAAGAGCCTGATATCGACTTGTGAATTCTTATACTATGGCTTAAGTAGCAGGTTCTCATTATGGGTTAAACTTTCTTGAATCCTTACTTCCTCTGGATGTGTTAGTTTGTTGTTGTTGAGAAGGATAGTGAAATTTAATCAATGCTCTAATTTGACACATCTGATTATAGATGGACATGAGTTGTTTTGACAGCAAGAATTGGAGCTAGAGCCACATAGGAATAAAAAAATTGGGTTATATCTGGTTGCTGTTGTGATTTCCTCTATTTAGTCCCATGAATATTTGTTTTATAGATAATAGCTATTAGAAACCCAAAAGTACAAACCCTAAAGAGGACACAAATGGATGTAAGGTTGGATAAGATTAGGCTCCTTACTGGGATGGAAGCTGCACCTTTCTCAGATCAATTATTTGTCACCATCAAAGAGGAGAGGTGAGCGTGCAACATCTGGGTTAGCAGTGTTCAGTAAAAGAGAGAGTTCTCTGCCTAGATGGATTTCAGATTCCAGTAACCCTTCCAGTGAATATGCTATATAAGGTATTTTGTCCCCATCTATAATTTCATTTGGCGAGAATATGATTCTGTGATTTCTCTGGCTGAAGTATCTGTAAAGTGGGCGCATGCAATTGTTTAAGGCAACGGTGTAGAGACCCTTAATACAGTTGGGGGTAGTGATCTGGTTATTACAATGATGAACGCATTCTAGACGGTAGAAACTTCAATGTTGGCTGAATGTTCAATTTGATTAAAGTTTCCTTGAAAGGAGTGTATTATGAGCGCCAAATCATCATCTACCCGGTTCTACTGTTAGAATTTCCCGCCAAGGTACCCTATCAACTCTGACATAGTCGGTACTACTGATGGGGAAATGATTCTGCATACAGTTACTTTCGATAGGTTACTTCTAAGAACCTGAATGTAGAGATAGTTTGATTCCCAGCTTCTGCTACGTGTATAATTTTGTCATTAGCCCTAGGTTATCTGGAAGGTTCATTGAAATGGGGTCCTGGAATGAAATTATTGTAGTGTTGTTTCATCTTGCATTGTCCACCTGTTTAAGTTGATATCATACAATTAACACTATTCTAGTGAGAATCTATATGTTTTATCCTTCTCCAAGTCTGATCTTGACTGGGTTGCCAACTCGAATTATGATTGAAGACAACTCTCGAGGTTAGGTCAATGCTATGGCGTTGTTACATACTTTCACGTGTTCCCAGTAGGACTGATGTTTTGAGAAGTCTGATCTTGATTGCGTGTGCATACCTAACCTGTGCTATGTACAATTTGCCTGCTACTTAGATCTTGACATTAAAGGAGGCCATTTTAGGCTGCGGGATGTGAACTAGAGCCAGATATTGACTTCTGAGTTCTTATACTATAGTTTTGACAAAAATGTCTGCATTTTGGACTGGTGAGGTTTTCTCTTGGGCTTGTCTACAGATGCAAGTGGTTGCATGAGGAGCTGTAATCTTTTACCTGTTCTTTCTCGCCATTAAAGAGGAGTGGTGGGGTGCAGCAACTGCGTTAGCAGTGTTCAGTATAAGAGAGTTATTTGCATTATGGATTTCAGATTCCAGTAACCCTTTCAATGAACATGCTATATATGGTATTTTGTCCTCCTCTTTTAATTTCATTTGGCGAGAATCTGATTCTCTGATTTCAATGGCTGAAGTATCTGTAAAGTGAGCGTGTGCAATTCGATTCTTGTTTCTTCTTTTCTCTTCGATAGATATTTAATGGGTCTTTCCCAACGTGGCTCTGGTCGCCCTTCTTTGCTTTCTAACTCGGGTTGGCGATGTTTGATCTTTTGCTATGTGAAAAATATGGTAACGAAGACTTATGAATTATGTTCCGAAGTTCATGAGTGGCTCTTCAATGGGACAATCAAAATCAATCTTTTGTGCGGTTATTGTTTTTGCTCTCAGATGGTGTATGATTAAGATCGCATCTACTTCTTTATGATGTTTCCTAAAATCATGGTGGTTTATTGCTGGGGCGGGTTCCAGGAAGTGTTGAAAGCAGTATGTTTGGTTGCATGAGAGGAGTCCTGACAATTTTTGTTCATGGAGAAAATTGAGAATGTCGACTTCAAGATAATTCGGCTTGCAGATTTCACACTAATGTAGATTCTCAGATAATGTCAAATTTGAGGAGTCTTGTCAGGTGCTCACTCAAACTTACATTTTTTTCTCCTAAGTCTTAATATACACCAAGTGTTTTGATCCGTCTCAGAAGGTCGCTGGTACTTCCTTCTGGTTGTCGTGGCAGTTTCGGCGAGTTCTTTATTGACTGGTCTATGGACTGGTCCTGGGAACTCTGTTGCGCAGCGGACTGTTGCCCGAGCTATCGTTGTGCAAGTTGCGCCCCATTGAAGAGGTAATATATGTTGGCCTTTGCCCTGGTTTGCAGTATCTGGTCCTAGGTCGTGCTTGATAGTCCACTGATGTTATCCTAGTTCTTCAGAATTTGTAAAGCTGAACATTGGAGTATGGACCTTAAGGGCGTCCTTGGGTTCCTTTTCTCTCCATGTGGAGCTGCTAATAAGGTAAGCTTTTTCGACCAAAATCTGGGCGGGGATATCATAGGAGTCTGATTCTTTTCATTTTGGAACCAAAGAGTCGGGTGGTTGTGGGTTCTAAAGCTAGCTTACGCTGAAATCAACCATTCTATAATCTTCATTAGTATTCAATGAAACAAATAGTTATCTCTCTGGGTGGATTTCAAACTCGAGTGACCCTTCTCTGTAAAGTGAGTGTGTGCAATTGTTTAAGGCAACGGTGTAGAGACCCTTGATACTATTGGGAGTAGTGGTCTGGTTATTACAATGATGGGTGCATCCCAAGTTACTTCTGATAAGGGAAATTATTTTTCGTACAGTTACTTCTTATAGGTAACTTCTTAGAACCAGAGTATGGAGATATTTTTCCAAGTTGTGCCTCTTCTTCTGATTCACAGCTTCTACTTCGTGTATAGTTTTGGCCTTGCCCTAGGTATCTGGAAGATTCATGGCGATGGGGTTCCGGAAGGAAATTATTGTAGTCTTGTTTCATCTTGTAATGTCTACCTGTTTAAGTTGATATATCATATAATTAATACTCTAGTGAGAATCTATATGTTTTATCCTTCTCCAAATCTGATCTTGACTGGGTTGCCAACTCGAATTATGACGGAAGACAGCTTTCGAGGTTATGTCAATGCTATGGTGTTGTTACATACTTTATGCTTTGAGAAGTCTGATCTTGATTGGGTGTGAAGGAGGCCATTTTAGGCTGTTGGATGTGAACTAGACCCATATATTGACTTTTGAATTCTTATACTATAGTTTTGAAGACAAGAGGCTAGGTTGGATTACTAGACCCACTATGGCAAAAAAAAATCTGCATTTTGGACTGGTGAGGTTTTATGTTGGGCTTGTCTACATATGTAAGTGGTTGCATGAGGAGTTGAAATCCTTCTTACCTGTTCTTTGTCGCTATTAGATCTTTATGGGATCAGTAATTGATAATTGTAGTCCTTTGTAATTAGGCACCAGGGGTTGTCAGAATTTTTTTAGCGGGGCACCTCTAAGACTTCTCTACCTTGTTTACTTTTGTACATTGCAAGGTAGTGACGAAAAATAGCAAGCCTTTGTGAAAGACAAACGAGCTTGAAGAGCATATTAGGAGGTTTGCTTAACTGTGATGTGTGCTATATGTTTGGATGGTTCTCGGGGTTCAATGTCGTGTTCCTGGATTTTCGAGGTAAGTCTTGATCTTTGTTTTCGAGGTGGTTTCTCTTATGGGGCTGTCATGATGATTGGCTTCAACTGATCTTCCTGGGTTCATCAATTACAAAAGGGTTTCTGGTGCTGGTAAAGACTCCTAACCTGTCAACTATTATAATTTCTATCAATTGGTGGTATTTCATTGAGAAGTCGCTGAAATAATTGTATGTAGTGATGATTCTGAGTTGCAACTCCCAAGGGCTGAATGTGGTGGTCGTTTTCCGATAAATATCTCCATGTACTGTACGTTTTTTCCGTCCCCAAGTTTGAACACGATGAGATATGTCCCTCTCTTGATCTTACTACGAACGAATGTGTGGTGTGTGCTCAATCTTGGTAAAATATTCGCGTACCAATTTGCATGAAGGCGCTTTAATGGCTTCGAAATTCTTGTATCTAATGTGATTTGATCGTGGAGTGTGGAATCAGGTTTTGGTGCTTCCTTCGTGTACATGCTATTTTAAACACGTACAATCGGTTGATGTAATTGTATCCATATGTTGACAGTAGCAGGTTCTGCATTTGTTGGTCTGCTGGTCGTCGAATCCAATCATATACTTAATCTTTGTTGTCAAGTTGTAGATGGATAGACATGGTTTTGTTAGAAAGAGTTGAAGTAGACAAAAAACAGAGGGAGTGGTCTAGTTACATCTGATGTTGGCTTTGCTCCTGCATGTTATGACTGTTTTCCTCTGCACTATTATAATATCCTTGGACCTCTAGGTTGTGTTCTCAAAATCAAGGTTCTTGAGAAAGTAGATGAACTTGTGTGAGGTCTATGACAGACAGATTCTGATAAATTGTGTGTAAACTGCTGTAGTCCCTTGTTAGTGTGAAAGTGGTGGTTACATAATGGTGAGCTTGAAGGTCCTAATGATGCAAAAGAATCTGCATTTTATTCAACCATGTGGCATGCTAAAGAGTCTGAATTTTGTTCTTGTTAGTTTTTGTTTCCGAATATCATCTTGGGCATGTTTACAGATGGCTGCAAGGTTAGTAAAGATTAGCCACCTTACTGCAAAGGAGGCTTCATCTTGCTCTGATCACTTTGTTGTCGCTATGAAACTTTAGGAGGGGGCAATTGGGTTAGTAACTACGCTTTGATTAGGCACCTTACTGCCTACCAAAATCTAAGGGTGGTGCACTTGAGACTTCCTTTGTCTTGTCTAGTTTTGCACGTTGCAATGTCAAAAAAGAGCAACGTGATATCTCTGGGAATAACTGGTGGAACCAGTTAGGTGAATATTTTACCAGGTTTGTAATCCTGATAAATTATTGCCAGCTTTAGGATCTTTGGTTGAGTTTGATCCCAAATTTCTGGTACTGGTGGGTCGATCCTTTTATCTTTGGTTGAGTTCATTTGTGCCAATAGTTTAAAGTGGCTGACGTTCAAGTCAGGTGACCATCATTTTTACATGGTCTGGCATTCATACCGAGTAGCTATGTGTTTAGCTGTCTAATTAGTTGTGCTCATAGACATAGAGACATCACCGCCGAAGCAAATGATTAACCCACCGACAAAGAGAAGGCCAACTGGACGTACATGATGGGAAGTTGTCTGAGTGAGGTTGACAGTTCAAGGAACTGCACTTTGGTGTCTGTCCTCTGGGTTGACTTTAGAGATGACAAATGGATTGGATTCATGGATTGGTGGATTGGATTCATGGATTCATGGATCAAATGAATTGGATCCAATGGATTGGTGGATTGGTGGATTATCAATGAATCCAAATGACATCCTCAACCTTGAATTAATATATAAAATGTGAAAAGTTCAGGTACTAAAATGTCGTAATGCAACATTTTAGGTGCCAAAACGTAATTTTTCAATGAGATTTTATGTATAAAATTAAAATGTAAAATGTAAAATATAAAAATAATAGGTACCAAACCGTAATTTACCATTTGAATCCATGGATTGATCCATGAATCTACTAATCCAATTGGATTTGGATAAAATGGATTGGATTAAGTGGATATGTTGAATGGATTGATGGATTGGAGTGGTGGATTGGATTGAGAATTGCCATCTTTAGTTGACTTAATGATTAGCACATTTGTACCGGTTTAGGGTGAGATTGCTTGTTGATTGTAAACTTCTGATAGTAGCTCCTGATAATAGGCTTATTCTCCACTTTTTTTTGCTATCATTTTAAGAAACGAAAGAAGCTGCCGGATATAAGAGACCATTATTTACTTTAGCTAGTCTATTACACCTTCTAGGCATTGCAATGGTCTTGAGTGCAAAGGTAAAACACTAAACCAGAGTTCTCTTAGAATATGTATGAGATCAGTTTCTTGTTTGACGTGTAAGCATCTTACATTTGGGACTCTTTAGCAGGGAAGACTGTACATGTGTTCATCGGCCGCAACTCTGTAAATGGTTACTTCAACGCTTGTTCTTGTTTGGAAATCCAGTTTTTAGTCGATATTTTACATATCTATGTCTCAAGATGAATCATTGTGCTGCACATTGCAGCTTTTCTCCAGTTTTCTGTGGTGCATGGCTATGGTGTTCAGAGGATTGTCTTTAAGATTGTTTTCATTGCTCCCGGTTCCAGTTAGCTCTAGTGCTGGGTGGATCTCTTCTTTCTAAGCACAGCCGTTTGCTACGGTTTTATAAGTGACCAATCCAATAGACTTTCATTTTGCTGCAATTGCATTATTATTGATTCTGATCTGCGAAATCAACCATTCTACTATGTTCCTGGTGTTACGTAGATCAGATGGTTCTCCATGTGGGTGGGTTTCAGACTCAAGTAACCCTTTCATTGATAATGGCTGGACATTGGGTCTCTTGTGGCACAATTGTCTTGGAACCCCCTTTTTTCTATCTCATCTGGCGATTTCTCAAGGTGAAGTATCTATAATGTGAGAAATTGACTTTCATTTTGAATCTGTGTTCCATTTTGAAGATGTGATTATTCTTTATTTGTTGGTTGCTCCATTTTCTCATTATGCCCTAAAATATTTGAATCCTTGCTTCCTCTGGGTGTGTTAGTTTCATAGATGGATCACAGTGGATTTGACTACAAGAACTGGAACTAGGGCCACACAGGGATGAAAGGTTGGATTGGTTAAATTAACATTTTGCTGCTGCTGTGAGCTTCTATACTGTCCCATGAACATTTCCTGTGCACTGTTATGCGCTTCCCTTGAACTTCTGGATCAAGTGGCTTGAGAAAGATTTTGATCTGTGTAAGATCTGGAATATGAGTCTTCCTTATGGTCCAATATCCAAACTTATGCTGAAGTGTTTGTTTAATCAAGCATGGGCACTACACACTAAAAGATTCTGAATCGTGAACCTCTTATGCATTATCCTGGATAGAGGTTTCAAGACTAGGCAAGGAGGCTGCATCTTTCTGTGACATCTTTCTGTGATATGTTTTTATAAAATGGCTATTAGTCAGTTTTTATTGGGATTAGGTACCTTACTGTTTTTATAAAATCTGAAGCAGTGCACTTTAGAGTTTAGACTTCTTTATCTTGTCTAGAGGTGGCAATTAGGATCCAAATCCATAAATCCAATCTAATCCATCTACCAAATTATCTACTTAATCCAATCCATTTGATTCAAATCCAATTGGATTGGTTGATTTATGGATCAATCCATGGATCCAAATGGCAAATTACGATTTGGTACCTATATTTTTTATATTTTACATTTTGGTACCTAAAATTTATTTTTTATATGAAAAATATCATTGGAAAATTACATTTTGGTGCCTAAAATTTTTCATTACGATATTTTAGTACCTATACTTTTCAAAATTTACATTTTGGTCCAAGCCTTGGATGTCATTTGGATTCATGGATCAATCCACCAATCCATTGGATCCAATCCATGAATCCACCAATCCAATTGATCCATGGATCCAACAATCCAATGTACGAATCCACGAATCCGATCCAATTGCCACCTCTAATCTTGTCCAATTGCAGTGGAGTGTCAAAACAACAGCACGACAACCCCAGATGCCAGTTCGAGGAGTATTTTACCAGGTTTGCTTTAAGATGCGATGCATGGTTGTTGGTTGTGGAGCTTGTTTCTCCTATGAATAATCTTTTCATCGGTCGAAAACATTTGTATGGTTGAATGAGTTTGCAGTGGCCAGTTCAACCCTTCTGCCAAGTCCAGAAGGGGTTAAGATCCAAGTGAGTGATTGTAGGCAGGGTTCCTTCTCAGCAGGATGTCATTTACCAACAAGTTGGTTTCATTTAGGATATTTCTGCCTCATCTCGTTTCTACATGGTCTGGCTTTCTTACTGAGTAGTAGTGTGTTCAGCTGGGACAATTGTCAATGGATAATTCAGTAGTGAAACAATAAGGGGCTTTGCAGGTCTGCAACATTGATGTGGTTTTCAATGCAAACGAATCATTTTCCGTCTGACTGTTACAGTTTAGATTATGTCAATTTGCTTGTTATATGTGTAGTCATCATACACTGACCGTGTGTTAAGGAGGAAGGAAGCTGCAATTCTGCTGTCATTTTGCTGCAGTGTTGACTTGATTTAATAAAGTGAGCTTTGCCGTTGATAAAGAAGGTGCTGGCTTTTCACGAGAGCAAGCGACTCTGTCAATTTGTATGGTCGATATCAACCCGAGTACTTGGTAGGCATCTGTCCTATCAATGAGTGAATAGTTCGATGATGCTAATGTTCAACATTTCATTAGGTATTTGCACAAGTTACCTTCCTTCGCAAATTTTATTTTGAGAGAAAATGCACAATCAAAATTGTATGAGCGCAAATGGATTATCTTCGAGTTCCTCCTAGATCTACACGTTTCGGCTAATCTGTTGAGCACACAACATATGCACAAGAGGCGCACTGGATCTTTTTAGCCCGCCAGTCCTCAGACAATCAGGTCAGGAGAGTTTCTAGAGAGAGAAGTGCTTCTAGTTTCTCTTTAGTAAGAGAAAACATATGTGTAAATGCAACTCTGTGCTCTCTATTTATACTCGGGATAACTCCGACGAGCTTCCCTTTTATCTACACCGCATTAAACGCATTGTACGTTACAATATAAAAGCGCCTCGACCACCTGTCAGTCTTTTCAATGAAAATCAAGCACATGATACCAACTTTATCGATGCACATACGATTCTGGATGAATGTCAGATTCGTCGTCATTGCCCCTGAATCCTGATAGTGGCTCTGGTCATGGGCTCGCGCGGCGTCCGACCCATCAGATAGCCTGTCGGACCTGCGGCCGGCCTTTTTCTTTGCTCCGTCGGCCCACTGGACGTGGCGATTCTAAAAGAGCATGCCCAACAAAAACCAACGGCTAAATTACACGTTTGGTCACTTGAATTATACAAATCTTTCATGTATGCCACCCAAATTACTTTTCTTTCTTGTTTGCCACTAACTTTACGGATCGTTTCACCGTTAGTCACTGGCCGTTACACTCCGTTAAATTTGTCCTATGTGGCAGTCAACTATAAAGTTTGACCGTTAACTAGATGACGTGGAAATTAAAAAAAAATAAAAAAATAATTTATTTATCCACCTCATCATTCCACTTACTTTTTATATATTTATCATATTGCTTATTTAATTAAATTACAAAAAACAAATAATATATGCATTTTTCGTGGAACTAAGGCATCGCCGACAACATCCCGTAGGTAGTCAGCTGCTGAAATCCTAAGGTTTAAGCTGTGTGAAAGTTTTCGATACCAACTCGATCGTGCTCCGATCTCTGGTCGGATCCGGAATCAAGGTCACCGTCGATTTGCCCAACGAGATGCTCTCCTCCGCCGCGAAGAAGCCTTCATCTTCTTCTACCCTGACCATCCGGTCGGAGGCACAGCACTGGACACCTTTTCGTCTCCCCTGGCGACAAGAAAGTGTGAGCGTCGACAATCCTGTGCAAGAGGCAAGCCTCGATGGCGACGCTGCCGCAGAGGAAGACAGTGGCCTTGAACGTGATTTGCGGTGCCAATTAGACGATCGACGGTTGGTGGATCAGAAAGGAAGGGGAGGGGAGGAACTGGTGTAGCGAGTCGAGTTGCGGTTGCTTGTCGAGAAACAGAGTCAACTACAAGCTGATCAAATTACAGATTCTAAGTCCCGAAACCCGTCAATTCAAACAACAAGAAGCGAGAGAGGAGAATAGACAGGCAACTCGTTCTTGTTGCTCATGGAATCGCCATTACCGAATCGCTTCATCTCCTCCAGCTGCCGGTTGCTCAGCTTCCCGATCCCCAGCGCGTTTGATTATTACCTCCGTCTCGGCAATTCGATCTAGTAGATCATCTATCGCCGATTCGCTGTCGTCTCTGTCGTCGCCCGGCGACCGGTTGTTGCGGGAGCGGTTGGTTAGATCTCTCGGCGATAACGAGCCTTGATGTCCATAGCATATCGACAGAGTGAGATTCTGCCTCTTTTAAAGATCAGAAGGGAATCTCTGGAACAAAAGAGCGGCACAGGTATTCATGTGGAAGCCGATGATAATGGTGAATCCATGAATGGCCGCCATGAAGAAAATGTTGATGTTCTTTTTTTATTCCTTCTCATTTTTCCGTCACAGAGTCATGGAAGGCAAACTCATCTTTCGGATCTTTGAAGTGAAGAATAAATTAATCATATTATTTATTTTTATAATTTATTTATTTATTATTACATAAGTAATATGATAAATAGTAGAGTGGACAAATAATTTTTTTATTTTATTTTTTAATTTCCACGTCATCTAGTTAACGGTCAAACTTTATAGTTGACTGCCACATATGACAAATTTAACGGAGTGTAACGGCCAGTGACTAACGGTGAAACGATTCGTAAAGTTAGTGGCAAACAAGAAAGAAAAGTAATTTGAGTGGCAAACATGAAAGATTTGTATAATTCGAGTGACCAAACGTGTAATTTAGCCAAAAACCAACATATAATTACTATTTGAACGTTAATATCATATATGTTTTTAGAATTCAGAGCTAAAATAAACATGGTCATCCCCCATTTATTTCGGGGAATCCGGGCCGCCAGCATGGAATCAATCGCTTCCAGCAATATTCCAACGCAAGAAACAAACACACAGTAATTATATTAATTATTAAGATAAAATAAATATTCTCTCACGCGGCACATTTCCCTCACTCTCCCCACTTGTTTCCTTTTGTACTTTTCCCCATCGAGCCGCAAAGTCGTCGTGATCGACCGACGACCAACGTCATCATATACGTATCCACACCCAATAACAACACCCCACGTGGCACCAATCTATGTACAATCTTTTTTTTTTTTGCATTCTCCCCCGTTTCCTTTTCTTTTCCACAAACAACGAAAGCCACGAATCTCGATCCTAGCTGGACACGCTCCGGCCAGCTCTATATAAGCAAACCTCCCGTCTCCATTTCCATTTGGAAAAAAGAAAATTCTCTCCTCCACCCCGTTTCCTCCGAGGAACGGAATCCAACAATCCGTTTCTCCCTCTCTAAATCTCTTAATTTTCCGCTCCTTCTCTCTCACTCTAAATCTCCCTTCCCCACAAATTCGCCGGAGAGAAAAAGATGTGCCCGTCCGGCAGGACCCTCGTGGCGGGGATGGGGAGCGCGGCGCCGGAGCTGAAATCGGCGTTCGACGTTCTCGACGCCGACCGCGACGGAAAGATCAGCAGGGACGACCTCCGCCGGTTCTACGCCGGGTTTACTCACGGCGGCGAGGAGGAAGAAGAAGAAATGATAGGGACGATGATGTCCGTCGCCGATTCGAACAAGGACGGGTTCGTTGAGTACGAGGAATTCGAGCGTGTCCTGGGAGGGAATCAGAAGAGGGCGATCATTTCTTCCTCCTCGTCGTCGACGTCGTCGGCTGCGGCGGGGGGAGTGATGGTGGACGTGTTCAAGGCGATGGACAAAGACGGGGACGGGAAGTTGAGCCACGGCGATTTGAAGAGCTACATGCACTCCGCTGGGTTTGACGCCAGCGACGACGACATCAGGGCGATGATCAGGCTCGGCGCCGGCGGCGGGGGAGAGAACGACGCCGTTTCGTACGAGGATCTGCTTAGGATTCTGGCTGTTGAATGTTGATTTCTCCCTCATCTGGTAAAAAAATGAAAAACAAGCAAATTTTTTTTGTTTAGTTTTTGGATGCCAAATGTGGTTGTTAGATCGTTCGCTCTTGCGCGCTTGTTGTTGTAGTTTCTTTGAATCGAAGAATAACATTGAGAAATGGAAAAATCTTCTCTATTCTGGGTTCTGCAAAACCACACAACAAAAATGTGCAGTGGGAGGAGGAAAGGAAAGGTAGGTGGCTGTCAAGAGAGATGTTCATTGTAGTTTAGCGACAGACCAGAAAAACAAAAGGATCTATCGACATGTGAATAGCTAGGCCACATTTCGGCAAAACTTCTGCAATTTTACATGACGATAAAAGGTTCACGACAACAAAGTCTATGAAAAAGAGAGACGTTGCCCTCCACAAAATAACGAATAATAGTTCATTGAAGTTAGAAAGGAAGACTGTGGCATTTGGTCCTACTTTCCTACCAGCCACAATCAGATATCAACAAAAAGAGTACAAAGACAATTTGGCTAAGAAAGGTCACATCCGTGGTAAACAAATCTATGGTGGTACGCTCAGGTTGTGATTTAGCAAGATTTGTTGTAATGTCGTAGATGATTAGTCTTACTTGTTTAATCTCCGATATTACGAAGGTGAGACTGGACAATGCACAACATAATCTGATAATAGTATAAGGACGAAAGTTTAGTAGTAGAATAGAACCATACACAATTGGCATGAGTTGTGCTACAGAATTTAGCCGGCTGGTTTGCAGCTGTCTGATCTCTTTTAAGAGGGTGATAGAGCAATTGCACAAGGTTGGCTGTCCTTGCTGTACTGCATAATGTTGACATAAGAGTGATCATGCTGACAACGATGCAACCTAGACAAATAGTAACACCTCGAAAAACAATCATGATTACGAAGCGAATTCAATATTCTAATTAAACCAGAGACTAAAGTAGTATTGGTGTACAAAACTGCGAATCGGAGAAAGGACGACAACCCGAGAGTGGAAGATTAACTCATTGTGTAGTAAAAGTTGTTCTATAGAATAAGATGCTGAAATTTGATCACAAACTTGAGCAAACATGATGACGAGAGACGAGGTCATGGCAAAGACATGAACATAAGGGGGTTGAGTTTTTCGAAATGATCAATGGAGATTGACAAATTGTTGCATAGATAAGATAACAAATAGGGATAACCCAACCTTGCTTTCCTTTCGACTGCAACAGTTCAATGAGCAACTGAAATAAGCAGAGCCTAACCTGTAGCTGAGCTCAAAGTACCATCGCAAAATCGTTAGACACCAGCTCGATTTGCATATTACGAACAAGTGCGTCCAATCTTGTAGTCGGCACTGCAAATCAAAGCAAACCAACCTTTTCAACATGCAAAAGGAAGCTCTCAAAAGGGAAGATTTTGGGTCTTTACCCATGTCATCGACCTTCTTCACTAGTTAAGGAACTGATAAATCTCAAAAGACAATTTTGACAGCAAAGTGGTTGTCAAGATGAGTCCCAGCTGAAAATTTGCTTGTCCCGTCTCTGTCCCTGTCTGACCCGTCCCTGAAGGGTCAAGATGTATAATCGTCCCGTCCCGTCCCTGTCTCCTTCTTGACCCTGTCTGACCCTCAAGGGTTGGGACGGGACGAGCCGGGTCAGTGGGTCGACCCTAATCAACACACTACTTTTTTACAAATTACGTTTTGGTACCCAAAATTATTTTTTCTTACAAGTTAGTACCTTAATTTTATTTTTTTTTACAAATAGGTCCATAAATTTTGATGGTAAAATTACATTTTGGTACCCAAATTTTTTTATTTTTACAAATTAGTACCTAAACTTTTAAAACTTTACAAAAAGGTCCAACGAAGTATGAGATATTTGTTGTTGCTAAGGGTCACAGGGTCAAAACGTGACCCGTCCCTAAGTTGTCCCGACCCTTATAGGGTCAACAAATGACCCGTCCCTAATCTGTCCCTGTAGACAAACTGACGGGACGGGTCGGGACGGGTCAACTGACGGGACGGGTCGGGACGGATCAGTGGGTCTTCCGGGACAAGCTTTCACCCCTACCTAGAGTACCATAACAGCTGCAAAATTGGATATCATTTGCTTTTAGATACGCATCCAGTTCATACTGTGAGATTATAAATTACGCACTCCAATAGCAGAGAAATGAGACTGGGTGCTGCTGTAATTTGCTTGATCTAGATATTCAATCAGCAAAGATGAAAGAAATAGATTTTCCATCTGCTACCTAAATCCAAATCCAGTTCATAATTGAAAAGTACAATACGCTGTATTGGTAGAAAATTAGGGTTTCTCCATTGATTTTTCTGGTCACTGTTGCACATCTGACGAATTCAGTCGCCACTGAAATCGAATCGAATGCAACCAATGAATCAATGAGAAAACTGAATCCATAACTGGAAATCGCCATAATTTGAAGATTCATACCGGATTTGAGGTTTCCAAGCTTAGAGGCAAGTAAAGGAAGTAACGCCAAGTCAGCGGAACCAGCGGTGAAAACTCTGGAGCGTCCTTCTCGTTCCTCCATTCCTGCTTCAGAAGCTCCGCATCACCGGCGGAAATCGACGGCTATCGATCGTAAGCGTCTGTCCAGCTCGCGGTAGCCGGAGCATCATTCAGATCCGACGAGCGACAGTGAGGTACGTAGCTAGAATGGAGATAAATTGTATTTGTAAGAACCGAAGCGAATTTTGAACTGTTGAGAAAGAAAGAAAGAAAGAAAGAAAGAGGGGAACTGAAATTTTCTGTGACTTCGCTAGTTGGAAATGGCGCCAAAGCAATTTGGGAATCCTGCCATTCGTCCATTCACAAGTAAATTAGATCTATTGGGCCGATAGGAACGCAAGTTGGGGAACGTTTGAGTCTGTGCACTGATTTGGGCTCATTTACTTCGGAGTCATTTTTAAAAGATTTTAAAGGGGTGCTATCTAGGGATGGTTGTATATGGTTTGGTAAAATCAAACCAAATCTAATCGAAACGAATATTAACTAAACCAACACCTAATTAATATTATTTGGTTCGGAAATAGGAAGGAAAAATGTATATTTCAGGAATCATAGTACTTTCGACCGAATCAAATTTTTGAACTGAACAACCGAATTGCAACCTTCAAATGGTGAATTTTTATGTTTGTACTTGTTTTGAGACTTAAATATTTGAATCATGTTAGTGTTTCATGACTTATGTGTTGAAATGTTTGATTTTATCATTGATGATGCATATAATTGTATATTTACTATTTACATTAGGGGTGGAAAATAATTTAAAAGGGAGAAGATACAAGTAGTCTAACAAATTCAGTTTTGTGTTAAATTCTGAACCGAACCGAATTATAATTTGGTTCGACCCGACATAACGGAATTAGTATTAAGTTCGAATTCGGCTTGAGGTTTGGTAAAACTTGGGGACCCAATATGCATAATAATTTTGGTTCAGTTTTGACTGAACTGACCGAATGCTCACCCCTAGTGCTATCACAGTTTTTTGATGAATTTTTCAAAAAGCATTTTTCTTGAATTTTGAAGGTTATAGGTACCGGATTCTGCATGAGACTATTCTCCACCGATGATGAAGTCTATTAATCGCTTATTTGAGTGATTTTTTCGGATGGTATTTTCACAATTTTTAGGCGATTTTTTTTAAAGATCATTTTACTTAGATTTTGAAGGCTACAAATCACGGATTCGCCCTGAGACTATTCTTCACCGTTGATTAAGTCGATTAAGCACTCATTTGTGCATTTTTTTTTCGGATCCATTTTTTACATATTCCAAAGGGGTATCATCAAAAAATTCAGATTTTTTTTTGAAACACCGATTTCTTTGGATTTTGAAGGCTACATAGATTATTAAGGGGGTTCCATCATAGATTTCTCTGATTCGGCCCGAGACTATTCTCCACAGATTATGAAGTCTATTAATCGTCGATTTGAACGCTTTTTTCGGTGGGTATTTTCATAATTTTTGGGGAAATTTTCCGAAAGACCATTTTCATTGGATTTTGAAGGCTACAGATCACGAATTTAGCCTGAGGGAATTATTCATAGATGATTAGGTCTATTAAGCACCTATTTTGACGGATTTTTTTGAGGTCCATTTTTGGCATTCTTCAAAGGGATACCATAACATATTTTAGGCTATTTTTTCGAAAGACAAATTTTATTGAATTTTGAAGGCTACAAGTGTCGAATTCAGTCTTAGACAATTCTCCACCGATGATGAAGTCTATCAATTGCCGATTTTTGCGGATTTTTTTCTAATGACACTTTCATGATTTGATAATTTTTTCGAAAAGTCATTTCTCTTGTGTTTTGAAGGTTGTAGATCACAAATTCGACCTGTAGCTACTATCCACCAATGATGAAGTCTATTATTTTCTATTTGGGTGGATTTTTTCGGATGATATTTTTGTAATTTTTATTTGATTTTTTCAAAAAATCATTTTTCTTGAATTTTAAGGACTATAGACCATTAATTCATACATAGACTATTTTTCATCTATGATTGAATATATTAAACAATAATTTGAGCAAATTTTTTTCAGTTCCATTTTTTACCGACTCCAAAAGGGTACTGGATTTGAACGCATTAAAACTATTGGGACGGGCTAAGAAAACAAGACTGTGAACCTAGCCCTCGATAAAGCCCAAATCCAAGCCTTTAACACGCTGCCATTCGTCCATTTACAAATAAATTAGATCCATCTACTTCTTTAATAAAATAACTTTGTGATATTGCCCCATATAGACAACTCTATTTGAGTGAACAGTAACATACAAATTATATATAAAATTGTCTATATATAACGAAAATGCAGAATAAGATTGGTAATACTTACGAGATTGACCAGAAAACTTTTTCTGTTAAACTAATTGACGATAGAAGAGACAGATCGCGAGTTTATGCGTGAATCTAACCACATGACGGATTAAGATAGAAATCCCTACCGTCAGCAAGGTGTGATCCACGCACAAACTAGAGATATGTCCCATCTTCTTATGAAGTATTGGCTTGGCTTAGCCAACTTCAACAAAATTGTGCAGAGGGAACGTTGGCCACTGAAAATTTGGGAATGGCAATTGGGAGTTAAAGATGAAGGATTTGTTTGTTGGAGAAATGGGGAGCCTGCCATTATATATGCTTAACAAACAGTTGTCCGACAAAAGCATTAGAGATTTCGTCAATTTGTGACTTGGACCACTCTTTTTAGGGGTGGCTATACGGTCCGGTGCGGTTAAATTTGACCAAATTGATCCGGCACTAATTCGGTCTTTTCGGGAATATAAGGACCAAATATTGGATTGGATACAGTCCGGTCTTGATCCGGTCCAGTCCCAATTCTATCTTGATTTTAGGTGTTGGGGTCTCTTATCCGGTTTTTTACCTCAAATCTAAGCCCGAATATGAGATTGCATTATTTGCTATCCGGTCCCAGTCCGGTCTCGGTCCGATTTCAAGTAAAACCAAATAGTCCGGGACCAAATAGCCAGCCCTAACTCTTTCTTCTTCGGTAGTACCGTGTCCATATGTACCGATGTACGTGAGTGCATAACTGGTTGCCGAATGACCCATGTGAAATTAAACTATATGCTTTTGTGTCGGCGGCTTGTTCTTCCACAGTCCAGCTTTTGGCAACTCAGTGCAACGTTGTTGATTCGTCTGTTAAAATGTGGAAGCATTCTTGAACCCCTTAGTCCAAAGATAATGCTAGTTTTGGCTGCCGACTTCGGACTCTTCATAGATATCAACGGTGGGGTTTCTTCACTTCCCTTCTTCCGTTTCCTTCTTCGCATAATCACATCTATGTTGTCCTCTCTCCCTCGTCCCTACCCAACCCACCTACCCACTAGAGCTATCTAACGGTACGGTCTTGGTACGGATCGAATCATGATAATTACGATTCAATAGTAAAAAAGATCATAGAACCAAGAACTGGACCATCATTGCATTCGGCCTGATTTAATTTTCCGTATGATCTCGCCCAAATGTCGATTTAGTCCGGTGCAATCCGATATGGATTAAACTGTTGCACACGTGCTCCTGCCGTCTTGCCAACCTAAGGTGTGATCGCTTTGCATGTAGAAATAGGAGTGTGCAACGGTTAGGTCAACACCAGAATGTACCGGCCCAAAAGATTGTCCGGACCATATCATGTCAGACGTCTTCAACGGTTCTTGGTTACATGAATTTTATAAATACTGAAATAAGATGAACAAAACTAAACCGGAGTTATCTGATTCTTGGTCATATAAATTATTTTCTGCTGGACCGGAGTTCTCATGTTTGTCTGGTCTGACCAGACTGAACCGGTGCAAAGAGAGATGGATAGGGTGTTATGGGCTTGGCTGTTTGTTGGGCTGAGACCCATATAGTTTTTACTTTTTAGTGAGCTCAAGCAATTTGGGCTGAAATGAGTTACTGGACCCCCGCTTCGTGTATAAACAGGCCTACAAGGCCCATCTGGGTATTTGCCTTTACCGTTTTCCCATTTCTGAACCGCAGGAGAGCGAAGACGAGAAGAGCCCTGGTGAGCGGAGCACCATAGGTCCATAACAGCTCCCAATTCCATCTGATCTGACCCTCAAAAGTCCAATCCTCCATTTCCACCCCCCACAGAAAATTGAAATCCTCCCGCCAAAAAGCCAGAATGACGAAGTCTAGAGACCTCCAGACTCCGCTCAAGGAACTCTCGCGAGCTTCTGAAACCGCGAATCGGCGATCGAAGGAATCTCAATCCAAGAAGCCTCGAAATGTTGAGATCCTACCTCCAGAAATAGTCATTTCCGTCGCGGTTGTTCAGCCGCGCAATCGGATTTTTCACTCCTCTTTCTTCCTCGTTTCGCAGGTTGCTAAACGGAGCTTGACCGGTGAGTTCACCACCATCTCTGAAGACGCGTCGATCGAAACCGCTGGCGATGGCAGCGGTACGTCGGAGGTACTAGACGCGGAGCACAACGACGAGCTGGTTAAGGTACGATTGCTTACGTCCGTCAGAATTGCCGCTCAAACTTCCTTTTGTGATTGTGCTCTTTCGCACTTTTGGCATGAAAAGCATCGATAGTATCGAAATTGTTCTATGCGGTTGAGATTAAGGACCTTCAGTGCTGGTTGACGGGCGGTTTGAGCTCTGGATCTTTGCATCTCCAACCCTTGTTTGCTGATCCTAATTTTTTGTTGTGTGATATGAACGTTTGTTTGTTTACCCGGATGATTTGAGATAATGGATCTGCACTGCTGCTTGACTAGCGGTTTGAGCTCTTGATCATTGTATCTCCAGCTCTGTTTCTTGCTCCTTGTTACGGTATCATGATAGCATTTCTTCATCTGTGTGCTGTGTTTGATCGTTCAGGAAGCTCAACTTCAAAATTGTTACAAGCAATTTCTTCATCTGTGTACTGTGTGTATGATCGTTCCAGAAGCTCAATTTCAAAATTGTTACAAGCAATTTGTTGCGCTCTAGAATTGGCTTGTGCTTGTAGATCAGAATCGTTAGATGAGTTTTTAGAATCTCCTCTTTTATACCTTGCTTAGGTGATTTTGCTGGTTAATTTTAATTGACTAAATCGTTTGGTTGTTTACAGAACTCTTTGATGTTGAGTCCAGTTCTGTCCGCCACATCAAAGATATCTCCTCCATCCTCTGATGCCTCTCTAACTTCGAAGGTGAACAAAGTTTCTCCTAATGGAGCTGACAAACTAGTCGATTTAGCTAATCGGCCTGCAGAAGCAGCAATCATTATCGGGCTTCTAAGAATGGTCCAACTGGATGCTCCCGAATCCAGTGATGCTAATAAGCGATACACGAAGATTCTGAAAGAGTTGGCTAAGGTCGTTGCAGATGAGTATTATGATCTTCCTGAAGAGAGAGTCTGGCTGATGAAGTTTCTTTCAGGGAGACGGGGAGTCTTGTTTCTGTGTTTGTTGAATTGGATCTCCGTATTTTGCATGCTGGTTTTCTTCAATGCTGGATGTGGTGCTGGCTCTGACTCTGGAATTGCCCCAACTTGAGGCAAAATCTGTGTTTTAAGGTACAAATTCGAACACTGGCTTTACTTTGCTTCTCAATGAGATTTAGTTACATAGTTTAGCCTTGCTATTTGCATTTGGTGAATCTGTTGAACTAATTACTTTCTACGATAGGATTCCTGATTACATAATTGCCTTAGACGAGAGACAAGGTTAGTAGCTTATTACGAACCCGATTCGTACTGAATTGAGGACTTCTTTTTGGGAGTAAGGCCAGGATGGTTGTGGCCTGTATTGTTGATCAGTGTTTAGCCATTCCTGCAGCATGTAGCTCATTGAACTTTAAGTGAACGAATTAAGTGTATTTGGAATTTAGAACATCCCTTTTGTTTTGTTATCTGTACAGGAACTCAGGCTTGAATGTTATCAGCTGGTTAATACTTCGGGTTTTCGTATTTAAGAGTAATTGCATGTAATTAGCCCTCCAGTTTCGTATAATTTTAAGTGGATAGCTGATCACCATAAAACATAAGGTTGAAGAAGATTGTTGAAACTCTGACCTGGCACTATTTTCCGATTAGGAAACTAAATTGTTAATCAATTCAGGATAATGGTTGGTTGGTCGAATTAACAAGATCGAGTTTCTTTCAAATTGTTATGATAGGTCTTCTTAAATTTGGACAGCTGCAGTATCAAGTATCTTTCCTCTAGAATTGCTGTCTTGCTATTATTGCTAAATGACAAGGTTATGGGGGGGTCATCATTGGCTCATTTGATGAAAGTGGTTTAAGTGTAAGAGGGCTGGCTGATTAAGAAATCTGGGATAGTTAGCTAGTTAGACAGCTCTCGATATTAAGGGTTCAAACTTATAACCTGAAATAGACTTCTTGGGGTTATTCGAATTCCTATAGCACAATCCTTTTGCGCCTTGGGTAGTGAGTTTTTATTCTGTGTCCTTATCATTCTTGAATGCAAGACATGTAGAAACTAGAATGACCGCCTAAGTCAGTGTTGCCCCCACCGGATTCTTGTATGTGTATACGACTGTCTGTATTCATGTTGGACCGCTTTGAAAAATGTTTCCTTGTTCTTCCCTTTTGTGATAAAAAAAAGCTTCATAAGAGCTCTGAGTTCTTTTCTGATTATGAAACTTTCTAGTCCAGTTTCACATAACGCCAAAGATTCGTTGTAGTCCACCCAAAAATTGGTCCAAGTCTGTTCAATTAAAGAATAAACACCACCTTTTGGCGTTTTGGTTTTTTCCGTTCAGTGATATAGGTAGCATTCTCCAAACGAAAAGCTTAGTTGTAAAGCTCGGTGGTCTCTAGGTGAAGGCATATCTACTCTCTTCCACTACTTAGACTCACAGGGTAATTTGGTACGACGTTCCAGTGGAGTAAGTTGTTTTTGTCTTGCATTAGAATTGCAATTTGCTACAGAGACTCATTTCAGAACCGTAAAACCTTCAATGTCATTTGTAGATTTCGGTAGGAGATTCGATGATCCATCAGATTAGAAAGGTTAGTCTGGAGGCCAAGATTGAGTCGTAGATTTTACAGAAACGCATAATATTCATGGTCACCATTTATTTCCAGCTACTAAGATGCCTTAACTATGCTATCATTAACTTTAGTTTCATGATGTTTAGGGCTGAAAGAATGCTTACCATCATGACCTGACTGTAATCTGCTACTGCGTCTCTCCAGCATGCTTGATGTCAAGCTGTGTTCCTTTTGCTTCCTTGTAGTTGTAGCGCTATATTGTTGACTAGAATGATTTTGTCAAACCCAAACTCACAGCTTGATCCCTTTTTTTTTGTTGCTTAATTTCAAAAGTCATTGGCTTCTACTGCTTACTAGATATGGTCGTATGTGATAATGACCCAAAGTCTCACTTAAACGTGACAGGTTTTTTCAGTTGAAGAAGCAGTCAGAGAGATGATGAAGAAGAATTTGTAGCAGCTGAATGTGTTCCAGACTTCCAGTTCTCCACTCCATCCGTTATTCAAGTCTTCAGAAACAGGTTGGTTGGAACTTTGAACACGATTATCCTCCATTTGACTTTCACAGTAAATTTACATTGCATCTTGTCATCAAACTCGGAAACACATCGAGCTATGCCTAAAATTTGACCAACAAAAACCAAAGATTGCTTTCGATGCCATAGCAATCTAAGATTCTTGTTTCCGCGAACCATTTCGACAACGAATTGAGTTTCCATTTGGTATGATTGAAACACACTTTTTAAAAAATTTAGGGGCTGGAAGAGGAAGAAACCCTTCAAATTTGAGGCATGCCTTTTTCACCAACAGCCAACCTAAACCTGCCAGTACAGAGATTCTCCATTGATAATATTTAGTATTTGAATCCTCTCAATCATTCATTCTTTCACCATCTCCTCCCATATGCAAATAATTGCATCATTTTCTCGGAGTTTGTTTAATCGAATCCCTCTTTCTCAGTTCCTCCTCTCCCACATTGTAGTGCTCGTTGTTTTCATTGTGTCTCTTCCATGGGAGGCAATCCCTCTGGCATCGCCATGATGCCGTGCAGTGCATTAGATTTTCCCATAGGAAGACAGATTTTTTTTTTTTGTTTGATGAAGCCATAGGATTAGGAAGACAGATTATTAAAATGGTGCACACATGGTCGCCATGATTTTTAGGTGGGAGAATTAGGATTAGGTTCATCATTACTCACCCTTGTGTGTTGTTTTTAGATAATCTTAAACAAAGTTGGTTTTAGGCTGTTAGGGATTAGGATAAAGTAAATGATGCTTTAGCATCAATTAACTCACTAAATCAGAAAAGGAATATTTGAGCTGGGCATTTACAGCTTGAAAATTACAGTGTAAAGTGAGTCCCCTTGTCTGTTGTTGAAACATGAAAGTGGGAATCGGCTTGGAATTCATATTCTAACTTGTTCACAATCATGAATCAGTCAAAGATGGTCTCTAACAAGCCATTTTTTTGGAGGAGAAATCTACATGATTTTACTATTTTTTCCCTTCAGTTTACTATTGGTTTAGCCTGGCTAGACTGATGTGGTGTAGTGGCTTTCCTGTTTTCAAATTAATCACAAAATATCTCCCCCTAGGATGTCAGTTCGGGTCGGGTTCGGTTACCTAAACCGAAACATGAAAAAACCCGAAAATCCAAAACCGAAAATCACTAAAACCGAACCCTAACTCGATAAAGACTTGCGGGTTCCGGTTACCCGAAACCCAAAAAATTCTTATCGGGTTCGGGTTCGGTTAAAGCAAAACCGAAACCCGAAAGTCCGAACGCCTAAAAATACGGACTGAGTTCTATTCATTGGAGGTTTTTAGCCGGAACCCGAAACCGATAAGCAAAACCGAACCCGAAACTGAAAAACCCGAAACCCGAAACGAACCCGAACCCGAAAAATCATAAATGTATATAATCGGGTCGGTTTCGGGTAAACCCGAAAACCGAACCCGAATTGACACCCCCCATAATCCAATAGCCCTGTAGACGCCTTCTTTGCATTCGATGATTCCACGACGAACTAGACTGACTTGGTTAATCAATTTTGAGTACATGAAGCTTATTTAGCAGACATTTCCACCCTTCTTATTAGCATAATTACATACAATGCAATAATTAAACTAAAACACCCCTTTATTAATCACACTAACAGCACGATTATACTGTGAAGTCCAGTCATGATTCATATTAAGGGAGGTTTTGCAAAGCCTGAAAGCACACATGTTGATATATAAACCACATTTTGATTTCGACCCATATGATTTTCGTATCTTGAATTAATAATAATAGTTTTTATAAGAGAAAAAAAGAACAGAAAACATTAGAAAATCTGTTGCAGGCAGGGCTCAAGTGTGGAGCATAACTGTCCACGACCACAAACTGTCATATTTGCAAAACCAACTTCAGCTCTTCTCCAACACACACATAAAAGAAAAAGAAAAGGAAAAAAAAAAAAGCCTATAAGATAGGATAGTGCCAGAAGAACAACCCACATTTGCACATGCAGTTCTAAAGATCATCCCTCCCCCACGATTAATCATTGAGCGGGCTCGGCCAAAAAACATGCTAATACCAAACCAAATGTTCATCCGGACCCGCCTCTCTCTCTCTCTCTCTCTTTCAGTGGAAGCCAACTCCACCAATATTCCCTCCAACCCCTGCCTGACACGTAAGCAGCCCGTACTTTTCCTTTTTCCTCTTTATTTTCAAGCTAAGTGAACTGTTCATTGCTGCGTTTGGAGTTCTGGTTCTCTGGTTCGAATTCATTGAACAGAATCCTGAAATCCCAATGAGAAAAAAGGAAAACAGAGTGGAATGAATGAATCTGATGTTTGGAGGGTTGAATTTGTCCAGCAGAGTCAACCTCTCTCTTCATGGCGTTTGCATTCCGTTATTTCTTTTTCTCATTCCCTCCTCCCCCTTTTTGGCTAACCGAATTCGTGTTTCGTCACAGCTCATCCTACATGCCCCTTTTCCCTTCTTTATTTTTCATTTTCCCAGTATTATCTTTAATATTACGTATCAGATACTACTTGCCATGCTAACTGTAAATCAAGCTAGTGGTTCCCTCAGTCGAAAGGTTAAACGAACAGTTAGGTATGTGCAGCAGCTGAGCACATTTTCGAAATGTTGGAAATGGTAGAGCAACTTGTGGTGATGCCTGGTGGTAATGATTCAGGGCACATCGCATCAGACTAGACCAGTTCGGATTAACCGAATTAAACTATGTGTTTGATTTCGGTTTTGAACATGAATTGTATAGATGCGTAGATGAATTTTGGTCTAAACAATTCTATAATAAATTCGAGTTGAGACCAAACTAGATCATGTCACCAATTATAGCAGCAGACATGATTAGGGCGGGATACAAACACTCCCTCCGTAGTTACGTAAATTGCACTCTATGAGTTACTACTAGCCTTATATTTTGTAATTAACCTCAAACGCAAGATTTCTGAGATAAGCTTTACACCGTCACGGTTTGTGGAAAAATGAATAGGGAAGGGAGGTTTGGATGAATTTTGGCGTAACTTGTATGCGTAACTGCAGGCAACATAAAGGACTCGTGGTGGGCCGGCTTTCCAATCAATCTCCTCTGCTGTATCTTTCGTGTTGTATAAAATGGATCCCACGAAAAATTATTACCACACGAGTCTGCTTAGTACAATTGCTTTCGTCTCTTTGAAGTGGGCACAAGCTTTTGCCGATTTCCTCCTGTTTGTTTGGCGGTTTAGCTTAGACTGGTAAAGATTAGAGGATCGGTTTTGTTGTTAAGATTTGACTTCCAGTGAACAGTGTGGTAAAGTGGGTCTCTAATTGGTGGGCTTCAATGGCGATGCCATTCTGAGGTTCATTTCTCCCTTTTTGGCTTCTGTCCAGGACGAATTTTTTTTTCCATTATTGAATCTGGTAATGAAAATTAATGCAGATTTGTGGTGGAAACTTAGAACTACAATCACTCTTGGAATTGTGTCGTTTTCGTTATCCCTCCTACCCTTTTTAACTGTTGGTAATCATCCGAACACTAAAAAGTTGTTTGGGTTCAACAATTACACAAAAGAAGAGAGAATGGCTCTTAACTCCAGAAAGGAGAGGAGCAACATGCCCAACATATAACTCCAATGTGTGCTTTTACAAGTGCCTCGGTAGGTTAGAGCTACATAAATGATAGCTCCCTCCCGACCCAGGATGTTTGCAACAATTTGGTCTAAAAGTTAGATTGGGTCGGGTTTCATTTTGATTCTGTTAACGAGCTGAACGTAAACAATAACATGAAACGATAACACTCGATATACGTGGTATCCCCGATATTCGGGACTAATCCACGGGAGAGAGACCTCTCCAATCAAAATCGAGTGTTATCGTTTCCTGTTATTGTTTACGTTCAGCTCGTTAACATATTCGAGTTTGAGTATCACGTTCAGAAATTTTCAGTTATTATTTGGACTGATCCATTATACCCATGAAGAGATGTGAATTGAAGCAATAGTCGGATGGACGGAATTGATATGATCTTTCTGTTGTTTTTGTTACAGCCTTCAGGCGTGTTCTTGATTGATTTTGTCTTACTTTTCTAAGTTCTAATCATATGTGACCGTTGTCAATTGTAACCCTCAATACCAAGACATATTCAAGTGTTTGGTAGTTGGGACGATCGTAAACTTAACATTCAGCATATAATTGGCCTCCTTAAAAAAACCCTTCGTATATTGGTTGGATTAATTGCTAGTTACTTGAAGTACAAGAATAATAAAATACAGACGTTTTATAATCTTTCCTTAATATAAGGTCAAAACTACATTATGAAACTCATTCTACCAAATCAAATCATCCAACATTTGCCTAACAATAATATGAGCATGAAAACATTGGTTGCCTTAAGAAATTGAGAACAATGATGGTTTGGATTGGGTTTGACCACTCGTTGGCTCGGAAAGAAGAACCGGGGTGGCTCGCATCACTGAGCCACTTACTTAGCCTACAAAAAGACGAAAGCCCAAAATATAATAATGGGCACTAAAACAGGATTGCAGGAATGACGAGTGCTCCCTTTTTAATTCCTTTATAACCCCCTCTCTCCCCCACTCTTTCTCTCTCCCCCATCCCTCCTTCCCCTCCACCTCCTCCCTTTCTCCTCCCACTCACCTCCCTTTTACCAACTCCGTCCCGTTCTCTCCCTCTCTCTCTGAACAAAAAAACATTTCACAGCTCCGTTCTCCCATGGTTCATCCGTAACGAATCAACAATTCCTCTCTCGCAAAGGTAATATTCTCATCCTCCTCCTCTCTCTCTCTCTCTCTCTCTCCATCGCTTTATTCCTGAATCGCTCGATCTTTGAATCCTTTGATCACTCTGTTTGGATGCTCTGCTGCAAGATTTCGTACTCATAGCTCCCTTCTCGCTTCCCGTTTGGTTGCCGAGAGAATTTCGCTTTTGATTTCCTGTCTCTGGAATGAATCGCGCTGGCTTTGTCTTGTTATCTTTCTTTCAACTGAATCTGAACTGAGAATTCCTGCGTCATATCTGAATCTGTACTTTTTTTTCTCTTTTGGTGTTTGTTCTTGTTGGATTCGTCAGCTGTACGAAGCGAGGATTGGAAGGAGGTAGGGGGAAGAATCCGATTGCGATCGAATTTTTTTGATTTGAGATATTCAGCGATGGCGTCAACGATGATCTCGTCGAATCCAGTAACGAACTCGAGCGCGAACTCGGATCGGTCCAAGAGAAAAAAGAAGAGGAAAGCTGCTTCGGCGGAACAATACAGACAGGAGGAAGCTCTGAAATGGAGAACCGAGTCTCAGCAGCAAATCTACTCCTCCAAGCTCATCCAGGCGCTGAGCCAGGTCCAGCTCAATCCGAGCTCGCCTTCGGCTCCGCGCCGAGGCCGAGCCGTCCGCGAGGCCGCCGACCGCGCCCTCGCGGTGTCCGCCAGGGGGAGGTCGAGGTGGAGCCGAGCCATCCTGACTAGCCGGATCAAGCTCAAGTTCCGCAAGCAGCAGAATAAGCACCAGCAGCGGCAGAGAATCGTGTCCGCCGTTGCCGCCGCCGGCGGCAGCGGCCGCGCGAGGAAGCCGAGAGTCAGCGTGCTGAGGTTGAGAGGTAAGAGCCTGCCTGCGGTCCAGAGGAAAGTCCGGCTCCTCGGCCGGCTGGTTCCCGGCTGCAAGAAGGAACCGCTGCCGGTGATTCTGGAGGAAGCTACCGATTACATCGCTGCCTTGGAGATGCAGGTTCGTGCCATGAGTGCCCTCGCCGAGCTCCTGTCCGGCTCCAACCAAGCCGCCGGCAGCGCCGGTTCCTCCAGCTGATCTCTCTCTGTATGTTCAAAATGAAAAAAAAAAAAAAAAAAAAGAGAATGTCATTTTCTTCTTCTTCTTCCTTCTTAATCTCTTAATTAAATTCCCCAATATTATCTCCTCAATCATCATCATCATCAACATCAACATCATCCTGTTAAATACGCCTTCCCGTTTTCTTTTTTTAACTTTCACCTCCTCTTCCTTCTTTTTTTTACCCGTTTGGCTTTGAGTCTTGTCTTGTTAGAACAATAACTTGACCTGTTTACAATTCCTGACACACTTAACAGGAGCAGTAAAAATTTCATTGGAGCATTCCCCCCCTCCAGTGATCTTTTTTACTGTTCCTTTGTGGGGTTTCTTGATTTTGGGGAACAAACCTGATGGAATAGAGTGTATATTGTGAGTTGCTGTGTATCGTTGTGTATAGGACAAATTGGTATTTTGTAATGTGATTCTGTGTGTGTGATACTGTTTGTCTGTTTACAGTCTCTCCCAGTAACTCTGTAGTATAGACTATAGACTATAGAGATACACCATTGGCGTTAGTGCCAGTTAGGAGGTTGTCACCTTCCGGAATTTGGTAAAAAGAAGTTTTAAAAATGGTTCTTTTTGGTGTCACGAGGTGTCATAATTTGGAGGGGGAAAAAGCGAGCTCTTGAGGGACACTAGTATTATCGCTCTTTTAACTGAAATTTCAGCTTAGAAAGTCGTTCTTGTACCGTAACTAACATCTGGAGTTAATGATTTGCTCGTCATTTAATTATATTTGTTAGACCTTCAATTTCAGTCACTCATCATGGGAACGAAGTAACCGAAATACTTCCCGATTGTTTACGATTTCGTTGCTGTTGACGATGGATACCTTCGTGCGTCGTCGAACTAATATCTCGGCTTTGGTATGGTTGAAAGAGTACTTGTTAAGAGGGAGCTCCATCTTGCAGCTGTCTGAAGTCGAAACCAAAACGACCTGCCTCAAAGTCCCAATAACGTCTTGAAAAGGGTACTACCACCACCCAAAACAAACCCACCCAAGTACCCACCCTATCTTGTCTAAACAGCCCACATGTGTTTTGTAGCTTTCTTTGGTTGGCGTTTACTTGAATGATGGTGTTCAATCACCACCCATCACCATTCTCCTCTTCATCATTCTGATCCGACTGTTAGACATGGTAATTAACTATCGAGGGTAAACAACGATTCGGTCCGATATCCTTAAGCAAAACTTACATTAACATCGCTCTGGATCGTTCGAAATAGGTTATCTAAAAACTGTACATGTTAAAATGAGGAGTTGAGGACACACCTACAACACTCATTCCCGGACTGGGAACCAAAACGAACGGGATTTTCCCCCCGTTTTTACGTGACTTCCAATTTATGACAATGACACAAGCGATTCGGTTGGATATCTATCTTGCTTCGGGCCGAACACCGACTCGACTCGAGTTTGGGTCGGACCGCGGAGCAAGCCAACCCTCCACCGACTAGCTTTTACTCTTTTGATAAAGCAGGCAAAAGCAAATGAAAGGAAAGTTTGCAGATAGGGTAAAGAATGGGGATGGACACCTGCCCCTTGCCTTGCCCTCTTGTTTTTGTCCCAAAAGGCATAATAGAGAGATGGAGAAGAGGCCGACCCTATCATTTTCAAAGGGCACATCCGCCCCTAAATTGTTGAAGGGCACCACACACACACACGGCTGCCTCTCCTCTCCTGTTCGTTCCATTCATCACTGTCACATTATTACCAAATAGACGATCAGATCCATTTGTTTCCAAGGACAAAATGAGCTCTCTCATGATTGAAAAAATATAAAATCGGATTCCAAAGTGCCCTAAAAACACAGATTTTAAGGACCACCTGCCCTCCAGGCTTCCCCCGGCTGCGATTTAGGTGGCTCGCACAAGGACGGAGGGACATGGCCGCCCATTAATTTGTTGTTTGGAAAATTTCTCCTCAACCCTCGAGCGGCAGCAGATATTGTTCATTTTGCTGAGTGGGGAAGTTTTTTTTTTTTTTTTTTTGGCTTTTTGAGAGGGAAAAATGGAAATGAAATCTTTCACTTCACATGGTGTGCATTCAATTCTCTTTCGGTTGGGGGGGAGAAGAGTAGAGGCCACAGGAGGCATTAGCTTCCAAAAAACCCAGCCTTGAAAACCCACACATGCACCCATGTGCCCCTTTTTATTGATGTTAATGTGCCACCTCAGAGATCTTTCAGAGGTAAAGTCAGGCATAGTAGTAGGAAACAGAGAAAAAACTAATAATAAGAAAGGGTCAATTAGTTATCGAATTTTGAAATTTAACCGATTTGACATTTAATGTTTGAGCAACTAATAAATGTGGATGTTTAACGAATATGTCTGTGAAAGTTGGAGTAACCGACGGATCTCGACACTTGACGACTTTGTCATTAAATGTTGGAACAAAACGGTTATGTTATTGTTCATCTTTAAACGTCTGTGCAGATTTTCATTGTGTGTCAACTACGGGCAGGGTACCAGGGTGTGAATTCGGGACTTGGCTCGGACACTTCGATTAGAAAAAGCGGGTTTGAGATTATTAATGACGGGTAGGCACCTGACAGTATTCTTTGCAGGTGTATTATCTCACGCTTTTTTACTCGCAGAAGAAGAACGAAACAATCTACAAAAACTCAAGGGCCCTTAGATTACAAGGCGCCCACCATTCTGTTTAGTAAATCTAAAAGGGAGGTATATTCCGAAAATCCGAATGTATTCCGCGAGAGAAACACTCTTGTAATGTCATAAAGTCCTTTTAATGTCATAAAGTCAACTCGTATTTCAACGGATAAAATCGATGTGATTATAAATGTTGTGATTCCATTTGCTAGTCATCCTAAACTATAGTGGACATTTATGTGATGAACTCAAAACTCAAAAAGAGATAAATAGTGAAAAAGAACCACTTGTCACTGGCTCAGAGCTCCCCTTTCTTCCTTTCTTTTACCACCTTTTGGTAAGGAAGGAAAGACGGCTTTCTAGCCTGTAGGGTTGAATGGTAAACCAATTAAAACCACTCTCTCTCTCTCTCTCCAGCTAGTTTCCTGTTATCACATCTGCAGGGAGAGTAGAATAGTAAAAACTGAGAGTGAGAGACAGCAAAGCAGTAAATGTACAAAGAGTACAAAATCAAAAGGGAAGGTGGGAAAAAAGATGTAGAGAGTGATAGATCATAATAAAGACTCCATATTTTTATACCCTTCTTATCTTCAGAAGCTAGCTAGCAGCTAACCATATATGCTATGGTTTTGTATGCCTGTCATGCAGATGGGTAATTGACCATGCACAGCATAGTGAGGGAGAGAGATAGATGAGTGGGGCTGACTGTGTATCTTTGATTTGAGGGACTGTTTGGTTTTGTGGAATTTTGGGTGGAGACTATGACTACTTATTCATCATTCCAAAACTTCTGAACAAACATGCACCATCACCAACCAACTAACGATGATTGTTATTTCCATTTTCCCTAGAAAAATTCATTTGACTTCACGGCGAGGGGAAGCTGAGGGAACGAAATCACTGATTTCGTGCTAATATTGTTCGAAGTGCTGATAAATATCATATTTGAATGAGTGACCTGTAAATCACGATTTCAGAGTATGTTATGCACAACTTTCCTTCTTTCATCCCTTTCCTTGTAGAGTCAGCCATCCAAAAATCATTAGTCTCGTAATTGGGTGGAGATTACCAGCTGGAATGATGCGCTTAATCTCTTTGGTTTGAAGAGTGTTTTGGTTTAGTTAGTTTAGGAGGCAAGTTTCCATCATATTCATAGGAAGGCAACAACCACCCAACTCTATCTTCCACAACATACACTTTATTCTCTACATTATCTTGTATTCATTAATTGAAGTCTTTTGGCGATTGATGCTTTTGTTTTGGTTGCAAGTAACGCACCACGACTTTTATATGAAAGCGAATCATATGATGATAATTGATGTCTAATTATTAGGTGTACAAACTCTATAGGTGTGGTAAAATTTCGTTCCATTTTTTTGTTAGAACGATAATCTTTCAATGTAGACAAAGAATGTAAATAGATGGATACAACCCTTTATTTAGAGTTCGTTAATTTTCAATAATGAGTATCTCATAAGACATAGATTAAAAATGAAATGTTGAAAGATATTCTAAGAGTTTAGAGATGTCATCAGAAGTCTATCATGCATGGTCTGAAAATGCAAGCAAAGCTCTTGTTTTGAAGAGTTCCATAGCCCTTATAACCCCTCATGTTGAATGTGGTATCGAACTTCGAAACTATTACGAATGGATATTCATCATACTTACAGGGCATATCTCTCATCGTATGTTAAATGTATAGGACAAAGTTAATATTAAACTATGATTATTAGATGGCATGCATTACCAATCCCTCCCCACCAAAAAGGAAACAAAATTTACCAATTTGCAAAACCCACCAATAATACAAAATGGGTCGATCTTCAAACAAAAGGAAACCAACATCGTACAAGATCATCAACAATCTCTCTCCATAGTCTCTAGCTTAGCTACCACATCAGTCCATCAGTGATCATCAATCACCTAATCATGGGGTCCTTGCCAGTTAATTACCCAATTATTATATGCTTAATTGATATTTTAATTGTAATTAATAAATAATTAATCGAAACCCAAGTTGAAGACACTTTGGACTTTGGTAGAGAACAAGAAGAAGAAAAGAAAAAAGAAAAAAAAACTTATGTCCATCGCTTCCCTTTCCAGTTGGCCTACTTCAACTTTGAAGCATGTCGGTTCGGCGCCCCCTTCCACCCTAGCTACTATTCTTCCTAATTTGTGTGTCTTCTTTTATAATAAAATAAAGCTCACAAGGTATGGCCAAAAAATTATAAAATTGACAATAATCAAGAGCGATAATCGTATGCAATCGAATTCTCGATCAAAAAGCTTGTTTTTAGGAGAAAAATACATGAAATTGACATAAAGAACCAGAAAGAGAGAATGCAGTCCATCTATAATGATTATGACTCTAGAATGAAAGATTTCATCGATGTAACATCTCTGATGACCAGTTGAATTTCTATAAAATTTAACAATCAATACTTTATGAGTAAAACACAATCTCATAGCATCTAAAAGAGTAAGTAGGTTCAAAGTTCGAAATAACAATCAAATTTGTGTTGTTATTAATAATCCTAAAATTGGGTTAAACACTAAAATGCCGAGGGAACAACAATCACTATAAGCATCAAAATAACTCGTTTTTTATATTCATTAGGAATACGGGATGAGTTAAATTTAATCTAGTTAGGGCAGGCAAAATTAAGAGAATTTGTATTAATATCTTCTATGTTTAGTGGGCTCTAGACACTCATTATCACAAGACAAGAGGAATAAAATTTGGGAGATTTTGCTTGCTTTAAGACTAATGGACTATGTTGTGCTTCTCATCACACCAGTTTCTTACTAACCCAACAAACAAAACCAAGGAATTAAGCAATGCTTTCTTCAGTTTCACGACAACTATGTTGATTATGGTCATGTTAGTTAGGGATGGCAATGGGGCGGGTTTGGGGCGGGTCCGTCTAAATCATCCCCATCTTCAAATATCCAAACCCATACCCGCCCCCATACCCATGCAGGAAATGTTTGGCAAACCCATCCCCATATCCGTGGGTTTCGGGTACCCATTGGTAATACCCATACCCGTACATCCAACATTATTATCCTAAAATCTACATGAAAAGTTTTAACTACAACTCTAAACGTACCTATTATATCACGAATTCAACAAAACACGATCATTTTCTTAATATGGTTTAAAGAATATGATCTTAAAACATTTATAATACATAATACAGAGTATAATATTTTTCAAATTATTATGTTCTAACTCTGATACATCTACTAAGTAATAATTAACTAACATAATCTTGTTGACAAGGGGGAAAGTGAAAGAGTGAAATGAGAATTGAGGGAAATGAATTAGGTTTTGATTAAGGTGGTCACTCAATTGCATTTCTACTATTTATTTCCTCGAGGTATCCTCATCACCATTGATAGATTACAATTTTATCCACATATTTTTGTATATGTGAAGAAATTCTCTTGGTGGTGCGGATATGGGTATGGGGTGGGGGAGGATAAAACCATACCCGCCCCATACCCATCAAACTTTTTGCGGGTTTTACCCATACCCGCCCCATACCCGGTCAAAGCAGGGATTACCCGCGTTGACTGGGTCGGTGGCGGTCGGATACCCACAGTCATGGGTTTGATTGCCATCCCTAATGTTAGTTCAATGTTGGACGGCACAGAGCACCTTCTATCCAAACCCTAATACATGAGTAATCTTTATATGAGCTTTCTTCATTTTTAACGAGAGATTTTGAGTTGCAATATATACTCGGATCAGAGCGATTTCTGTTAGTAAATGGTATATGATCCACGATTGAACCTTTCCCAACAACTTAAGTTATTGGGATCAACTGGTCCATGACATGGTATCAGAGCCTTCTGTGACCGTGAGGTCTTCTGTTTGAATCCCGGTGACCCCATCTGTTTTCGTTTCTGTTAAGCACACGGTGTCCGGACTTGTGCCTATCCAAACTTCAAACCTATCTGAATGGCTTGAGTATGAAGGAGGGGGAGGGGGTAGTAAATGGTATATAATCCACGATTGAACCTCTCCCAACAACTTAAGTTATTGGGATCAACTGGTTCATGACAATTTCATGGTCATATAAGGTGAACAAATCTCCAACTTTTTCTTAAATCAATATGCCGATCTTGAATAGATTTTTTTTATTTAGTTTATGTCCGATGGAACTACCAAATCGAAACATTAGGAGAAATGTGTCACATGTGTAAATGATGCATGATGTGGCCAATGATTGAGCCAAGAAATTATCCTAATATACATGTTGTTGAAGGGCAGTCGCCCTAATTATAATTTATTAGGGATCTCGGACCTTTTCAAGGAGATTATGATTTCGCCTTGAATTCCACTCCAAAGTCCCATAAACCCTAAGCTGCTCTGTGGGAGGAGGATCATGTGGAGAATGACCATTAAGGGCATTTGCATAGTTATTAACTTATTATCAGAGAAAAAAGATAATGACTTAAAGAAATATATCAATGATAGGGTGGCATGTGACATGTCCCCTAATAGACCAACAAAGTTAGTTTTAATAGACATAATTAACTTCCCCTTTTATTTATCATCCCTTTTCCATCTCATTTTAGGACTAACTATTCATATAAGGGTTGATGATGACTCCTCTCATTAATAATTTGTGGTTTGATATCGACTTATTTAGTAAATAATTTAAATAGCAGTGGGTGGGTAGTTGATGTTGGTTTGATATACTCTTTCGTATATAATTTATATAGTAGATGAATTGTGGATCAACAAATCTTTTACTCGCACTTATTCCGGGTGTATAATGAGGGACTACGGATCACCCTAATAATAAGTCGTTTATTTTCACATGGAAATTTTTTGTATTATTTTTTCATCATCTTTTCTAATCGCACTACACACTAACCATCAAATTCTAAAAGAAAAACATATAATATTTTTGGATTACTGTTATTGACAACTATGTTGTGTAATGTCTATTAGATATTGAGATGAAAATTATAAACTATTAATTGTACCAAAATCTCATAAGCGACAATTTTTCTATGCAAAAGTGGATCTACATAGACAAAATGCGAGGTGTCTAAATTGATATAATATAAAATGTGAGCTTGAATTATTTCTTATTTTCAGTACAAGCTTGTGTCAAGTAAGCAATGCCTATATTATTTATGAAAAATATTTAAAAAGTAATATATTATGAAACAATTTAAATCACAAAACCAAACAAGACCGAAGCTCATAAGCATATTTTTATATCGAACCCGCCCATTTCCCCCTTATATTTCAGAGCCTTTTTTTTAAATGCCATGTGCACTGAAAGAAAACCAGGACACAATGAAAATGACGGCATGAATATTGAAATGAACACGACACATAATTTTAGCCTAAAGTGCGTCTACCATCACATGGAGGGGTCCTGCTTTTGCTGGCTGCTTTTGTCCATTTACTCTATTAAAATGGAAAAAAGGAAGACCCACCAAAAAAAAAAAAAAAAGAACAAAAGTATAGGAAAATAAAATAAAGGTGGAAATAGGCATATGCTAAATGTTATTGCAGGTAAAATACGAGTTGTATTAAAAATGATATGAATAAGTTACCAAATTAGGTGTAATTGATACTCACCAGCAAACACCCCTCCGACATCTTTCAGAGAGAAGGTAGCTAACTCAAGGCGACTGACAAGTCAGAGCACAGGGAGACAGCAGATCCGCGGCACCCGAGGAGAATCTTCTCAAGTCGCCCTCGCAGGCCTACCAGTGCAGGGACCTTTTCCATACCCACCGGGCTATGCAATCCTACCTAGCCCTGGGAGAGGATCTGACTGGGTGTATAGAGGAGAGGGAGTCAACCCGCCACCTACCCTGCAAACAGCTTTTCTGGAGATGGAAATGGAGGCGACGACCAGAGCGATGCAGAGGAGTCTCGACCTAGGGGGGAGGGAAAGAGAGTAGGACAAGATGGCAGGCCTTTTCGAAATGGGCCAGTCACTCACCCTGGCGAGCCCATCTTTCACACCAACTGACGCGTCACCCAGCCCGTCGGCTATGGATCAACTTAGTCAAGTGCTGACTAACCAGACCCAAAACCAGAGCCCAATGCCGATTTCTACTACGGCAGCTACTGAGGAAGTGGTGACCAGGCCCGAGAAGAAAAGAAAGCCCGAGGAACGAACCATCCAGTCCACCCCAATCGACCAACAGACACTACCCACTAACCTATCTTTCGATTCTCTGTCTTTTGTGCAGGTGAGAATAGAAGAGTCTATCAAAGGAGGAAACATAGCATCAGGAAGAAGAGTCCGACGGAAATCACGGCGGAAGGATGCCAGTCCGGAGAAGGGGAGTCAACCACTCCGAGGGCAGCGGCGGCAAGCCTCAAGCCGCCTCTCCAAGAATGAGACTCCTGAGCTGGAATTGTAGGGGGTTCGGCCAGCCTCTTACAATGAGCTACTGCGACTGACTCACTTCTACTGTCACTCTAGGAATTGGCTAAGTGAAACCACTTCCTAAAGTGTAGTATAGCGGGTTTGGGTTTTAATGTCAACCCGGGTCCTAGATTTGATGACTACTCGGTGAATTCTTGTTATCTAGCAATGAAACTTTAATCCAAGTCTAAACTAACAAACAAACAAAGCAAGTAAACGGTTGTTTTCCGTTTAAGAGAGGTCACCCGGATATGGTTCCCCCTAGACTGCAGTTAAGCCGGATTGCAATTACCAAGTTCAGTTTCTATGATAGTTATACTGCGGAAGGTTCTTAAACAGCCTGAAGTCTCGACTAAAGGTCTTGAGACCCTCTCAATCTGAGTCTCTAGCGGGCAACTAACCTCCACCGGAGTAAACAGATTGAGGCCCTAACGAACAAAACCTCCACTACCGAAGTAAATTCGGTACAGAATAGTGAGTTGGCTCCTCGACTAAAGTCACCAACTCCCTACCTTCAATCAAGGATGCTCTATCAACCTAGGCAGATATTCTCATTATAGGTTAAAGAAGAAACAACAGGAATTTGATCAGGATTCATGCCATTCAATCATTCAAACCTCAATTTAATATAATCAAATCATAGAATCAGTACTTTGGTTCATACAATCAAACCTAACATACAAATCTAGGGTTCTCCATACCCAGATGAATGGGAGAACTACTCCATGGAGAAAGAAGCAAAAGCAGAATCAGACGCTGAATTCATACTGTGAAGGATGGATTCCTGCTCCTGGACGTTGATCGGCACTTCTCCAAGCTCAAGCCAAGCTCCAATGGTGATGAAGATAAATCTAGGGCACTTGGGAACTCTTGTTCGTCACTTTCTCTCTCTAGGAATCGCTCTGTCTCTCTAAAACTCGAATCCCCCTCTCTTTTGGCTGAAATCTGCTTAAAAAGGCATCACTGGGCAAAACACGGTCGAGGGCACGGCCGTGGTTTGCTCCAGCCCGCCCGTGCTTTGCCAAGTGTTAATTACACGGCCAGACTGTTGGGAGAAACACAGGCGTGCTTTTGGTGGGCACGGCCGTGTTCTGTCTCTATCCTGCCCGTGTTTTCAGCCAGTGTTTGCCAAACTCAGATCAAGTCTCGGCAGTAAAAGCACGGTCTAGGAACACGACCGTGTTCTGATTTAGGTGTGCCCGTGTTTTGGCTCCAGCTCGACCGAATGACTTCCGAATGCCCCGAAACTCGTGCTTAGCCTTTCCTTTGACGCCTGGGACCTGAAATATGACAAAGTAGCACGACCCGACATAAAATAGGCCAAAAATACACGACTATGACCCTAAAACGGATAAGAACTAGGGGTGCAAATATGTGCAATTACATCGTTATCAGCGGCAGACTCTGCCGGCAATTCGGCCCGTCCGTTGTTTTTATGATGGAAACAAGGAAAGAAGACTCCTTTATGGAGGAGAAGAGAAGACAAATGAAGTTTGCTCATTTAGATTATGCTGGTCCGGGAAGAGAAGGAAGTGGTTTGGCCCTTTGGTGGAAGGAGGATGTTGATGTTGTTGTCTTGGAGTCGTGTAAGTCCTTTATGGACACTAGCATCAGTAGGAATGGGGTCAAGTTTTTTTGCACTTTCGTCCATGCCCCTACCACGGCGGTAGAGAGGAATGCTCTGTGGGATCGACTTACGAATCTTAGAGCAAATCAGGAAGAAAGTTGGCTTGTGGTTGGTGACCTGAATGTAGCTATGTCCCCTTTTGAAAAACAGGGACATTGTCCCTTAAGGAATGAAAACATCAATCCTTTCAAGTATTTCATTGCAAGGAATGCCCTGTTGGACCTTGGTTTATCGGGGCAGGTTTTCACTTGGAGAAATAAACAACAAGGAGAAAACCTGATTAGGGAAAGACTTGACCGAGCACTGTGTTCGGTTGCCTGGAGAACAGATTTTGAATCAGCTACGGTGTTTCATGAGGATTTTGTTGAATCGGATCACTGTCCGATTAGGATCGATCTCCACCCAAGTGGACATGCCCCCTGTGTTCCATTTAGATTTGATAAGAGATGGCGTGAAAGTGAAGAGTGCTACCAGATTATTCATAATCGATGGAACAGAGGGGGACTGGTTCAGGAAATTCTCAGTGATTGCCAAGAGGAACTGAGAAACTGGGCTAGGAATTATAGGAGGATGAAGCAAAAGAGAGAAAAGGAGATAAGACAGAGACTACAGGTGTTACAGGGGTCGAATCGTTCCACGGTTTTGATCAATGAAGAGAAGAAGCTCCAGCTTGAGCTGGAAACACTATGGGCCTCGGAAGAAAGTTTCTGGGCACAGAGGTCAAGGATTTCTTGGCTACAGGAGGGTGATCAAAATTCTGGTTTCTTCCATGCGAGTACAGTCATAAGGAGGAACCAGAATCGCATTCTGAAGCTCAAGGATGCGGATGGTTTTTGGATCACTAATGCAACCGATCTGGGTTTTCATGCCAATGACTTCTACTGCAAGCTTTTTAAGAGCAAGAATGGAGTCCTGGACCCCAGCATCCTGGAGGGCTTCCCTTCTCTTGTCACTGAGGAGGCTAATGCTAAACTGTGTGCACCAATTGATAGGGAGGAGATTCGCAGAGCAGTCTTTCAGTTGGGAGCAAACAAGGCCCCTGGGCCTGATGGCTTCCCAGGGCTGTTCTTCAGGAAGTATTGGAATATTTTGAGTGAAAATTTCTGCCAGGAAATATCCAATTTTTTCCAGACAGGAATCATGCCAGATAAATGGAATGATACGTTTATTACTATCATCCCCAAAGTGGACGCCCATGAAAATTTTGGTCAATTTCGACCCATCAGTTGCTGTAATTTCAGGTACAAGGTAATTACCAAGATCATGACCAACAGATTGCAACCTTGGGTGCCTGGCTTGGTCAATGAATTACAAGCAGCTTTCACGGGGGGAAGGCAGATTCAAGATAACATCATTATTGTTCATGAAGTTCTTAACCATTTCAAGAAACACAAAACGGGAAGCAAAAAGGAGATGATGCTGAAACTGGACATGAAGAAGGCCTATGATCTTGTTGAATGGGACCTCCTCCTAAATCTTCTTCGAGCTTATGGTTTTAATGATGTTTGGTGTGGATGGATTCAATTGTGTATCTCTACTGTCAGCTTCAGGCTTCTTTTCAACGGAGAGCCCTCTCCTAAGTTCAAGCCTACCCGAGGCATTCGACAAGGAGACCCCCTGTCTCCACTACTTTTTATTCTCCTGTCGAATGCCCTCTCCTTGTTGAGAAATCAGTCCTCAGAAAAGACATTAAAGGTATCAAATTGAATCGTCACTGCCCTATTCTTTCCCACTGCCTGTTTGTTGATGATACAGTCATCTTTGGTGAAGCTTCTCCGGAAGAGGCAGGAAAGATTCTGGGTATTATTAACAATTATGGGGCGGTTACGGGACAAGAAATAAATAAGGATAAGTCCTCCTTGTTCTTCAGTTACAATGTCACCAGTGACGAACAGACTACAATCATCCAAAGTTCTGGCTTCAATCCTACTAATGGACACTCCACATATCTCGGAGTTCCCACACAATGGGGGAGATCAAAGAAGGAGACTTTAAGCTTCCTTATTCAACGAATGGAGAACAAAGGGGAGGCATGGAAGAGCCTGCTCCTTTCGCCAGGCGGGAAGGAAATTCTTCTCAAAGTTGTGTTCCAAGCAGTCCCTTCTTATATCATGTGTCTTTTCCTTCTCCCCAGAACAACCTCAAAGAAGATGGATTCTATGCTTAAAAATTTCTTTTGGGGAGGCTCGATGACAAGGGAAACTATACATTGGAGGGCTGGACATGTCTTGTATGCTCCAAAAGAAGAAGGGGGTCTAGGATTCAGGCCTTTTCATATCTTCAACATGGCTCTGTTAGCAAAGCAGGCCTGGAGAATTCTGATAAGTAAGGATGCTTTATGGGTCAGGGTCCTTAAGAGTATCTACTTCCCAAATACGGACTTCCTGAATGCAAAAAAGGGAGGGAATGCTTCGTGGATTTGGTCTAGTTTATGTGAAGCAAGGAACTGGATGAGACAAGTAATCATCCGGGTTATTGGCAATGGCAGGACAACTAAGATTTTCCAGGATCCTTGGAGAAGAGACCGAGCGGGCTCTCTCTCCTTGATTTCGAGTGGCCAGACCAAGCAACTGCGGATAGCTGGATTGATTGCATCTCTAGAGAATGGAAATTCGATGTGCTGGCCAATTATCTAAACCCGCACGATTTGAAGCAGGTGGCATCCACTCCTATCGGACCTGAGTCACTGGAAGACTTCTGGGCATGGAGGTTCACGGAGCAAGGCAAGTTCACCGTCAAGTCAGCATTTATCCATTTTCACAACCGGTTCAGAACGCTACAAGGTTACCGGGATGGGGCTTCGGAAACTGAGAAAGGGAATTGGAAGTGGCTATGGAGCTTATCTATCCCTCCGAAATTGAAATTCTTCGTGTGGAGAATCGCCAAGGGAGCTATCGCATCAAGAGAAAACCTTTTCCTTAGAAGATGCTCCCCTTCCATGACGTGCCCGGTTTGTGCTGGCCCAGCCGAGTCAATTCATCACTGCCTCTTCACTTTCCCTCACGCAGCTGAAGGCTAGCAAAAGGAGTGGCCATCTCTTCCCTGCCCCACCCCCCATACCCCTTTCATGGAGTGGCTCAGTGCTCTGAAACTCAGGTACTCGATCATTTCTATCCAAAAGATCATCTTCCTCCTATGGCAGACTTGGAAGTCAAGGAATGAGCGGGTTTTCAAGAACACCAACCCTTGGCCCCCTTCCACGATTGCGAAGGCATTTCTGGCACACCATCATTGGATTTCCTGCTCCAGGAAACAGACTACTACTCCTCCATCTCCTCAGCTTAACCACATGCCGAATCCCTCTTCACCACCGCCATGTACTCATGATTTTGAGATACACTGTGACGGCTCGTTTTTCAGTGAGTCACAGGAGGCGGCCTATGGCGTCGTTGTGTCGAACAACCACGGTCAAGTGTGTGACGGTAAAGCTGAGATCATGCATTGTTTTTTCCTGCTTGAAGCTGAAGCAAAGGCTCTTTTTGAGGGCGCTCGTCTGGCGGCCGGTCTCAGCTCTCCTTGCCTCGTCCGATCGGACTGTCTCCCCCTTGTGCAGGCTGTTCATGAAGGCCCGGGATCATGGCCCTGGAGAGCTGCAGCGTGGATTGGTTCTATCAAACAGATGATGGAGGACAACCCTCTGATTCGGATCAAGCACATTGGCTGTAAGAGCAACTGTAAAGCAAATTGGGTAGCTAGGTCATGTGCCAAGAACTCTTTACCCTCTGAATGGGTACAGATACTTGATGTTGTTTCCCCCCTTTTGTAACACGTGGCTTCACAAAGCAATGGAAATGCAGTGTCCTCTTGTAAATTTTTTTTTTAATATGACGGATTTGCCAAAATCCACGTAGTGACAACTTGGTAAGGGAATGGTGTTGTGGATCATAGCCAAGTGGTTTTCTTAATGAATTCAGGATAGTTACCCACTTACCACTAATGCCAAGTTTAATGAGTGGCCACTCTTACCAATTAATTAACCAGCACTTCTGAAATAGACACCAAATCAGTTGTGTAAATCACACTTCTGAACTTACAAACCCACTATAGCTAAAGGCCCCAGTCGACATGTCGATCTCACCCACTTTTGTTTATGCCAATTTGGTAGCCATTTTAGTGGATGAAAGCACAAACCAATAGTATTGGAGATTAAGGGGGAATCAGCTTGTTAATTAATTTGGTGGCCATTTTAGGGGGTTTGCATTGGAGGAGCCATCACTATCTTCATGAGTCCAAAGGTAGGTAAATGGTGGTGGAGGAAAAGGATTTTGGAATCCCCCCTATGGAGTGTGAGAAGTATGCCAAAAAAAAAAAAAAAAAAAAACTTAATCATATCATTTACTTGCTATTGGAGATTTGCTTACGTTGAAAAGAAAGAAGACATGCTTTAATTTGCTTAAGGAGGAGGGTATATGAAAGTACATTCTTGATGTCTTTACTTCTAATTGTAGTGAGTGGAGAACTGGAGATAGTGGTGATTTTTTGGGTATATTTAAGGTCTTTGTAGATATGGGGTTGCCCTATTCGTGTCGGGTTTTCGATATTTTATATTCTGTAGAGATTCTCCAAGACGTCCGAGCAACTTCCGGAAGAATTTCCCGTCAACCTCAACCAACAGTGCCTTGACGTGCCATGATCACTGTGGTGGAAACAACTTTGAGAATAGTGAGATTCAATTTCTGGCCGAGCATGTTATTGTCGAGTGGTTGTAGCACCTGATGTACTTTGTTCTCAGAGCACATGGGTTCGAAGCCTGGTATGTGCAACCATCCCGACCTCCCGATCCCCTATGATGGCACCTCCAGTCTCGCTCGAGCTGAAGATCGGCAACGTCATCTGATGACGACATCACTGAATGTGGTGTCCGTCTAAGGAGTTCTTTGTCATCAAAAAAGGATTCGATTTCAGACTCATAACCTATCTTAGGGACCCAAATACTGTCTTTCCTGAATCGTCATTTTCTCTGCGGAGTACTTAGTGGGCAGTGGCGGATACATGGGCTTTTAGGGGTGTCCCGGGACACCCCTAAAATTTTGGAAAACGATTATCCAATCCCCGATAGTAGTTTAGTATGGATAAAACAAATTATAATTGGTAATCCGAGACACCCTTAAATTTTGAAAAACGATTATCCTGTCCTCGGTAGTAGTTTGCGTATGATTAAAAATATATAAGTAGTACTCTGTGTTATTCAAACCTATGACACTACTATTATTAAACATATTCTCTAGGTTGCAACTCATTTGTTGTTCTATATTAAACACTATGTTATAGTAAAAATACTGCTCATTATTCTCAATTATTTTCAAAACCTAACAATTAAACTCATTTGAACTATCCTTAATTTGAATTGATTTTATATGTATACTGCAAGAGTTGAAAGAGTCTTTCAAATTTGAGTCACATCAGGAACAAAGTTAGAAATCGAATATGCGATCAATTCATGAATTATTTTCTAAGAGCATCTCTATTGGTGCAATTGCATTTGCTTTTTTTATTGTTACTTCATTTTTTTGCAATCCAACTCATCTTACTTGCACTACACCACATCAATACAATTAACTTGCAATTGCAACTAATTTTTTAATTTAATTTATTAAAACATAAACACTCATATAATAAAATTGCTAAATAATTTAATAATAAAAAAGATGATGTGTCTTGCATTCCATAATTGTATTATATGTAAGCTTGCAAAGATGCAATTGTCATCTACATCTATGCAATTGCATAATAATGCAATTCTAAATACAATTCCAATAGAGATGCTCTAATATGGTATATTTGCGTATGAATTATTTAATATAATTTTTAATTAAATTTAATTTTTGGAAGAGTACACTCCTATAAAAAATTTCTGGATCCGCCACTATTAGTGGGTGCCATTCGCGTTAAGCCTGCTTTATTCGTAGTAGACTTTGGTGTTTGATTTAACTAAGTTGCATCCATTTCACATGCATGTTATGAAAACAACATCCTATCGACTTGGTCCATTTTCTGTGATTGGTCTGCCTGCCTGCCAACACATGTGGGTAATGAAGATGATTAATTAAGTGATTGGTGTTTTCTGTTTCGGATCAACTTGGGCTTAGATTGATAATAGGGAATCAAGTACGAGTGAGTGAGAGGACACTGACAGCATAATGTGTGAGATCCATACACTTATTATCCATCAATGGATGTATCTCTCCTTACCATGCAGCTAGTCTAATTAGTTACAGTGCAATTATTCATGACTTCATGGTGTCATTTTTATAACCCCAAACCCTAATAGGACACTAACTATCCTTTGCTTTCAGAAAGACAAGGGACAAGAGACACTAACTATCCAATTATTAACTTCTTGAGAAATGCATGCTTGTGTTTTGTAATGCATGTTGGATTATTTTGTGTGTGGAATGATGGGTGCAACCCTAGCTAGCTAATGTACCAAAACAACATGGAGTGGCTTTGTATACTTAAAAGGTCTGTGGTACATAACATAACGAGTCATGGTAGCACGATTATGTAATTGATGTTATCAATATTAGAGTCGTGTTCTAGTTTGTCAAATTAGTCTTTGACATAATTGTTTCTATCTAATTGTTTATATCCCTAAAGTGTTCCGAATGCCAATTCTTCACATTTATTGAAGTAGAAAATAACTTACACATACACAAAAAAAAAAAAAAGTGACTATTTGATGGACCGTAAATATGACGTGACTCGATCTAAACCATAATTATGGTTCACCAATGATATATGACCTCAAACTGATGAAACACCTTACAAAAACCCAAGAAATTAACAACCTTTGCCTATTCCCTAGACCTTCCAAATAGGGGCTCCTCACCTCTCCTTTCCCACTCATCTATCTACACTATCTCTTTTTATATTTTCAATGATTCTAAAACCGTATGAGAGGTTGTATTAGAAAAGATAGTGATAGAGCATTTTCTATTGAAATCGTACGTGTATGATTCAACCGTTTCATACTGTTAAACCATATATTAGTTTAGACCTCAATAGGTAATTTTTCGAACGGATCACCGATACAATACGGTTTTACAAACATTATTTTACTCCATCCGTTTTCCATAACACAGCACTAATGTTGATCATCATAGCATAGATAAATTGAGTCACCCCACCTCTCTGGAGATCTGACGCTTCCTCGTAGAGATTGAACAGACGAAACTATAATCAGTACCCGAGGCCGAGACCAAGAGTTTCATGAATGAAATAATTGTTAGTTGTCTTAAAAACAATGTATTTAATCATGGTAAAGTTAGTTCACCATTTAAAAAGGTTTAGGGCTTAGCAAAACTGGTGGTTACAATGGGAATTCAATGCGAAAAAGTGATACCACTATAGCTTCAACACTTTTTATAAGCCCACTGTTTTACCTTGTATAAGCTGGTATTATTAATGAGATTAGATCTCATTTGTGGCGTGTACGATATGGAAGTGAAAGATAACAACGTCCGCATGTTAATTAATTACCTCCTTTACCATATAATTGGGGTTCGTTCAAATGGCTTTTCAAGGACGATCGCTCGTTCAAACAACCGCTTAAAAAAGATGTGGCTTGTTTAAAGCAGAGGGAGAAAAGAGAGGACAAGTAATTAAGAGATACACATGCATGCACCTCTTGCTAATAATGTTCCTTAATTATAAACATCACCCTATAAGTAGTAACCTAGGGCTAGATGTATAAATCAGTCTCTTCCTAATGTAACGTGGAGGGTGGTGTGAGTGTTTAAGCTATGAACCTAGTAATTAGTGTTGTAGCTTTGAGCAATTCTAATCACATCGAGGGGATCAATAATTGGTGAGAGATTTGTGTATGTGGTATAGGAATAGGGTTACCCTCTACTTTAGGGGTAACATGGGTGTGGATTGGGGACTATAATTAAGTTGGTTATAGTATTAGATTGGAAATGAAAGAGGAAAGACTGATTAAAGGTGAGCGAAAGTGAATTTGGGAACGAGTTGAGAGTCGAAATTCGAGTTGAATCGTACTATGAATTCAGTTCGATTATGACCGAAGCATGTAAAGGCAACTAAATGTGATGTTATGTTGTGTTGGGTATTCTTTATTCTCTTCTGATTAAGAATGTGTTCGTTTGGTGAGGTTGCGAGCTTTAGAACAACGGTGGAGCTAGGTGTAGTTATAGCTCCTCTTAATTAAAAAAAAAATAGAAAAATTATATGTAAAATTTTTAACAAATTTAAGAGATCTAGTAGTGAATATGAGTTAAACCTTTTCCCCAATTACCACGGTTCAAATCAACACCTCTCATTTAGATTTATGATCCGTCGATGTTTAAAAAGTTTGTAAGAGAACCCGTAGAGCCTGTGTTTGATATAGCATACAAGAAGCTGTGCCAAACAGTTCATTAAGAGAAGATAATTCTTCTGCATTAAAATCCCTCCACATTTCCATGGAAATGGACTTTTGATTATGCTTTATGCATGGAACCAAAAGACCCATGGGATCAAGTTGTACTAAAGACAACGTAACTTAGGGTAATGCAAACAAATGGGGAGACTTTGATCTCTAGAGTAGAAAAATTCAATCAAGGCTGTGTGTCCCTAATCAATAATTGAGGGGAGATGGGATTTTTTCCCTAATCCCAATGGGTAGGGGGCCTAGCGTATTAACATCCACTAACTCAAACCCACAATCACTATCATACAATTTTACATCATCGAATCATGAAAGCAAACAATAATATGGGACAAAAATTGTCACTCTTAACATTTGAAAACTGAGATAATTTAAGTGTATATTATCGTTAAAAGAACATATATCAGAGAGAGCGTTGTCGGTTAAATAATTATTAATTAGTAATTATATGAATACACGATCATACAGGCTCGATCACCATTCTAAATTAAATAAACTCAACATATTGAATTTCTTGTCTCTTGTTAACCAACGAATAATTTTAAATATGAAAAAACTTTTAGATTCTGAATATTCACAATGAATCGCCACCATATAAACGCAATGATCACTCACCAATAATAGCCTATTCCTAAGACGCATGAAAACAATGGTGGTATAAATGGGTTATTTATGTAATAAAGATCCATCGAAATGAATCCCTAACTGGAGATTCTCATATGATGGTGAGCTTAGCTATATTGAAACTTTGTACTATGACTTGAGAGATGAGTTACCCATGTTTAACTTCATTTGAAAAAAAGAATTTAACTAAATCTAACATCAATTGGGCGTTTGGTCTAGTGGTATGATTCTCGCTTTGGGTGCGAGAGGTCCCGAGTTCGATTCTCGGAACGCCCCTCAAATTCATTTTATTTCAATTTTGATGATTTTCTCTGTAAATTTGAGTACAGTTTTGGGCCTGCTTGTTAACAGGCTGCAATTACAAGTGGGGATCCTATGGACCATCAGAACAAGTCACTGGCCCGTTCTTTTTAATGCAGGCCCAATAACCCAACGCTGTAAGCTCACCTACGGCCCAATCAAAGCCAAACATTTTGATGCAATGCTTCCTGTCGCGTTTGTCTGTCGAAACTCGAAGGTCTCCGATTACACCTTTCACTCTTTCAGTAGTTCAGCTTCTCGTCACAGTCTCCTTCCTTCCTCACTGTTCCAGATTTGCCGAGCAGAAAAGGAATTCCAAATCCCCGGCGCTTTTAGCTCTAAGATCCTCTGCATTGTTCTCTTTCACTCGTTCATCTTTCTGATTACAAGAGGTGGAAAGAAAGGCGTGGCTTTTTGCTCCTCATCTTCCTGCTTTTTTTTCTCTCGGCGACCCGTTAATTTTCCAGCTAATGGCTTCCTCGACGGCGGGAGCTACGGAGAGAAGAGGGATACCGGGAGCTCAGTTCGTGGAAGATGTGGAGACTTATCTAACCCAATCTGGACTCGATGTCAACTCTGCCCTTTCCTTCCTTCAAGAAAGGTAAACCTTCCTTATTTCTTCTCTCCTTTATCCTGAATCCTGATTTAGTTCGTTCGAAGTTGTGCGGAGCTCCGAAGATTGAGATGTGGATTAGTGAAGTAGAAGAGGGTTCTTTCTGATGTTTTGTTTTGATGAGTGATGTTTCATGGGTCACTTGCAGGCTTCAGCAGTATAGAGTTGTGGAGATGAAGCTCCTTGCCCAGCAACGGGATCTTCAGGTACTGCTTTTTGATATATTCGTGTGGGATGTTTATTGCTATGGTTTTGTTCAAACTCGGAAATGGAACCCATTAATCTCGGCCTGATCATGATACCAGAACTAAGATTATTGGATGGTGATAGTGAAGTGAGCTATGAAGCTACTAAGGAAATGAGTCCTAATTGAATAATCTTTGCATCTAGTTATGTTGTCAGAGCAGGTTAGAGATGATTTCTTCTTCCCAGTTCCTGAATTTTATTTATTTCCTTGTGTTGGGTTTCAGGCGAAGATCCCTGATATTGAGAAATGCTTGGACGTGGTATCCACTTTGCAGTCTAAGAAGGGTACTGGTGAGGTTCGTTTTGTTCTCTAGATTATGATTCTCAGTTGGCTATATGAACATGATCGTTGCTTACTTTTGCAAATGGCATTTTTTATTCCTTGTTTTGGCTCTTTTATGTGTGTAGAGCCACAATCACAGTGTAACTCCACATTTATTAGGTTATTGATCATTCAGTTTCTTCTCTTTCAAAGCTTGCTTCTGTACAGGAATTCACAATTCATACATCCCATCCCTTTCAAGACATCAACCTGCAGATGCCTATTTCGTTTCTCTATATTTTTCTTTGGTTTGCACCTTCAGAAGGATTTATGTTTCTCTTTTAAATATTCGAGTGTAGTCCTCTGAATGTGGAACCAAACTATTAATCTTTGACTGTCCTATTTCTTTCTTCTTTGTGTGTTTTCTTGCTTTTATTTATTTCCTGCATCAGCTATCAAGTTAATTGGCTAATGGGTGCTAGCCGGTTTATTTGGTTTTATATGTATCTAGATTGTCAAGTCTTGCTCATCTATGCCCTTGTCTAGTACTCTGTCATGGAAAACCAACTGATAACTCGAGCTAGCTTCGAACCCTTGTGTTCTTCAGCACAAACATTTAATTTGCAAATGATGTTTCTTGCAAGTCATACTTCGTACTTCTTTGTGACTTAAAAGTCCAGAGGCATACATGATAAAATTCCTGCTTTTGTGGTTCATATTCTGAATGCAGGCACTTATTGCTGACTTTGAAATTGCTGAAGGCATCTACTCGCGTGCTTCCATTGATGAAAGTGACTCGGTTTGTTTATGGCTGGGAGCAAACGTGATGTTGGAGTATTCTTGTGAAGAGGTTGGCACTTATGTTGTCTGGCTCTTTAAGGTTTCTTCTTTTGGTTAGAAGTTGTTTATGGCTGGGTGTGAATGCGATTTTCCCCATGATTTTATTTCACAGGCCACTGCCCTGCTGCAGAAGAATTTAGAGAATGCTAAAGCTAGTTTAGAAGTCCTTATTGCTGATTTGCAGTTCCTGAGGGATCAGGTCACTATAACACAGGTAAATACTTGTACATACATATTATAAACCCTTTCGACTCAAGTAACTTAAAAATTAACCCATGACTGATGATAATGCATGCAAACTACAATCCGGCAGGTCACAGTCGCCCGGATCTATAATTGGGATGTTCATCAGCGTCGATTGAGACAAGCCACTGGCGCGGCTAAAGACCTGTGAGCCACGGACCATCAAGAGTTGTGGACCATCAGCATAGATTGAGACAAGCCTTCATGTCCGAATTTGAAAAATGACTTCTCTTTGTGGTTTGTGAGGATTTGCTTCGGATGAGTTTGCCGTCTTGTCTCCACATCTACAACCCTTGTTCCACATCCCAGCCCAGTGTAGCATCTATTTTTGAGGTAGAAGCAACTCCCTGGATCTTTAGGGGCAGTTTTGGTGCATGAAAGGATCTCTTGCCTGAGGTTTAAGATGTGTTTGAGTGAGCTCTAGGCACTGAACAAGAATCTGGAGCTAATTTATGTTTGTGGAATTTGACGATTTGAAAACAGCCCGAATAGGATGAATCTGAATTCTTCAAGATGTGATCTGGGAGCCTTTGTAGATGCAAGGCGCAGAGCTTGAATGAGTAAACAGCAACTCATTTGTGTTCGTTCAGCTGTCAGTCACTCTATTTGTGCTATTAGAGGTTGCACTTACTCGATTTGAGTCGGTCCACATCCCTATCAGGCAGTTTAGCCGTTTAACTTCTCTCCCTCGATTTGACTGGGTGCTTTCTACACGAATCAAGCTGCAGCATTTGGTTCCCCAATTCAAAGACAAAGCAACTTTAATTGGCTTGGGTTCACTAGTTAACCCACCGTCACCAACGTCAATCTGTCAAAATGTCTCTTCGAAAGACTTAGTCAGATAAAATCTCCCTTGATTTGGGGAACGGTTGTTCCCGCGTGAATCCAGTTGTGATAGTTGATTCTACTGTTCATGATCACGAGGCTGTCTGCTCAACCCGAGTGGAGCCCCAACATAAACTTCAGCTATTACATTTGTTCCTTTGAGCAACGAGTCAGGACAGGCCGATCCAATCGAATCCATCTAGACCCACGAACTAGTAGACCGGCATGGTACATAAGGTGATATCAGCATCCTCACATCTAGTCAAAAGGTCATAATCCTGAATCAAGAAAAGAATATGTTCCTGATGGGGATGCAGCACGCTGCATATGTCCGTCTGAGTTATCTGCTCCATGGTGAAGACTTTTTGGTGCATCCATGGCTGGGAATCTCTCCCATCTATCTCCCTTTTTCATCAGACTTCCTCAGATGAACAGGTTGCATTCATACTAACTACTGCTGCTGTGCTGCTACTACTACCACGTTTGGGAACCGAAAGTGAGAATATGAAAGCTAGCTATAGGTCGAGGAAAAGACGAGAGAGAGAGCCAGCAAAAGATGGTTGGGAAGAAAGCCGTCCATTTTTGTCAGCAGACACAGACAAAACCCAACTGCCAAATTTTTCTCTCTTAAAAGAGGTAGCTGATGAACAGGCACAGCCACCTTTGACATTTTCGGCTTCTTTCTTGGCCTTGTTGGATGCCTCCTCGCATTTATATGTGCTACATTTTTTGGCCATCGTCTGACAATTTTAGCTGGTTTCCAACCTGTTACTATCCTGTTTATACCTTTCTATTTATACCTGTTTCCAACCACACCTTTCTCATGTACAATTATTTGATAGAGCCATGGACGAGTTCATACCAATCACTCGAGTTGTTGGAAGCGTTTAAGCGAATTTTTATGTCGTTCACTTATATATATTACATCTTAAACAAAATTTCATACATTAAGATTGAAGTTTGCACAAGTTCGTTGTGATTTATACTTATATCAACGTAATTGTCAATAAAAGAATCTTACAATTGTATTACATGTGTTAGAGTACAGAGGCAAAGCACAAGTACAACTAATCTTCGAACATGAAGATCTCAGATTTGAATCCCTTAAACACCATGTAACACTAAAAAATTATACATATATCACCCTCGTAAAAAAAGAAGTTAAGCGTGAGTACTAGCTAGTAGCTAGCATATAATTTGTCATAGAATTGCATCCTTGATTAAAGTCATAGAAGTTCGAGATTTTCCATTAATTTCTTTGTCGATTAATCAAAATCAAAGACTTAATACCTAATTCCATTCCCTTAAAAGCACAGATTAAACTTCTAACCACGTGATAAAGAAATGAGAGCAACCAACCACCACACAATAATTCTGAAACCTTCCAATAATCGAATCGAAATCACAGGCACAAACAAACCACCTAAATCGTAATCAAAGCCTTTCTGACTTCTTGCGGTGGGCCTGGACTTCTTCTTCTTCGTGGGCCCTTTCTGCACCGGGCCCTCGATTGACTTCCAACCGGTCCATGAAAGCGAAAAAAAGCCTATAAAGGCTTTAATCACATTACACTGTTATAATAATCGGGCATTGAATGAGTCAGTCGAAGTTGAGGTGGTGGTGGTGGGCACTAGTGAATGAAATAACAGTCAAACCCAGCCACCTTGTCATGTCAAGTTGTCAACCATGTGTTCTTCTACTCCTTCGGCATTAAGCTTTGGAAAGGGAGAAGACTGAAGACTCGACTCAAATCGAAGACGCCCACGACACAATGTACATAAGATTCCGATTTACACATATATATCTATAAAATATGAGGACCAGAGAAGATCGATTGACCGTTTCAAAGAGCAAAAGTCAGGGTTGACCTTGGTGAAAGGAAACCCAAAGAAAGGCTGATCCAAAAGGTTAATATATTTTTTTATAGGATTTGGGTTTCAAAATGACCAGAAGAACCCAACTGCAGCTACCATGTGGGCTGGGTGGGCCGGTTTGGTTGTTGTTTTTTTTTCTTTTGGGGGGAACAATTATCCAAAGTCAACATTAAACCAGGAAACGTACCTTTGCATTCCCATAGCCATAAGCTGCCACATATTTGGTTTCTTGGTTCACTCTCTCAAATCTCAATCCTGACATTCTTCTTTCTGTGTGTGTGTGTTTAGTGATTCGCGATTTGGAAACCCTAGGACTCAGACGCGCAGTGTGGGAGTTGGCACAGTGGTGTATAGTGCATGTCACATGCATGTGTAAGCGAAGCTAGACTTTGATCTGCCTTAACCAAGGAGGAAATGGGAGTCGTGGAGGAAGTCGGGATAATGAGAGCAATCATTGTTGGGTGGGTGCATTCACTTTTTTTTTGGGTGCATTCAGTGTACTCAATCTTAAAAGCGTCCATAATATATCAAATTTTGAACTTTAATTAGTATTCTCAATCTAATATAATGATATGACATAGAATCATAACAAATCAATCCATTACCCTAATCCCTTAACCTTCAAATTTGAATCCCAACCCAAAATCCCAAATTGTAAACCTAAACCCTAACCGTAAATTACTAAATCTTAAATCCTTCGAATTAAAGTAATTTTTGAATGAATTTTTTTCAAATTCATGTGCTTCTTGTTCATAATATCATAAGCAACAATTGATACATTTTTGACATGAATCGCATGGTCAAAATGACAATTATGAGGCGGGTGCACTGAGTGCACCCGAAAAAGTGAGTGCACCGAATACACCACTATATATACACACACTTGGCTACCTAGTGTTTACAGGAAGCACGACAACCGGTACGTTGATTAAAGAGGTGTGACATTTTGAACCCAGCTCACGTATCGTTTTAGTGGGCGAACCGACCTTGGTTATACATACTACAACCATAATCCAAATCAAGAGTAATTAATACATGCACTACTTTAGTAATATTTGACACCTCATATACATCGTTGTATACAAGAGTGATCTATTTGTTAGTAGTTGTTTATGACTTGAATCATTGTGTGTAGTACTAATCCATCTATCCAAAAGATCCATGTTGAGTCGTTTTGTATCCCGTATATTCTATCAAACTATACCTATAAGCGAATGTCTTTCTTCTCATTAAAATAACAAACGAATATAGGTGGTGACGAATTACGCGACGATAACAATAATTAATATCATGTAATCAAAATTTACCTCCATCTACTCCAAATATTCACCCAAATCGAAACTACTACTTATGAGATGATATTTTATCGATTTGTTCTTCTAATTCGAATCTCTCTCTATGATCTGTAATTTACCATATTTATCCCTGCAAAATATTACTTTTTGACTTTGACTTATGCCATCATCATCATGTGCGCCCGATAACTTGATCAAAATCCAATATAAAATTTTTCCTGGTAAATGATACAACAGAATATATTATGGTCTCCAATGAAAGTTCTGAGAGTTAGGTCTCATCTGTATTATTATTATTATTATTATTATTAAGAAATTAAGTAGTGATTTCAAATGCCGCAATCAGCGCTGAGTGTTCCCATTCCCCTCCTATCATATTTAATACAAAGCTTTCTTTTTTCTCACCGGAAAGAATGAGTCAACGGGAGTTGAGTTTCAGGGCTTGCGTCTGCAATTGCAACCACACCCCCTACCCTACTCAATATATACCCCCTTAATTCTCAAAACAATATACCTTTTTGTGTTAATAATCAAACATGTTATCACATAATAACTATTCGAACACGAAACGATCTCATACCAACCACGTCCGTTAAAAACTGGATCATTCAGGTAAATACTTGATCGAGGTATGTGGAGAAATCGCTATCATATTATTCTCAAACGACAATTAAGCACGTGTGAGCAGTACACTCAAATGCGTAATCCAAAACCGTATCAAAGGCTTTCACGAAATGCTTCTAGTGACACAACGGGACCTGTTGATCACGCTACAGAGAGCACATTCAAGTAGACAAGGCTCAGACAATTTTACTACCAACGGTTACACCGTATGGTTGTGATCAAGCATGTGGATGAAATTATTATGAGAAAAAACGTATGAATTATTACTTATTTAGCACTTAAATTTGGAATCACGGTCATATACGATAGTGAGAACCTTGCCGTGTTCATAAACTTATCCTCCTCGAATTGAAATTAAATGAATATTTCTTAATGGAAACGGTTGACAACACACTTAAAGTTGATTTGTTGCTCTTCCAACTCCACTTAACTCAAAAGCTTAAAAAGCTCAGTGAAGCTGGGGATAATTAGTTACTTTCTGAGGTGTCACTGGCTGCATATAGATAGATAGATAGTCGTCGTTAGTGGTAAACTGACGTAATTTGGTAGTCTCAGTCAAATTATGAAGCTGGTAGATAAGATAATAATTACACAGGTGGGTTCTCTCTATGAGATTAAATTAATTAATCTAGAACAATTATTTATAAGCTCTTGACCAAGTCTTGCCGTAGCTACAAAGGCTTGGATGGATCATGTCTAATGTTGATAACAGTGACAAGGGTTGACTGCCAAGACTAGACTCCTATGGAAAGAGAGATGAAGAAAAAGAAAAAAGAAAACATTAATTAATTAATAATTAATTAACTTTTTTTAACCAAATTCCTTTCATCACTAAGAATAATTTAGATACAACCCCATTTGGAATCCAGTGGAAAAAATCGAAACCAATAAAATTACGAAGGAATACATTTTTTTTTTGGCTACCCTATATAATTTGCACTGAATATTCTGAAGCAGACGAAAGAAGTTGCTGAGCCTCTATTAGAAATTTAGAATGGTTTCACCCTTACCATCGGCCTCCGTAGAATTTATGTTCTCAATTACTACTTTCGCATCTCCTTCCAAAATAATGAATAAACGTTTATTATAAATAAAATATTAATTAATCAATTCAATTGGAATCATAATGAAGCTTGTGTGTGAGTGTAGCTAGGCTATAGGATAAGCTCTTAAAATAGTGTAAAAGCTACATATATAATGGAGGCTACTTAGCATGAAATAATTAATTATATTAATTAATCAACTAATCAACCTCCCATTAAAGTAGTTGGGGAAAATCTATTGAGGATCCTGCTAACCCCTGTTTTTTTTTTTTAATTACTCAAAGGAATAAGTGGTTGTCTCTCTAGAATCCAACTTATAATATCTTCCAAAATTAAATTATATTAATATGTTTTCTTTTAAAAATATTTATGGCATAGGAGGAAGAGGAATAATAGTGGCATGTATAATAAAACAGGAAGGAAGTTCCGTTAAATGGTGTAATATAATGTCCATGTTCAGTTATTACAACCGCCATTAGTGGGATTGATATGTCAGCATCTATCTAGAAACAGAATCATAACCTGTGACCATTGAAACATGATATATGTAACTTAAATTATTGAGGGGAAATGTGCATTCATACTGCTAACAGTATTGTTCTTTAACAATAACCTACTTCAACCAACAAACCAAACCTAGTTTGCCTAGCATTGTTGTGTTATTCGATGACAGCCCACGATGTTTGTGTATGTGCCCGTTTGAATCATTCTCATGTGTTTTCTGGACATTCATCGGGTCAAGCTTTGTTTTCTTCATGCGATTTCCTCGTATATAATAAAAAGGAATATATAGATTATAGTACCTCAAGGTGAGCCCAAAAGTATAATAGAAAATGTTCGCGCATATGTCAGACACTAATAAACTCGGTGATGTTTGAGGTCCCAAACTAACTACTAATATTTCGATTAAATCTTATCAAACTTCAAGAGAGATCTAGGCATGGTTCTGCCATCGAAGCTAGCTAGTCATCAAGCCACAAGATGATTGTTATACTCAATATTCATTTTCAAATGAAAGCAAGCTTATCGAACTTAAAGTCTGTACACACATAAACACATCTTCAAGTACTCGACCCAATTCCAGATGATGTCTATTGAAGCCAGCCGGCCGAGCTGCGAAACCTGCTCTTGAACGAAAACTACCTTACAAAGCTGCTACCTGCCTTGGAAAGTAGTCAGCAGAAATAGCAAGAGTAGACATATTTTCTTACCTAAGTCTTATCTGTAATAGCATATTCACTAGGAATGAAAGTGTAGTCAGTCTGTCTTTATATGTCTTTGGCACGCGATCCACCAAAATTTATGATGAACCGTTTTGAAAATCGGCGAAAAATTGCACTCCTAAAAATAATTTAAACACAGAAAAAAAGTTCTCACTCGTCTAACAATTAGTAACCAGGCAACTACATTTCACAATTTTCTGAAGGATCTACAGAGCATGCTCAAAGATC